AGGCGGCCCGGGCGGCCCGGCCGCCAGCTCATCACAACGATGAGACTTGTAACTTCAACAAGATTCGCCAAAATTTGGAAATTTTGGGATCAACCCTCTGAGGGTAATGTCCGGGTCCTTCCTCAATCGGGCTTTTGGGGGGCGTCTCGATCGAGAATCTCCTGTATACACGCAGAAGACCCTATCAAGTGGTCGATCGAGGACAGCAAGGCGCCGTTGGTCCGTGGATGCATTATGTATGGATGTAAAGTCGGAATGGAGTAGAGCTGCACCATTCCCGGAAGGCGTCGCTGTTTCGGAATCGAGCTATAGACGAGTTATAACCCTCGAACAAAGCACGTAATGGAACATAGGGGCTCTGACCTTCACTGATTACTGGGGCCTTACCTTGGTCTTTTTTGCTATGTGATGGTTGGTTGGTTGGTTGGTTTTGGTTGGTGAATTCGGGATCGCTATCAGACCGATCTCTCCGGGAAGACTGCCGTTATGTATACGCACCTTCGATGTTTATTTTTTTGCCGTACTTAGCGTGAGTCTTCCAGCTGCAGACCTTCAAGCTTCAGGCTTCATCCTCGTAACCCCCGAACGGCAGGGATCATTTATGTCCTTGTACCTGTGCCGCCTGTGCCAGGTCATGAGGCATGAGGGGTCATGTCATTCATTTTGGCCGGATTGCTCACTTCGCCGCGATGGTGTGTATGTACATATACCATCGTTCAGAAGCAATGCCAAATCCGTTTCACTATCTATTGAAGGGAAAAGAGCACAGGCCAACTGTTGGTTTCCAAGGAATGATGGCAACAGCTGGGCGGTGTTTGCTGAGATTGGGGACGCCCACTCTCTCCCTTATATTCTGCCATTCGTTTCATCCATCCTGTCAAGGTGCTTTGAAAGTCCTTTCCCCGACCTTTTCATCACCACAGGCGCTGGCTGCTTTGTGGGATATTCAAACTTGTAAGTTGGATCGTGCTTGCTGCTCTGTTACATGGGTTGACACAAGGATAGACCGTTCGACTATATCTCTATATCTACAAAGATGCCTCGCCGTTCGCCGCCTTCTTCCCTTCGCCTGACGCAAGGCCCTGTGCCGTTGAGAAGGCAAGCCAACCTATGTTGTTAGGGTGGCTGACGACTGACGAAGTATACCTGCAGCACCCCCAAGCACACCATGCCCCGTGTGCCCCGACGGGCCTTTCAATACTCAACAGAGGCAGCTAGCAGAGAGGCGCCTGTGCGTCAGCGATCGCCTGACGAGGGGGTGGTACTGACGAAGGAGGCCCCACGGATTCTGCGGGGCCCCTGGGATCACAGCGGGAGCATCGCTGTTGCGGTGGATGTGGACCGCCTTCTTCCACGACTGGAGCGGGCGATGGTAGTGTTGCGGGGGTAGATGTACGTTGTAGCTGTAGACAGACAAAGGAATGGCAGTTTGGAGGAACAATGCGGCGTGATCAACTTGCAAGCAAGGGACAACAAGCAGAGGCGTGCTCAGCTTTTTTGCATCTCTCCTCCATCCATCATGTCCAGCTCGCCGCCAGATCTCTCCTCTCTCTCCCTCCACTCAAGACCCTCCCAGCAACGTCTTCATGACACTTATGATTACGACGGTCTCCAGGCCACCAGGCCCCAGTTCCACTTCGCCACATCCCAGGGCCTCCAGCAGTCCCCCTACAACCCCCTTTCCACCAGCCTAGGCCAGTCGCCCCTCAAGAACAAGCCCGTGCGCAGTGGTCTCCCCACCGTCTGTATCGCTTTCTTGATCACCCTCGATGTGCCCAATCTCACCCCTTTGACAGCAATGGCTCGACAGCAACTCCTCGGACAGCAGATCCCTCTCACCCCACAACAATTCTGACTTTTCCTCCGCTGGCGGTTCTCCTCCTTTAGGTCATCTCAACCCGGCTATCCCACCCGTCACACCAGCCTCCGCTACCACGCTCAATCCAGACGACGAAGTCATCCCAACAGCCATAGTCATCAAAAACATACCTTTTAACGTCAAACGCGAAACTCTCCTGGATATCATCGTGAGCATTCCGTCCTTCTTGATCTCATAATCCATCATCCAACATTCTTCTAGGCTTCTCTGTCCATTCCAACCCCGTACGCTTTCAACTATCATCTTGACCAGCAAGGCTCCTTCCGTGGCCTGGCGTTTGCCAATTTCCGCCAAGCAGCTGATGCCGATGCCGTTGTCGCTGCTCTAAATGGTTTTGATGTTCAGGGGCGCAAATTGCGAGTAGAATACAAGAAGGTGCTGCAAGCTGGAGAAAAGGAGCGCATCGAGAGGGAGAAGGCGATTCGCAGAATGCGCTCTATGCAAATAGAGAAGGAGCAGATCGGCTCCCCCAATCAGCTCTATGAGGATTATGGCTCAGCTCTCTCATCTGCTTTCAGTCCTCAGCGCTCCTTCTCCTCTGGCTCTGCTTATCAGCAGCAGCAGCCTTCATACTCCCCACCAGGTCTTGCTGCGATGCCCACGCCTACATACTCTCTGCCTCTTGCCTCTGCCCCGGCGGCACCCTCTCAACCGCCTCCTCCTTCCACACCTAGCATGTCCGAGAAGTCTGCGGCCAGCGAGCTCGATCTCAATGATCCATCCACCTTGGAGATTTACTCCAGGATTCTACTTTTCAAAGATGACAGAATGCGCGATGAATTGGCCTTTTCCCGTACCTTGACCCCAAAACAACGCAGGGTTGTGCATCTTATTGCGCAGAAGCTCGGTGTTTACCATTATTCAGTTGGGGAGGGAGACGAGCGGTATGCTGTGGTAACTAGGATTGATCCTCAGAGGGTGAACGGAAATTCCACTCCTATTGCGGTGTTCAGTTCTGACCTTTCATTTAGCAACAACAGGCCGCGCAGCCTCAGCGTCAGCCTCATACTCTTTCTCGGGCCCCTTCCGCCTACCTTTCGCCCATCAGCCCGACTACCACCGTCAACTCCCTTCGTGTGAAGAAGTCCATGCCAGACATGAAGACCTTGCACCAACAAGCCCCTCGACTCACATCCCGTTCTTCGAATGGCAACATTCGTGAGGGTTATGCCACCATTGCGTCTCCTTCTCGCCGGGTCTCCACAGGCTTCGGGTCACTCTTCTCGAGTAGCAACAACCCCTTTGGTAGCTCTGTCCCTCCTGTTCCTAGCCTCCCAACTTCTCTTTCTGCCGGGATGAACGGGGGGCACGACAACGCTACTGGAAGTGGTGTTGTACGTCAACCACGCGGACCCGGAATCGGTGGTTTCGGCAGGCGGGACAGCAGGATCGGGGTCAGCGAAAGCCAAGTTAGAGGTGGGCTCGACGCTCAAACTTACGAACCACTGGAGATCTGATGAGTGAAATCAGTCCGTTCGGATAGTCTCACGGGCGATGATGGACGGGGGGCCACCTGAAGGTGGGCTTCGTCAGATGGCCTGGCTTCATCGACCTCATTCTATTCTTTTATGTAATTCACAGGTTTGTTTTGGTATAACTGCCCGTCATTCCCTCCACGTCTACTCTCTTTAAACTTTCGTTTTCTATCGAAGAAAAAATCATCTGGAATCATTCAGCCACACGTCAACGCTCCTTTCTCTCTCCTTTCTCTACCTCTCCGTCTCCTGAGTCCTCACAATTGCTATCTATCATACTCCCGCTTGCGTTGTTCAATCTATCCCTTCGACTTTTCAATATCTTCAGTTTGAGATTCACCAACTACTATTACTACTGCATACAGTAGTGCTATCAGTGTATGACGATTGAAATCTCTTAGAATTCACTATCTATTTCCCATCGTTGTTGTTCGGTAAACGTTGGTTCAAGCGGAACCGGTGCCGGAAATAGAACGCGACCACGACGCGTCGAAAAGGAATCTGTCCACGTTCCTGTTCGCTCCGTGGGTCACCCACCAATCTTCATCCAGTTTGTGGCCTCCGTTCGGGGACAGCTGAATACTCCCCAGCGAAATATCAATGCTTAGCTCAGCTATAATCCATGCTGCAGTATTCACTGCTGGGGCTGTCTTGGGGGGCGGCGTAGCTGCTGTCGTTACAAACAGACAGAGGCCCTCCGTAGCGTCTGCATCCGCGCCTGTGCCCATACCCGCGCCTGCACCAAAACCTTCTCCGATTATTGGTCTTGACCGAGGGGGAAACACCAGGCTCTCGACAGATCTGACGACGGCATCGGTTCTGCCTCTGGCATTGAAGCACGGACATCCAGGTCCGTATCGTCCCTCTAAGCTCAACAGCATGTGAGGAATTTGATCTTCTCGTAGGCCCTATTTCCGACCTTTTGGTTCGTAAAGCCTACGTCGCCGCATATGATAGGCGGTTGCGTCACCCAGCTTGGGTATGCCTCTTGATTCCGAAGGGAAAACGGATGTCGCTTATGGATGTGTCAAATAGACTGCTGAGCATCTCACTCGAGCGTCTTTAGCCAGAAATCCTTGCAGTGAACCGTCTGGTGACCGTTCAAACTCAAAATTCATGGAGGACGAGTCTATTCCTAGCATGTTCCGCGCAAAATTGCAAGACTACTTCAGAAGTGGGTACGACCGCGGTCATATGTGAGTACCATGAGTATACCTTTCTTGCGGAATTTCTAACACATTCCTTAGGGTGCCAGCTGCAGATGCCAAAATCTCGCAAGTGCGGATTTTGCTCTTCCTTCGTGGATAAAATCTAAATCAACGGTCACAGGAAGCGATGGACGAAACCTTTTACCTATCGAACATGGCACCTCAGGTCGGAGATGGATTCAATAGACACTGTAAGCTTCTCCAAGCATAAACATCTGAATAGGTTTCTCAATTATGACCGTTAGATTGGGCCTACCTTGAAGAATGGTGCAGACGGTTGACGGGCAGCTTCCAGGATGTCTACGTCTTTACCGTGCCTCTATACCTCCCCAAGCGAGATTCAGATGGGAAATGGAGAGTGGTGGGCGGGCTTCTGACTATAATATCTGGAACCTATCTGAGCTCTCTGTCAGACCTATGAAGTTATTGGTTCGCCGTCTAACGTGGCCGTGCCAACTCACTTTGCAAAAGTCGTTCTGACTACGAAACCATCTGGGCCTTCTACACCCGGAATCCTGGAACTCGCTACCGGCGCTTTCGTTCTCCCAAACGCAATCATTCCGGATACTGCGCCGTTGGAAAGCTTCGTTGTTCCTGGTAAGTCTATGTGCCGAATGATGAGGAAAGCATATGACTTTTCATTAGTGGATGCTGTTGAACGCGCTGCTGGCCTCAATTTCTTCTCCGAACAAATAAAAGCAGGATCGAAACACATTTGCCAGTCCACCAAGTGTGAGGTCATCATTCGCCGATTTGACGACGCGCAGAAGAAAGTCAAGGCCATTGCTGCGCCGAAGTAGAAAATCAAATATTAGCAATTAGATAGATGCACAATTAGGACTAATAGTCGGAGAGGACGTCCTTTATGCCGTCCCAATAATGCTTGTCCACTCGTGTCTCAACCTCTTCCTTCGTTAGCCACGCAAAGTCCTTTATATTGTCTTTCGCCGGCTTTACTTGGCCAGCCATGATGTGAGCCTTGAAGAAGAATGTTACGCACTAGGAAATATTGGCACCTTTTGATTTAAGGGTAATGAAGTCCACCTTACCTCTGGTGTAGCTAGTTCCGCAGGAGCCTCAGTCTGTGGAGGTTTGTATACCCCAATGGGAGTCTTGCCAACGATCCAAGTGTCCATTTCATCTTTGCATTCAGCAAATAGATTTTTCTGCGCGGCCTGACAGAAAGGTGAGGAAGGTGCACCACCCACGAGGCAAAGAACGCGAACCTGGTGTAGAAATTGGCCCTTCTCCACATCCCCTTGCGGGAAGCGCCATTTCTCCGTCCCATCCTCGACGGTGTGTAGCAACAAATAGAGGTTCCTCTTTCCTTGGCGGTCGAGGCTTCTGACGTCGCCACTAATGTCTGCTGGGTGCGTTCGCGGGACGAGTTCTTCTCCCTCCCCTTCCTGTTGCGCCAATTGCTCGACAGCAGCAATATTGGCCTGTCTCTTCTCCTCGCTGATATCCTCCTTTTCCAGGAATCTCGGGCCGAAAGCAAGTTTCTCGCGCCTCCGTTCCTCTATGTTGAACCGTGTCTCTATGAGGGTTCCTTGCTTAAAATAGAAGTCGTAAGGGAACGGGTTATGGAGGGTGCGTCGTATGCGAGCTTGGTAGGAATAATAGGCTGTTTCGAATGGAGTTGAAGAGCGCGTTAGAATGGGAGAACGGTTGAGGACGATGGCTGTCGAAATATGGGGTTTGACGGTCTTGGCCAGTCGCGCTGGCTGGCTGGGAGCCGCTTCGGTAGCAAGTGAGCGACGAAAAGAGACCTGGCTAGCTGAAGATACATTAGATGTAGCCGCTACTGAATACACAGAGCTCACCCTTGGTGCATGTCCGTGAAAGCATATTGTAGACGCGGAGAAAGAGCCGATGCGCATTGCGAACGACAGAGGTCGTCGAAAATTATGGTCATGTGACGTAATACCTGATAGAGAAGGCTCTCGTCGTCGAGGCGGTAGTAACCCACTTCCACTACTTGCCCCATGACAGCTATGTCCATATCCCTTCTGTCGAATACATATCTCGATGAAAACTCAGCTCGTATGAAGAGCAAGACCGTTCCGTGGGAGGTTAGACTCTCTGTTCCTGCGTTCCAACGGCTCTGCTCACATTCCTGTAGGGGTATCAACGGGCAGGCCTCATCACTCACGACGAATTGGCAGCGATTAAGAAGGTCGACCGCCAACCAAGGACTAAATCTGAATCGGTTCTATTGTCAGAAGGGCAGATATATGCCACGTTATATCTCAGTCTCCTCAAGAAGCTTCAGAGAGTCGATACCATGCAATGTATCCTTGTTCTCATTACGGATGCGCTACTAGGTGACTAGTCTGCCATTTGATCCTACCTTCGACATTAACGGCCGACAAGATCATGATGAACGCATTCCGCTATTTCTGAGAACCGCAGAAATCGACTCAGAACTTCCCTACGCGCCACTCCTGAAGTGCGGTTCTTGCTTTCCCAGTGCTCCGCCAGAACTGATTTTAAAATTAGATCACTCGAAGCACAGGACGAGTTTGTCCAACTCAAGTCCGCTCAGATAATAACGGTCTTGCTAAGGTCTTCTTATCTTATTGCGGATCCAATGGACCCTAGCTGATTGTACATATAGCGCAGAGCCTGGCCCTTTACGCCATCAGCAACTGCAACCTTTCCTCAACACACTTTCTTCATTTATACAAGGACCAAACTCGACTGCCAATAAGCGTGATATTGCTGTACAGTGTCTCGAGTCTCTGCTCTCTCGACCTGATTCTCGGAAGACCGTATGGAGGTTCCCTGCCATAATTTCGGGGTATGTCTGCACGTTGTTGGATCGCACTGGATAATTCATGATCGCGTACAGCTTCGTGGAAATCCTAAAACGCGTCCCTGGTCCCCAAATGAGCTATCAAGCCGCATTTTGTCTCTGGTTGCTGTCTTTCGAACAGGAGATCGCAGAACAACTCAACAAGTGTGTCCAATTAGTTTGCGCCACTTTGACGGTTATAGAAATTGCACAAACAGGAAATATGACGTTGTTCCTGTTCTAATGGAGGTTGCTCAAAACGCTATCAAAGAGAAGGTCATCCGTGTGGTTGTTGCAACGTTCAGGGTATGAAGTTCCTCGTGTTTAGCGCCCTGGCACTCAATAAGCAATAGAATCTAGTCATGAAAGCGCCATCTGCCAACCTACCTGCTATGCTGGTTTGCCAGCTTCTGCCGTTTGTTAAGAACCTTGCTGCCAGAAAATGGTCCGATGAGGACATATTGGAAGACGTGTTGTTTCTCAAAGAGGAATTGAACACGAGATTCCAGAGCTTGACGTATGCCTTACCTATGCAAGTTTGGCTCTTGCTGATTTTGTACATCCCAGAACATACGATGAATATACGTCGGAACTTGCCTCTGGTCACTTGTCATGGACGCCTGTGCATGAATCTGACGACTTCTGGAAAGAGAATGCTGCAAAGTTGGATGAAAAGGACTACGAGCAACTGAAGTAAGACTGTTCACTTTCAGACCAGTGTGGGTGTATGCTAAGCTGCTTTTCAGGATTCTTATTTCAGTCTTGAAACAATCTACCGATCCCACAGTGCTGGCAGTGGCTGCATCAGATGTTGGTCAATACGTCAAACATCATGATAGGGGCAAAAAGTAAGCAATTTTTACCTTCTTTTGAGGCTTGTATTTCATGGTGATTTCCAGGCCTGTTACCACCCTTGGTGGAAAGGAGAGAGTCATGGAATTGATGACGCATCCCCATGCAGATGTTCGCTATCGTGCTTTGTTGTCAGTACAGCAGCTTGTCAGCCAGCCTTGGTTGGCATAATGCCCTCTGCACGATGATTTGGGACTGTACCGCACTTAGAACAGCATTAGTCAAGTTAAATTATCATCCTTGCGGTTGGGTCGTGCAGGAGGGGACGAAATGAATTGGACAACTGAATATGTGTTCATGATTTTATCCATACCTCTCCGATAACGTCATGCTGCTTTAGAACCCGTGCCTTCATCTTTGTACCTCCAATTTCATTTAAATTGTCAACCAGACGGTCGTCAACAAGGAGAATCCTCAATCCTCCTATGGTGGAATATCCTGTACGGAGGCCAATGAATGACAAGTCAAACTCCTGAACGGCCTCCATGTGCGCTCGCTTATCTTCGTTGGCAGTCGAGAAATCGAGTTCGACGGGAGATAAAAATATCACTGAAGGACCAACAAAGGATACTCCGCTCGTCAAGATCTTATGCTCGTCGCCCCTTCCTTCGAAATACGGCGGCGGGAGGGCTTCAGCGTTCTCGGGCTCAGAAGTAAGAGGTTCTGATGCAGGTGGGCGCACTGTTGCTGCTAGAATCTTCTGGTGCGCGAGGGCATAATTGAATGTTGCTGTCGCGGATGATGGCGTCGAAAAGCCAGACGTAGGCACACGGGGGCTGAATGCTTCCGCTGGCCGAGGGGCTACAAGAGGGTAAAGCTTCCGTGGCCTGATGTGTTGAATCGCAAGAGTGACTGTCCGTTTCGAGTTTTCCCTCCCAAGGGGAACGACTGATGAGACGACGACGGAAAAAGTCATAGAAAAAGGCCTTTCTACGAAAACATTATCCCGTGGTACGCGGCGAACAATGAGGAGGGCCTCAATTTCCGGAAGGGGCGGCAGTAGCGAGTTGGCGATCGACTGAGGAGACTGAGGGCGCATCGTGGCACTCATCGATGATCTATTCCCTGCAGTGCCAGGAGTTCCAGGTAGCTGATTCGCAGGCGGCGTTCCTGGTCGTGACTGACTGATGGATGGTGAATGTGGGCGTGAAATAGAACCTCCAATGGTTCGCTTGAGATGAGGGGGGACAGCAGACGCAGGTTGGGGCGGGGGAGCCACAACAGGAATCCGGCGTGACAGCATCGAGGTCAGCAGCCTTCCAGGTTCGCCAAAGGACGACCTCCATGATATGTCCAGTCGGCCAAGGGGAATGATACTGCCTGGAGGATGAGTCGTGGGGAATAAGTCAATGACTTTAGGAGTCAATATGTAAACATATTGCCGCATATCCTGCGGCTGCATCAGCGTCGTCGTGTCTGAAAATATGCTCTTTTCAAAGCCCCCACTGGAAATTATGTTGGCATCGATCGCTTCCCAGTTCTCTGTACATTCTAATCGCATTCGTTCGAAGCGAATTGCATCTTGAGTTAGATTTTGGATGTGAACTTCGAGGAATATTTTCTCTCGATCTACGGGTGATAGCAGCGCGGATGGCGATTTTGGCGAATGGATTTTGGTCTTCACGGAGAGGGGATTAGTAACCTAGAAAGCCTATATCGCTCTTCGTCCATACAGGAGACAACGGTTGATGCACTCACGGCAAATTTGTAGAATTTCCTGAACGTCTGCAGCCTTGGGTCGCCGGCATCTTCAGCAGCCCCAGGCACTGGACGTGTATTCGGAGGTAGCCGATAGGTTACGGTACATGCAAGGACATGTTGACCTAGTTCCTTTATTTCATGATGTACGACGCGTTCAAGGGTGTCACCACCGTCCAGACTTGCTCCGGTTCCATCCATCTCGTGCAAAACGACCTTGGTGGTGACCGTCTGCATTTCTACTTTAACTTGCGCCACTTCGATTTCTAGTTGGGTTTCATTATTGACACATAGACAGCTGGAAAAGGTCTCCCCAAGCTGGATAGAGCCAAAGGAGGAGGGCAGGGTAAGTAATTCGGAGGGATGAGTCAAGTCGCGTAGCGTCTTGGGGTGACCTGGTAGAGGTGTATTCCCTTGCAAAGACAGGATGGAAGCGGATGAATGGGCCTAGGTACTCAAGTCTTTGTCAGTTGTCAAGACTGTGATGCCGCAATGCCTCACGGAGAACGATGGTGAACTCGAATAGAAAGGCTGCCATGCGCTCGCAAGCTCGGGGCGCTATTCAAAGTGAACCATCAGGGTAGATCACACTCTAGAATACCAGACACCAACCGAAACGCGCATAACCTTGAGCGATAGCAAATGTGCTGGATCTGTCGTTGTCATGAGTGTGCTTAGCGGGTGGGCGACACGATTTGGATATGATCTAGATGTTTGGGTATAAACAAGCATGGGTAACATTGACGTTCCGAACAACACAAACGACAATACTTACGCGGGCAAATAATGATAAGATTGGTGACGATTGGGATATTGGATGGTAGTACGATGGTAGGGAAGACAAACGGGGTGGATAACGGCTACTACTAGAAATAAGCCCCAAAAAGTGACGAGTTTGTGACGACGAGCAATGATGCGGTACGTGTCAGCCTTGAGCCAACGTGGTAACAGAGGAATTCCTCCTGGTGTAATACATGTAGTACGTAGAAATCCTACATAGATGCCAAGCTCGCTGTGAATTGGTGGTGCGTAGATGCGAAGTGTATGCTCGTGATCATGCAACTGACTTCCCACCAGAAACCCACGAGTGCTTCGCAGATGAAATACCGACCCAGGATAAAACAAGAACCTGGGCGAAAGTAGTATCATGGTGGAAGACGTGTCGGTTGATGCAGTGGTGTCGTTGAAATATACGGGAACGAAGGTGCTCGGTGCGAGTCCATATTGCGCGTAGCGGGAGTATACCTTGGCTATAACGACAATTCGTAGCCAGCCAGACAAGCAAAGTCTGGCAGTTTGCATTCTGTTGCGAGTTTTTGTGCGCGGGCAGACTGAGAGTGCTGAAGTGCTACCGCTTCACGGCCCCTCTGCGGGGCAGCTTCTTGATTGCACGCGAGCCAGAGGCACCCTGGACAGGCGGTGGCGCAGCACCGATTGTGAAAAGTGACCCTCCTCCGACTCCGCCTGATGTAGATGGTGCCAAAGCGATCGGACCACTGAAAGGCGACGAAGGAGAAGGTCCTGCAGCAAATCCTCCCGCATTCCCGAATCCCGAGGAAAGAGCAGGCTGTGGCAGGGTGAGATTAGCCCCTGCTGCCGGTGAAGCGGGCTGGGAGCCGAAAGAGAAAGCATTCGTAGGTGCTGATGCTCCGAACGGGAATGATGACGGTTGGCTAAATGTAGAGGGGCTGCTAGGTGCCGAACCGCCGGCTGCTTGCGCAAACGGATTCGGAACAGCAGACGCGCCAAACGAAAATGCAGCGGGTGCCGTGGAGGTCGGTGTACCGAATGTGAAACCGCCCGCTGAACTCGGTCTTGCTTCTTCTGCGGTCTTCGGAGTTCCAAAGCTGAAAGATGTGGTGATTGCGGGAGGTGCACTGGTTGGTTGCCCAAAGCCGCCAAAGCCTTTGGGCTTGTCCTTGGGAGCGAATGGGTTAGACGCAGGAGCACCGCCAAAAGTGAATGGTGCAGATTGCGGGGAAGGCACAGTATTGCCAAATATTCCGTTGCTTGTCGAAGTATTAGCGCAGAAAGAGAATCCGCCGCTCAAGGTAGGCCCCGTTTCAGCCTTGTTCATCCCATTTGGCTGCTGCGGTTCCCTTGTTGGGCTTTCCTCCATTCTAACTTCCTGATCATTATTCTTCGGGGGAGTGACTGGTCGCCCTGGAGCTCCGAACATAAACGGCTTGCTTGATACATCGGCTGCAGTACTGCCCCCTCCACCAAACCCACCAAATATCGGCGCAGGATTGGTAGCTAACGAGGTGGAAGATCCGAAAGAGAACATCGGAGTTGAAGCAGCCTTCACTTCCAGAATGGGCGACGCGGCAACAGGCGGTGTACTCGGCGCCGCCCCAAAAGTGAAAGGTGATGCTGGTTTAACCTCCTCCGCCTTGTTCGCAGTTGCTGACTGCCCAAATGAGAAAGGCGTCGCGGGTTTGCTCTCGTCAGCAGGTGCCGGCTGGCCAAAACTGAAGGGTGGTGCAGGTTTGTCCTTATCCTTGTCTGCTGTCTGTCCTTGTCCAAATGAGAAACCGCTTGAACGGCCAAATAAGGGTTTGGGAGCCTCGTTAGTAGCATCGAGGCTAGGAGCACCACGTATTGGCCGAGCTGGCTCGGTGGTCACAATGCTCGCCTTATCAGGGAGAGCTGATTGGAAGCTCAAAGAGAGAGGGGACGGCGTTGGTTGGGGAGCAACTGGAGGGTTGGTAATGCCACCAAAGAGAGTGGAAGTAGGCTTAGAGGTGTCCCCAAACAACGTACCAGCCGTATTACTTCCACCAAACAACGGTTTCGGAGCCACCATATCCGTTTCAGGCTTCTTTGATTCAGTCGCAGATGCGAAAGAGAATGGTAGTTTGGGAGCCTCTGTGGTGGCCGTGACATTGAAACCCGATGTTGCTGGCTTGACCTCTGGAGCTTTATTTGCGGGTGGGAAAGTAGAGGAAGAACCTCCAAAGAGTGTTGCAATTAGCTTGGGCTCCTCTGATGCTTTGCTCTTGTCACCGTCCCAGAAAGGATTTTCGTTATCTTTCGTGGGCTGGATAGGTTTAGAGGAAGGAATGCCAAAAGGTGCAGAACTGCCAAAGTTGAGAACCGGGGGGGGCACAGGAATCGCAACGTCTTTCAGTGCCTGTGAGTTGGCGAAGAAATTGGGAATGGCTCCCCCTGAAAGAGCTGCTGATGTTGGCGCTGGCGTCGGTATTATACTGAAGATCGACGATGGCTTTGACTCTGGCGTAGGAACACGGGCCGGAGGTGGAGCCGGTGCAAGGGTCGCCGCGGAAGATGATCCAAACAACGAGGTAGCTTCAGGCCTAGAAGCGGCGTCCGATTTGGGAGGCTCAGCCAATCCTGCAGACGACTTGGACGCAGTCGCTGAATCGCCGGCCTTCGCAAACGAGAAAGGTAAAAAGGAAATGGGAGGCTCCTTCACGTTCTCGAGATCGGATGACTTGACGGGAGGCATCTAGAATACTCATCAGAAAACACGACCTTGAGAGAGACCATGATACTTACATCATTGGCGAAAGAAAAATCAGCAGGAATCTGGAAAACAGGGACTTTCTTGGCAGCCTCCTCAAGTATCTGACGTTCCTTTCGCCGATCATCCTCTTCATCCATGATGTCATCGGGTTCCTCCTCGTACACCGCAGAAAATCGAGCCCTCGAGGGGCGCTGAATATGATTGCGAGATGTCTTGGTACGTCCAACACGAAGCGAAGATCCGGATGTCGATGTTGACAATGGGGGCGGAATGGTCGAAAACCAATCCGAATCTCTGGGAAGCGGTGGTGGTATAGGAACTTCCGTAATGGGAGGGGGTAGTCGATTAGGGCGAGGAGTAGTCTCATCAGCAACTTCGGCATCTTTTAGCCTCTGTTCGGTCTCCTCTTTCTGTGCTTCAAGCTTATGACGAGCAAGGAGCTTCTTCATGCCCCCCTCTCCGGCGTAAGGCTTAGTCTCATTGACAACAGGACTCTTCCCGGAAGCACTGCCCTTGCGACCCAATCGCTCTCTGTCGTCTGACATTAGGATCAGATGCGAGGAGCGGCGTGATTTGAACATGGCCGGGGATTTGGCAGAGCTGGACGTAGGCAGATTCGAGGAGCGGAGACGTGTCGGAAGGAGAGGGGTTTTATACACATCAAGCTGGTTGAGTGCTCGTTGAGCCGGGGCTGGTATTATAATCAGAAAAGAATGCAGCATTGAAAGAAACGAAACAATACCATCGTCATTCTCATCGTTAGCAGTGTTTGGACTGGAAGTGAAAAGAAGAGAGCTGCGACTCTGCTTCGAAGGAGACCGTGCCTAACGCACGCTCAGATTTGAACAAGAGGGAAGAATGAAAAATTTGCTCACCGTTCTCTGCGACTCTGCAAGCGATCCCAGAGTCGGAGCAGGTGCAGGGTCGTGGATTGGGGCAGGAGGATGTATGAATACAGGATTAGACATTAGGGCATTAAGCGGAGGTGGCTCAGATATATGACGGGACGGAGCGAATTGGGGCTGGGGGGTCAAAGAAGAACGCATACGGAAAGACGGGCGAGGCGAGAGAGGCGAAGGCGGCATCGAAACGTCTTTAGTACTGTCTACAACCATGTCCATGTCAGAAGCCGAAGGTCCAAAATTGAATGCGGAGGAGGAGGTTTCGCGGCGGAGGCCCAGGGTGGGCGGGTCGATGGACATGGTGCGAGCGACGCCGTGGTGGCGAAGCGGGGACGGTGTCGCCCTCGATCCACGAGTCGATGGCAAGACTGCGGACGAGGCGCGAGGTACGACCGAGGTCCGGCGTGGTGGGGGATGGCTCCGCTGCAGAGCGGCGGCAGGAGGGTCCAAGTAATGCTGCGTCGTCCGTGGCGGGCTGTATAACCTCATGCGCTTCGATCTGCGCGTAGCGTCGTCCACCTCTTCGTCATCGCCACTCGTGGGGTGCCCGTTGGGTACGAACTCGAGAGCAGGCTCGGTCAGGACGTTCTCGACGGGCCTTCTGCGCTTTCCGCTGGAAGCGTCATCATCTTGATGGGCGAACCAGGTGAGCGGCGCAGTGACGATGTTCTTGATTGTACCCAAGAACGAAGAGTTGTGACGAGCGAGAGGAGCTGGGCGCTGCTGGCGGTGGTGCTCGCTGTTCGACGACGACGCCATCGTCGGCGAAGTGAAAAAGACACAGCAACCGACAACAACAGCTCCTGCGAACTCGTGAGTCACACAGCGTGACTGTGACTCCGACTCCCTCATGCTCCGATCATCCCGCCGAGTGGTCGCAAGCGCGAGGAGGGCATACTCAACGCAGGCAAATACACGCGAAGCTTGGCTCTACGTCGACTCGGTATTCCCAGTCCAAATTGCGCGATGGGAGTGCGTCTTTTTTGCTTGTTCCCCACAACCTGTTCTCAGTTCTTCCCAGTCTTCGTCACTATATTGGAATCTTCCGTCAAGAACACCTTCTTGATGTCCTTCGGACCCGTTTAGAGCACCTATCCTCAGTCCACAACTTTAAACCGCTCGAGCTGCAGCCCCAGCGCAAGGATGGTGGTGTGTTTGTTCGTTTCTCGTACACTCCTTCCGAAGACGCGGACGTCAACGATGCGAGACAATTGTCTGTGTTAGAGAATGCTCTCAGAGAGGAGGCCAGCGCGCGTGGTGCTCTGCCCACCTGGCTAGGGATTGGAAGCGGAGATATCTGGCTAGTGCGGGGGTCACCTTGGAAGGAGGTGAGTATAGTCCAGCCAGCGCTGCTCTCCCAATGTCTAACCCCAGAAAGGATATGAACCGTTTTGCATCTACCATTGTAAAGTTCACATTCGACGGTCCTGATATTCAAGAGCAGTCCCTGTACGAGTTGTGCCGGGTGCGTGTCGCCTTCTCATCTTCGCGGATTCTCGTTCACTGACACACACAGATAGCCTTACGGCAAAATCAACGACATCACTCCACCCTCCGTCATTCCTGCTGGTGTACCTCGGTCAGCAACGGTGACCTTTCATCGTATACATTCCGCCACCATCGCCCGCAATGTTATTCACGGTCTCGCCGTACCCTCTCAATCTAGCAACTCGCCCATAGTGACCCGCATACGTGCCCAGTATCAACGTCCGCTCGAGACTCATGCTATCAGGAACTGGATGTCGAGCCACCCAAAGATCATGCTGCCTATTATTGTGTTCTTGCTTGGCTCCATAACTTATACGGTATGTGGCAGTCGTTGGAATACAGATTTGATACTCACGATGATAGATATTTGATCCCCTTCGCGCGTTCATGGTCGAGGCGAAGATGATGGATTGGTTCGACTACAGAAGTGAGCATCCTGGAGAACTTCACAACAACTGTTGACGAGATCTACAGAATCCAAGCTGTACCAATGGTTGCGCGTCAACACCCTCGAACGGTTCTCAGGCACCTTCGGCGTTGCACATCACGTCGATCCAGCCACGGGAGTGTGGAAGGAGCGCAAAGATGCAGAGGCAGCAGTGAAGGCCTACCTTGCCGACATGCCGGGTGAGTTCGCGTCGTGACGTAATTCATGTATAGGGGCTTTAACTTCCTGAATAGGCACAATCGCCTTCGTTCACGGCCCACAGGGAAGTGGGAAGAGTTCGATGCTCAGGGTCGTCCTTGAAGAATCCGGGAGAAATGCGCTCATTATTGACTGTCGAACGCTCAACAATGCAACTTCTGACTCCGCTCTGGTCTCTGGTCTTGCTAACCAGACTGGGTATTGGCCCGTCTTCACTTTCCTCAACTCCATGAACAGTCTCATTGATCTCGCCAGCGTTGGGCTCATTGGGCAGAAAGGCGAGGAAATTTTCAGGTTGATGATGTGTTGTGCTCATCATGATTTTAGCTGGCTTAAGCAGCTCCATACCCGACCAGTTGAAGCAAATTCTCGCAGTCGTAACGGCTGGTCTCAGACGCGTGTCCGCGTCACATCACTCAACCATACAGCGACATATCAAACAAGAAGAAAATCTGGAGGCTCACAGGATACAAGAAGCTCACATACGACGGTCTATCCGAGAAGGGCGATGGCATGATGGCAGGCTAGACTGCATAGCAGGGAATGGTGTAATGTCCGAACTGGGTGTCGGAGACGAGCCTTTCGGGGAGGACATGATAGTCCGAATCCCGGAAGAACAGGACGAGGAGCAAACAATGGCAGAAAAAGATCACGCCATCCGAAGACAGACAACGCAGGAAGACGTAGAGGCTATCAGGTCTTTACCTATCGTGGTCATCCGGAACTTTGCCTTAACGGCAGGTTCAACATCACGCGAGGAGATGCTGAATGTGCTGGCGCAATGGGCAGCTACTTTAGCTGAAAACCATGTAAGAGTCCTGCTCTTTTTTCTAGTGTTGTACTAAAGCGCATGTCAGGTCGCGCATGTCATCGTGCTCAGCGACAATCGCGAGAATGCAAAGCGGCTAGCAAAAGGTAAATTTTACCATTTCAAATTCAAGTCATCTGCTGACCCCTAGCAGCACTTCCGTCGAAACCACTCCATTCGGTGGCTCTATCGGATGCGGATTCGGCAAGTTCCCTCTCGTTCGTGAAGCAGAAGCTCCAGGACGCGGGCATCGACGTTGGGATTTCGGGACAGGAATCACGACATGTGGAGCGTCTTGGTGGGCGCGCAAGTGATCTTGAGAGCGTAAGAGCTACCACTACCTTATGCAATGTGATACTGAGAAAGAGATAGTTGATTCACAAAGTTCGGAGCGGCATGAGCATCGAAGAAGCTGTGGAAGACGTCATTAGCCGAGGAGTTGCAGAGCTGCGCAAGAACGCGTTTGGAGATGATACGGACGACGCCAAGGGTTTGCCCTGGACGCGAGAGCAAGCATGGAAGGTGCTGAAGGTGCTGTCCAAGGCTCCTGAGGTGGGATACTATGATCTGCTCGTCGATTTCCCCTTCAAGGGAGATGAGGGCGCTCTGAGGAATATGGAGCATGCGGAACTCATTGCTATTGGAACCAAGGATGGTAGGTATCAGACTACGATGCCTGTCTCGTTCGATCTAACTAGCAAGCAGGACGACCGTCAAGCATTCGACCAGGGAAGCCAGTTTTCCGATGGGTCTTCGAGCGCGTTGTGAACGGTACGTGAAACTAGGGACCAGAAGATGTATCGCTAATGGCAATCCAGACAAAATCTTCCGAGCAACGCAAGAGCTTGGGTACAACGAGAAGCAAATCTCAGAGGCGGAAGGGAAGATCAAAGGTTATGAGCAGGAGTTAGCACTGCTGGTGGAGACGATGAAGAACGAGAACCGACGGTGGTGGCAGTTCGGACGTAGCGCGTGTCGGGAGCGGGCACGGTATGTCGGTGACAAGCTGGTCACTGCAGAACGGAAGGTGGAGGTGCTAGAGCGGAAGAACAGCGAGCTGAAGCGAACATTGGCAAGGGGGGAGTAGTCACATGATATGACGTAGCGCGTGTATAATAATATAGGGGTGAGGCATGTTCACCACCTCTCACCATCATGGACTCACTCAAAGACACGCTCAGGAAGACCGCTGTCCTCTCTAGAGACGCCCTACTTTCCCATGCCTGGTCGTATCCCCTCCTCGGCATCCCCTACCTCATCGCCCACCCTGCCCTCTACACCGCAGTCGCGCCGGTGCTCGCAAAGGCCGCCGTCACCTCCCTCGCCATAACCGGCATCCTCTTCTTTTTCACCTACCTGCCCCAGGTCGCCTTCTGTGCCCTTTTTTCCGGCCCATTCGCCTTCGTCGCAGCGGGAATTATGGTCCTCTCCGAGGCCTATGTCCTTGTCTCCTTCATCTCAAAAGCCTTCTTGTCTGCCGCGCAGGATCGCATATGTAGCTCTTCTCTCCTCATTTTATTTCCAGCTCTAATGCATCACAGTCGATGCTGTCCTTTTGCAACAAGGAAACCAATCACTCGTTGAGAGAGGTCGTCAGGTCAAGTCCAATTCTTCTGGCTTCAAGGTCGTCGGCAAGTCCCTCATTCAACCCCTCAATCGCTTCTCCAAGGAGGGCATCGTGCGATACATAGTCTCTCTCCCTCTCAATTCTATACCTGGCGTCGGTACCGCTCTCTTCCTTCTCTACAACGGTAGGCACGATCGTCACCCGGAACCCAGTTGTGCTCACCAGACCTTAGGAATCAAATCTGGTCCTACATTCCATGCTCGTTACTTCCAGCTCAAGAACCTTGATAAATCCACTCGAGAGGCATTCGTCGAGAAGCGGAGGGGTGCATACACTGCGTGGGTTTTTTCTTTCTTCCTCTTTCTCCGCGTTCACCGTGCCGTAGGTTTGGTGCAACGGCCCTAGCGCTCAACCTCGTACCGGTGATTGGCTTGCTCTTCAACCTCACATCCACGATCGGAGCGGCACTCTGGGCGAACAAGCTTGAAAAGACAGAGGTGTCGGCAGCAGGCCCTATACGAAGAGTTGAGGACGTAGGACAGTCTGCAAACGAGATACCTATGAGGGATCAAGTCAAGGTGGAATTGTAGACAGACCCCCTATTAGTGCCATCCTGAGATCTTATGTAATGGAAACTTGCATTGGCTTTCAGTTGCGACGACTATAACCTTCCTACCACGACCGCCGTCTCTGTGCGTTTCGTCCCATCTCCGAGGCACCAATGTCTGAATTCGCTCAGAGGAAGGAGATTGAAGCATTCTTCAACTTTTTCGCCACATTTGATCTCTCTCGCCCTGTGACCTCAGTCGCCGACCTCACAGACGGCGCCGCTCTATTCGATGTCCTCTCCGTTGTGTACGTAATTATCTCAGGCAATGAAACCTCTCTGTCTCCTTATACGCATGCGTCACCTATCTTTCCAGCGATGCAAGCTACTTCCGACAGCCCACCCGCCCCTCCGCGCAACCGTCAGAGAACTGGGTTCTGCGCTTCAGCGCCCTCAAACGCCTCTACCGCCTCATGACGCAGTATTTCGCCGACGTACTGCAGAAGCCTACGAGCAGCCTCGATGTTCCCGATCTACAAGCCATCGCGAAAGACCACAGTCTCTCCGCGACTCTCACTATGTGCCGCCTCGCGATCGTCATCGGAGTCCAGTGCGAGAAGAACAAAGAGTTTATTGATAAGATTCAGGGACTGAGCGAGACGGACCAACATAACCTTATGAAGGCTATCGAACAGGTGTGTTCTGCTTTGCACTACTTATTTTGATTGCCTGTATTGAGCAATACCCAGGTCATGGCAAAGATTGCCCTCGCGCCAGGGGCTCAAGACGCCAGTGAGGCCAGTATGACTGAGTATGTCCTTCTCTCCTCTTTTCCAAGGCGACGAAACTCATATTTATATACTTCAATCCAGAGATGACCATTACTACCGAATTCAATCCGAGAGGAGTCAAATATTCACGGAGAAAGAGACTCTCGAAAAGGTGTACACAGCACTCCTCGAAGAGCATCGTTCACTTCAAACAGCACACGATGACCTCCAGTCGGAGAAAGAGGAGGCGCAGGCGCAATTACGCCAGCTCCGACGCGACCTCGACGGGAGGCGGAATGAAAAGGCGGACGTCATGATTCGAGCTGAGATGGACCGACTTCGGACCGAGCTGTGAGTCGTCGGTTCGTTTCTTGTGGCGCTAGGTTAACGTGTTGACGCCAGACAGAAGAGCGAGGATAATCTTGCGATGACCGAGTCCGAGCTTGACAAGCAGACGTCTATCATTACAGACTTGACGCGTAAAGTCGACGAACTGCAGGTGAAGGCAGATGAGGCAGAGAAGCTGAAAGACCAGGTCGACGAGTACGTTTTCGTTTGATGTTTGAACGAAGAACATGTCGCCCATACCTCCGAAAGATATCGTCATGCCGCTGATAGACTGCAGAAGACGGAGAACGTCATGGAAAAATATAAGAAGAAACTGCAGGAAGGTGCGGACCTGCGGCAGCATGTCAAGGTGCGTTGATCCCCTTCAATTTATCATGTACCATCTATATACTTCATCGACCCGTCTTTAGGCCCTGGAGAAGCAAAATGCAGACTTGGTCGATAAAAATGCTTCTTTGGAAGAAGAGTACCGCAAAGTCGCCGCCTTCAGGCCTCTCATGGAATCTTACAAGAACCAAATTCTGGATCTTGAGTCTAAACATTCAGCTAAAAGTCAGGAAATTGACACCTTGAACTTTGAGGTCGAGCAAACGCGGACCAAGCTCAGGATCACACTCGCTGAACGGGCGAAGGATGCGGAAGCGCTTGAATTGTACCAAGAACGCGTACGCGAACTCGAACTGACATCAACGACACGTTCAAGAGGCAGCGCTGGTGGAGGCCTCAAGTCGCCTGGAGTAGATGGAAGCCAGACGACAGCGCTCTCATCGGAGCTCAGCGAGGAGCCGAACGGCGGTGATGACGACCACCGCGGGCAGGGACTCGGGGGCGAGCTGGACGACGCCATCACAGGCACGACAATGACTGATCTGAAGCTCCAGATCAGGAAGCTCCAACGCGAGCTCGAGGCGGTGAAGAGGAATGAGGCGGACGCCAGTAGGGTGCTGGTGCTCGAGAACCTCCTTGAAGACGCGAACAAGATGAAGGCGCGCTACGAGAGTGACTACCTTGCAGCACACCGCGAGAAGCTCGTCCTACAGCGCGATTTGGAGGAAATCAGGAGCGGCAAGTCATTAGGTGATGGGTGCGTTTTCGCTCCATGTATACTTAACATCCATTTTGCTGACCCGAAATTTCTAGGGCTGAAGCTGCGATCGCTCTTCGACAGCGACTGAACGAGACCGTCGAGCAACACGAGGCGCTTCGGAAAGAGCACGCAGAACTCGAGGTAAAATTCGAAACCATCAACCGCGAGCTTACTATAGCCAAATCAGACCGTGCGTTTTAGCGACTAGCTCGTCTTAGCCACACCATTGACAGTTTCTCCAGTCACTCTCGTCAACAAAGACCAGCTTGACATCCTTGCAAGCCTCAGAGAATCTGTCAACGAGGACAAACTTGGCCTTGAAGCAGATATTGAGCGTTTCAAGAAGCAAAACAAGGAGTTGTTGGAGAAGAACCGTATGCAGTTGGAACAGGTCAACGCTCTGCTGCTGGAGAAGGTCAACCTACAAAGCGAAGGTATTGGACACAGAGAGAAACTTCTACAACGAGAGCGTGACTTTGGGTACGTCTGTAAGATTCTTTCAAAGGAGGATGATCAGTGATGAGTTGCGCAGCGACCTTCGGGCTGCAATGGCTGGCAAGGATCTGCCAGAGGACATCAAACAAAAGCTTCTCAGCATGCACGAAGACAATCTCAATCTTAAGGAGTCTTACAAGACTGCGCAAGAGAAGCTGGCAAAGGCGAAGCAGGTAGGTGCTCTTTCATTTATTTTCGAGTACTTGTCTTGAACATCTCGTCTACCAGTTTATCAAATCCCAAGACAAGCTCTTCAAGGAACAATTCGCGTCTAATATCACAACTGCATCAGTAAGCCTTGTTCCAAGCCGAATGATTCTCGCGCCTGACCGCTTCTCATATAGCAAGGGACGTTTGAAGAAGCGGAAGCAAGCTTCCGTTCTCAAATCAAAGTGCTGGAGGAGGATGTTGCTCGTCAGAAGGTCAGTCCAGCCTCCTCTCGTGTTTGATAGCACGTTCTGATAGAAAGCAACAGCGGCTTATGCAAGAATCAACGAGGCGATATGGCCGCGAACAGGAGTTGATGTTGAGTGCTCTGCATACAATCGGTATGAAAACTGCGCGGCAGCACTTGCGCAACCCGCCGCGTATAGAAAAGACTTCCTTTTTGAGCATGGAACGAAATAGAGTACGTCATCCGCTCACTCCAACGCGTATCCAAGTTATGAACATTCGTTTTGTTTTAGAATCCATATGCTGTTCAGAGCAGCATCGGGGGGCGTGGTTATTAAGATAGATTCCTCCAAATCTTGTATTCCCTTCATCCTCACGAGTTCGTTACGCTCCTTTATGACGACTACCCTTCTACCTATACCATATATTATAAGTACAACATTGGAAACCTCATCTATTCTCTGCATTCATTTTTTCTATCTCCCTCACCTATTACGTCGTAACTCAATACGCCATGGCCAAACCACTGTATTCTTTGCATTCTGTACGGAAGTTTCTCAGTTCTTTGATTTGCGTGCATCAAAGACTCTAACCTATGCTTGAATTTTATTTAGATTACAGTCGACCTGGGATTTCAGCTCCCAGGGAACAAGACAATGGACTATGCTCGGAGAGTATCCCAGGTAAGCACATGTAATATATGAAGGACTATATGAGGAGGCATCACAGCAACATCCGCCCTGCCCATCTCGGCATTGGTATGCATTCTCGAATATTATCGGCACCAGAGATCCAACTTATTAACCGTTCGAAACCCACACCAAAGCCTGCATGTGGTGCGCCACCATATCTACGCAAGTCAAGATACCACTCATAGCCTCCTTGCGACCCGTCCAACAAGCCGGCGTCACGCATCTTCTGTTCCAATACTGCCACCCTTTCTTCTCTCACGCTTCCCCCTACAAGTTCCCCTACACACGGAACGAGGAGATCGAAACACGCAACCGTCTTGTCATCGGGGTTGGCGCGCATGTAGAAAGGCTTCAAGGCCGCAGGATAGTCTGTCACAAATACTGGCCCTCCGATGAGAGTTTCGGCGAGCCAGCGTTCGTGTTCGCTCTGAAGACCATGACCCCACTTCGGTGTATAAGTGAACTTGACAGTTCCAAAAGTAGAAACCTTTTCTAGCTCTTGGATGGCTTCAGAATATGTCATGCGCATCCACGACGCAGGCGTCTCGAAGGCATTTTGCAGGATACGGCGCCTCGCATCTCCAACATCCTGCAAAAGTAAGTCAACGTCTTGAGTCGGCAATAGTTCGCCGACAGTCTCTCGCAGAAGTGCTTCCGTGAGGTCACACACTCCATGAACACCGTTGGCAGTTGGGAACGCCCATTCAGCTTCAAGCATCCAAAACTCGGCAAGATGTCGTCCAGTCAGAGATGGTTCAGCACGGAAGCAGGGTGATAGGGTGTACACACGAGACAGGGCCGTAGCCAGGGCTTCCAGATGTAGTTGATGGGATACTGTCAAGTAGGCAGGTCGAGAGAAGAATTCTGTTGGGGTTGGAGGTTGTGACTGGGTCGGTTTTGCGGCTGCAGGGTGCTGATTTTCCACTAATGCGAGACGGAAAGTTTCACCGGCTCCTTCGGCGTCATTCCCAGTTATTACAGGGGTATTGGCATAGCAAAACCCTTGGGACTGAGATAAGTCAGATTGATGTATGTTATGCGTAGAGGCTGGTCACCTCAAACCAGCCATTAATGCGACGAGCAAGGACATCCCGCAATCTTGTCATGGCTGCAATATGGGACGTTCGTGTTCGTAGATGAACGTGGTCGCGCAAATATTCGGCCGTCAGAGATTTCTTCTGGATAGGATAAGCCTGCAATGTGAGAGGCGCTTCAGTTCTCTCTGCTACATTTAAGAGATGTCTGTCATGTGCACCTCGGGGTTACAATCTCCAAGTACGACGACCTCTCCTCCAGTTTTCTCATCGACAAGAAGTTCGTGCGATTGGCCAGCACCAGGCGAGGATACGAGGCGCCCCATAAGACGAACGGCAGTGCCATTGGACAGTCTTCGTGATAGTTTAAGTTAACTTTAGACGACACGCAGATTAGTGAAAAGACCTTCGAAGCGCTTCATCGTCTTTCCCCTTGACTAACACAGCCTGCAGGCCCTTGGGACAACTTCCATCGTTGATAACGGCGAACGACACGTTCTTCTGCTTCCGGATGGATTTAATCCATCCCGACACGGTGGTGGTTGGGACACTATCTATTGCGCCTGTGGTTGGTGATGCAAGAAGCTGTCGAATTGTAGGAGGTAAAGAGAACTTCGTGGTTGCAGCTGTGGAAGCCAAACGACGAAGGATCATCGGGGAGAGTTGGGGAGTTGAAAGGTGCACGTGAAGACACGGGCTTGACGCGTCGGAAGGAATAACGGCGCGTCAGGGCGCGTCACAGCTTGAGAGTCCACACTTCATGCATCACCTCCAAATTCTGACTCATGATCTTGACTCTGAACGCCATGACCAGTATTCTCATCGACGGCAGCTTCCTCGAGGGCGGAGGCCAAATCCTTCGCAACGCAGTCTCCCTTTCTGCCCTTCTCTCGAAGCCTGTCTCAATCCGCAAGATTAGAAATAACAGGACCCCTCCTGGCCTCAAGAATCAGCACAGAACAGGCATTTGTTGGTTCGATTTTCTCATGGCCATCCCCACTAAGATTTGGTCTGCTTAGGCCTTGAGCTTGCAGCAACCATTGCAAATGCTCGCCTCACCGGCGCAAAAAACGGTTCTTGCGAGATTGACTTTGTTCCAGGACGCATCGGTCTACCAAATTGCTACCATGCAGATTCGGTCACAGCTGGATCTATTACTCTGCTTCTTCAGGTCTCTCTGCCGCTGCTGCTATTTTCGCCAACCAGGGTTCCTCCGTCCACCTTGACATTGCTAGGCGGCACCAACGCAACGATGGCACCTCAGGCCGATTACACGAAGCATGTCTTTTTCCCGTTTATTCAAAGGCATTTTGGGGTGGAGAAATTATCCCTAGATATTCGAAAGAGAGGATACTTCCCCAAGGGTGGCGGGGAAGTCTCCGTCACTGTTATACCTTTCTCTGATGGGCAGAAACTTCGCAGCTTCAGCCTCATGGAACAAGGAAAAATCAAGTGGATCACGGGGATATCGCACTACGCAGGTCTTCCTGCGGCGGTGGGTAACGGCATGGCAGCAGGGGCCAAACGAAGGCTTGCAGCTGCTGGCTTTGTAGAAGGAAAGACTCCCGGTGATGACGTCTCCTTCCCCGCCCATTGGAAGGCCCGTCACGACACCTTAGTTTCCATTGAGAGCCGGCGTGAACCTAACTCCTTGACGGTAGGGGCAGGAAGTGGAATTGTATTGTGGGCAGAACTGGAGCATGGCGGAATGATTGGCGGGAGTGCAGTTGGAGCTAAGGGAAAGGAACCAGAAAATGTTGGCGAAGAAGCAGCAGAGGAGCTCATCAGAGGGTTTGAAGAGGGCGGATGCGTCGATGAGGTGAATGATTCTTGTCCTTTTTTTTTCTTAGCATAACTCATCTCCGTCTAGTGGCTTCAGGACCAAATCATCATACTAATGGCTCTTGCAGAGGGCACATCAGAAGTGAGGTGCGGTTCAGCTGGATTAAGTCTTCATACACGGTAGGTGCCGTCATTGCCTTGAAAACATCCCTGATGGCTGACTGCAGCCTAGTACTGCTATCTGGTTAGCAGAACAACTGACAGGCGCTAAATTCGAGATTACGCATGAGTCCGATGGTACAGTAGTTGTTCGATGCGACGGCATAGGTTATACTGCCACTTCTATCTCACACCTAGAAAACGCTTCGTGATTGACAGAAACCTCCCCGATGTCCTGAGTACCATTTGTCATATAATTAATCATATCTACCGCAGCTCTCGATTAGTAGTCCCAGCAGGTTATAATACAGGGGAGGAGTATGCGGCGGCGGCGGCAGCAGCAGAGCAAGTGGTTATTGATGAATACATGCGTAAGCTTGCACAACTCATCGGTTCCATGACAACAGCGACATGTCTCCCAAACGCCTGCAGACGTGGTAAGATCAAGGTGTGCAGAGCAGAACGAAATCAAAGGATACCTTGGTTTTATCAAGTGCCGAGCTGTACCCAATACTGCCAGAAGCACAAATACTGACGCAGCAGCCACATACGCCCAACCAAGGAAAGGATTTTTTCCTCCTATCCATGACACCGTCGAGATGACAAACGACTTCGTTCCTTTATATGGCAGAACGGGGAAGTCTGTAGGATAAGGAGCATGAGGCTCTGTATTCAAGTTACTAAGAGCTCAACTCACTCAGCCCAATAATGACGCTGTAAGTGCCCTTCTGCATCACCTCAACGTCATTTCTGCCATAGAGTTTGGTGAATGTCGGCAACCCCGCTGTTCGCATCCAGTTTTGGAAATGCTCATTTGCGCGGAGGTCTGGGGGTGGGTTCTCTTCGGTGTACACTCCGTTGGGGTATTGCAAAGCCCAGTTCGGGGGAGGAACAATTTCCGATAAGCTTGAATATCCACCAGGTCCAATGGGAGAGGAGGCGTATTTCTTGGCCTCTCCTGGCCATGCAATACCCTTCGAGGAAAACACATATGGTTGTGAAGATTCCGAGGAGCCAGAGGGATTTAACAAGATCGGGGTCGAGAATGTATCTATGACAGAAGCACATGAGCGAGGTGGCCAATGAAGGTTTTTGCAAGAAACACCCACCGTTAAAGAACGAGTTCGCGATCAGTCCGCAAGGATATATGGCCGTGTTATTTATGGAGCCGAGGGGTTTGCAATCACCGTCGTCTAGATCTTTGGCGCTGACAAACTTGCCCTTCAGTTGGTCAGAGTTCAGGCTCTTGACATAACGCCTGTGGTTTTGGAAAAAATTGCTGAGCTTATAGTACCAAAGAACTGTCGGGTGAAGGTCTGCAGGGATGTTAAATTCCACGATACACTGCTTCTTCTGCAATACAGCAGTTACGGTGCTGTTCTCCGTGTTGTCGAGGAAAGCATAGCGGGGTGCGGCTGGTTTGGCATCCTTGTCGGAGGCACTGAGTCGATAAGAGTACTTGTTGGAAGGCACGTCCGAAAACAAGAAAGTGCCATTTGCGAGGGAGGGCGTGAGTCTTTCACATTCGGTGTAGTCAATCGTGATTTCCGTTATGCGGGAGGAGCCCCAGATCAAGAGGCCGCCTATGGGCGCAAAGAGAATACCGACAATGAAGAGCGTAGGCAACACGGTCTTCGGGGTGAGGATGGGCTGCCACGCCTTGAGCCGTTGCTGCTTAAATGCGGTGTCTAGACGGAGATGAGCAGAAGCCACAAAGCGACATGTCAGAAAACGCACTCGCTGGGCGCCTCCAGCCTCCCTTTTCCTTCTTGTTCTCAGAGTCAGCCGAGTCGGATTCGGTGGGCTTCTTGCGGTTGAAGAGCCCCATTGCGGAGGACGGTGGTGGAAGAGGTCAAGGAGATTGCCTTGACGGCGGTGTCGGCCGCGCAGCTGACCTCAAACTCGGGGCTCAGCCCAATCACGTAAGCAGATATGTCTGACCCCATCCTCACTGATCCCTGGCGCGTCATCCGCGACCTCTACACCGCCTGCGACCCCGCGACCACTGAAAAATTCCCGAAGTTTGTCACAGAGCACTTCAAATCTCATCTACAGGCTCCCGATGTCTTCGCTCAAGTCAGTTCCCTCGAGTCGTGAATTGTGGCCCGCCTGGCATTGATCATTCTCCCCTAGGTGCCCGTCCTCGACCTCAAGCATCCCCCAGAATCCTTCTCGGATGGCTCGGTTGTCGTTTTTCACGCGATGATTCAAGACACATCCATTTCTCCGGAGCTATATCTCGCGTTTAGCGAGAACGGGGTGGGAGGCGGGTGGGGGCTACCAGACGGAGGCACTAATCAGACCGGCGATGTTCGAACCTCGGATCTCCGCGAGTGCAGCGTGTTTTGGGCAGTGACTATTCCAGGGTTGAGTGCATGGTGTTTTGAAGGCAATCCTCTCTCAGAAACCTCGGTCGCTCATTGCTGCATGCGACCCCATAAGTACCCCGTGCCTGACGCGCCGCACATCGGCGTACAGCTCAAGGCAATATCTACATCTCATGGGTTTGCGGCTTTCTTTCTAAATTAAAAGGCAGATATACGATGAAACGCTAGCGCGCCCTCTCCGGACGACTGACTTATCATCCTTCGTTGGAATATTGACGTCTGAGCCGTAGGTTGCATAGTCATATGGCAAGGCCAGATACCTCATCATTTCGGCAGCGTTCAGGCTAGCTTGGAACAACCGACCCCATCCAACGTTGTTACACTCCACGTCCTGTTTTCAATAACGATTCCGAGCTCGGTTATTCCTAGACTTTTCCCAGACTCTAGCCTGATTCCAACTATTAAATCCTTGCGGGAAGAAATCATTCAGTGGATTGCAGATGAAGGTCTCGCTGGAGACCGTTACGCGGCGGAATGGGTCCTGTTATGTGCCGTTGCGAGAGTGTGCGTGCCCTCGTTGTTTCTTTTGACCTTTCAACCAATGCTTCTTGTAGTCGATCGCGTACCCCACCTGTTCTACCCCTCTCATTTACACTTGCAGGCTTTCCCCCTCCTCTTGGGGATTCAAGCACAACGCCAACACTACATCATGTATTATCGCAACTATTTCCTCTCGTCACAACCGTGCCTCTTTCCTTGAACAATTTAAATAATACGTCGTCATGTCCAGAATCCAAGGATGAAGACTTGCACAGTGGTTGGCTTCAGCATCCTAAAGGATCTATTCTGCTTTTGACCGAAAGTGCTGTAACAGAAGGAGGGATTTTCAACAAAGGTTCGTATCTTCCTGTCAAGGACGATTGCCAACCTGAAATTTTGAAATTTCAGGCGTCATGAACATACACTCAGTGCAGGAGATGATGAGGGATCAAATACTGGATTACATCTTTCCTTTCAGCAGCTTCCGATTTGACACAGATTGCAGTTTCGTGATAGTCACTGAAGGGAAGAAAAGCACATTCTTCAAGGCATGTACACATCTTTGTCGTTTGTTCTGTTTCCCCTGATAAAGGTATCCAGACGAACATCAATGTCTTGCTGCGGCCTGTCCTGCCAGTGGACCGGGCGAGACAAGCACTCTACAAATCTTCTGATTTGATTAGCTTGCCACCACCAGATAAATTGTCCCAGTTCCGTCGCCTTGTTGGTGGGTCGAAGATTGGCCAGGTCACTATTGGAGAGTCTACGGGCAAAGTATGTCATTTGTGGCAAGGTATCGTCCCTTTACCGATGTAATCCTCAGCATATCGAAGAGGATTTTCTCCAAGAACGATCCACAGCTACGAAGGGGGCCAAAGGCCAAGGTTTCACTCCTGACGACCTCGTTCAGCGCGTGCTTGTCGCAAGGCAAGTCTGAAACACTCTTCTTCAGTCTTTGATAACAACCGACGAGCAGATTGGTTGCACTTTCTTTTCACGAGGCGGAGTTGACAAAAGACAACTGGGACCACGCCAGGCGACTTGAAACCAGATAAAAATTAGATGATGAATTAGTGCCTATGCGCAAAACGATAATCGAATGATGTAACTTATAATGCTATGTACATAAAATATTGCATGAGCATCCCTGCATGGTGTATATACATGAAAATATAAGGAACGCAGAAAAAGCACGACCTCAAAATGTTCTAGCCGGTCTGAATTTCGGTTTAGGAGGTCCAGAAGTTGTGGGCGTCCGCATGTTAGGTGTTGTTGGAGGTCGATATTCAAACTCGTAATGCAGGGTAGCAGGACTGAAAATCTGAGGAGCAGACTTGGCCCTGTTTCTGTGCAAGGTGCGGATGGATCTCAGTCGGGAAATCGATAAAAAAGTTCAGAGAGCCACATACCCAAGAGACGCGCTTTTGTGCTGGATACAGAGTTGTAAAAATGGTTGGCCATATTGCTTCCACTTCATGTCTGCGATGGCTGCAGCATCTGGCCCGTCCATGTCCATCCCGTTGATCAATTCCTGTTTAAACGAGTTGTAGTCTGGGTAAACGTGTTAAAATATTGATGATTGGGAGGTGGGATGAACCTTACCTATTGGACAGGTCGCGCTCAGGTATTGCAAACTCGCATCATCCAGGACATCTTCGTCTTCGAGATTCTCATCAACCGTGATCTTGAGTCGTGAAACCGGGTCAGTGGGGACACGAGGAAGAGAAATCAATGGCATGCCTGATTACGAAGCTCCAGCATCCTGTTGTACAACACCTCAGGGGAGTGAAAGCCTAAGCAGGTACTTGTAGAAGACGACGGCTTGGTCACATTCGAGGTGCTCTTCACTGTAGACCTGGGAGGCTCCGCAGAGATGCTTTCGATGCGGGCCGGGGAGTCACCCATGTCGTACATGTCGTCGAACACCTCAATGGGATCGTCTTCCAACGCGGCCTTCTGCTTCCCTTTCCGCGATCGTAGAGGAGCACTGATTGATTCGAATTGGCCGGGGGCCTTCTTTCGTTGTCTAGGTGCCTTTTCAGGTTTTGGGTGCCAGTCTACAAGGAAGCTTTCTGCTCCGCTCAACAAGCTTTGCGCGTTTTGTCCGAGCTGAAGGAAACAGCAATTAAAAGCTGACATATTGGACGCGGGGTGGCGGTGACATACCACAAGGTAATTGCTGTGAAATCCTCGCCTGTTTTGCTCGGCTACTGTTTCAATGACCCTCTTATATACGAGACGGCTGAGCATGAGTTCCAGTAGCTCCTTCGGCAGCTCCGAACAAGAGGCGTATCCAGGCAGCTTATCATGACCCTTACCCCTCACGTCGGCCGTATTTGCGCCACGTAAAACGGATACAAATTGAGGCTGAGTTAATTTGTCTCCACGTTGACTCAAAAGCTGGATGAGTTTAATCGCATCGACGGCATTGGACGTGAGATCCTTCGAGACAGTTTCACGATCGGCCTCGCAGGTATCACACCCTCGACGACAAAGGGATTTGTCAAATCTTTCATCAAAATGCTGGAGGATCTGCACGCGCCGACATTCCGAGGTGTTCTCGCAAAATTGATAGACTTCGCGAACAGCATTTTTCTGCCTTTCTTTGCTCTCCTGGGTAGAATCTTCACTCTTCTCAATCTGGTTGTCTAACTTGGTTTTGTCTTGATATGAGTAAACTTTCAAATTATGGTGAGCAAGAGGAAGAGGATTACGCAAACTGAGACCTACACATAATACATTCCGCAGGTTCACCATCGCGTCCAGCTCGTCCAGTTTCCTGATAGTACCTGATGTTGTGCCAGGTTGAGTTGCTTTCATATTTACAGGAGGACATACTACAGACCCAGAGAGCGACTTCGGCATGTCGTGATGAATGACATATCGCACTGAAACGGTCAAGGTAAGATTATGAACATGCGCGGGCTAACTGATTGGCCAACCGTCAGATTTGTCGATACCCATTCCGAAGGCAATCTGGAATGGGTTTCAGCAAACAATGTTTAAAGGTGAACAAGAAAACTGAGCACCGTTGCGACAATAACAGGAACCACCCCTGCATGCCAATCGTGCACTGCTTGATCCTTTTCAGCGGTAGACATCCCAGCATGAAAGTGAGCGGCATCGATGTCCTTCTCGCGAAGATTTTCAGCTACGTTTTCACACGTCCGACGTGCATTGCAGTATATGATGCCGGTCTTGCCCTGTCTCGATTCCAAGAGGGCCACGAGCTCGTTTGTGATGTCCACTTTCGACTTCTTCCGCACAACGTATTTCAGGTTTGTGCGGTTGAAGGATTGAGTGAAAAAGGCATGATCCCGCAGTTTCAGCTGAGAGACGATATCAGCCACCGTGTGCTTGTTGGCCGTTGCAGTTAATGCCATGATCGGCACGTCAGGAAAACGATCACGAAGTGATCCAAGGGCAGTGTACTAGGAAGAGATAATTTAGCGAAATCCAACCAACAGATGAGAATGTATAGTACTGACCGCATCGCGAAAATCCTGGCCCCATGTCGAAATACAATGTGCTTCGTCAATCACAAATCTTGCCAAGTTGTCCTCTTTGGCCAAGATTGTCAGGATTTCATTGACCTTGTTGCTATCTCGAAGCTTTTCCGGTGTGATATACCATAGACTGGGCTTGCGCGAGCTAATGACCAAGCACTGCCAGTCATTTCCAACGGTTTCTGCATTGGAAAGTAAGGCATCAATCCCCTTTGCATTCAATCCCTCGACTTGGTCCTTCATGAGGGCTACAAGGGGAGAAACCACAATTGTTACTCCTCGTGTCTTTCCGCTGGTACATATCGCTGGAAGTTGGTAGCAAAGGCTTTTGCCGCCTCCTGTAGGCATGAGAACAAAAACATCCTTCCCTTGCATGGCCGCTGTAATGGCTTCCAATTGATTCTTCCTAAAGTCGACAAGCTTGAAGACTTGACGGAGCTGGCGCGAAATTTCAGGATAAAAGTCACTTGCCACTAGTGCGCTGCGCTCTTTATCCAATGACGGTGGAGGTCGGGGCTCGAATGGTGCCGTGGAAGTGGATGCAGCCGGGGGTTCATGCATGGGAATATCCTCCATGCCTTCCCAATACTCATCATCACTTTCAACTGCTTGTTGAGACAAGATAGGAGGAGGGACATATTCGGGAATAATAATTGCTTCTGCATTTTGCGGGAGGGAAGTTGGCTGCTGAGAAAAGACAGCTTTTTCAGTCTGACGCCTTTGAAGCTCAGAATTAACGGCATCAAGACGAGAGCGAAGGAGTTCTCTATGAAACCGGTAAAGAAAGAGAAGCGTACATGAACATCGTGGGCACTCACTCTATCTTAGAAAGGACCACAATATCCTTGGTCTTATCGCTGCCCTGCCAGTAGGCAACACACTCCTTGCCAATGTGCTGCCTGAGCTGACTATTGTACGCTTGGTACTGCTTCAATGTCTCAAAGGATTGCTGTGTCAAGTGGTAAGGCTTATTGAGAAGGTACGATCCACGGCACCAACACACCCCTGCTAATTCGTTGCCTCCGTTATCGAGTAGTACGCTCTGGGCAGAATTCCTTCTTGAAACGTCGACATTGATCTTCGATGAGACCCGTAAAACATTTTCCTTTTCCTCCTGAATTACCGTCGTCTTCTGGCGTTTTTGGGCATGTGGGGAGGCCTCTCCCGTTATGGATAAATCAGAAGAATCCCTCTTGATTGCACCTCGGATGGGGGTCGGAGGACCGGAATCGCTCGAGATGTAGACAACTTCCCTAGGGTTGGGCAGAAGTTTGGGCTTAGACGAAAGATTGGGTTTGGACGCTTGAAAACCAGGCGTAGAGAAAGAGGATAAACCAAGGCGACGAGCTAGCACCAGGACATCAGTAGGAGTTAGTGGCGCGGGAGCTCGACTGAATACGAACAACTCTCTGACTTGTGAGCGGGAGGAATAGAGGGCTTAAACTTGGAGCTCTTTGGAATATATCAATTGAAGCGTAAAAACCGGGGCAGCCAAGACGCACCTTCACGGGCCCAGCTGAAGTTGAACCTTTCACGGAGATACTCATTGGTCCACCATTTGCTGTTGGCGTAGATGCTCCAGACATGAGAGGCGTCCCTCGTAGTTTCCACAGATCGCCTCTGCTTACGATCTGCTTACGGCGATTGAAGCATGCGCAAATTAGACGGCAAGGATGTCGTTTCGTAAACGCCGCCGGACGGTATAAGGAGGTAGATGTCACCCGTAACACGGCGCGGGCATCGTGACAGGCGCGTCGATCACATGATCGTGTAGCCTCAAACAAACCTGGACCGGGCCAGGACCGTGCGTCCTCTGCTGATGCTCGTGCCAACTTTCTGCGTCAATATTACTTATACGGAGCTGTCCTGTTCGGAGTCCAAACTCCACTGTCACATCTCACTTCGACTACTTTCCCCGTCATGGCGAAAGGAATTTTTCCTCGTATGCTCATTCCGGATATAATCAACGCACTTGCTGGCTGGGGCATATCTGTTAGTCAAGAACAGCTCAAAAGCCCAACCGCCGACTTTGTCGAGAACGTCTATTCCGCTTGTCTTGAACAGCTTACAGGTATCAGCCATGAATCGCTCCGGGAACCCGTTCAAAACGCGTTAAACGCGTCCCAGGTGGAAGATAAGGTATGGGCATCTGTGATTTTCGCAGCCGTTCTCAATCTAAATGACCGAAGGACCTCTATGCTTCTGCTCTCTCCAGCAACATAATACTTTACCACCTGTAAGCGATTATTTATTTATGGGAAGTGTTTCTCTTACGAATTCATCCATATAGAACCCGATTCGCGAAAGCCGCAAGAGTTGAAGACTTCAATTCGAGGGACTTGTATAACCCCGAGAGAGAACGAACCATCGTCCTGCTTTCGGCGTTCATCAATTTCGTCAAATTTACAGAGCAGTTCTGCGATCCATTTCTCAAAGATCTTCGCGAACGGTCTGACACCCTCATCGCGCAACGGGATAACGTTCAAGACCAATTGAACGAGATACAAAGAAAGTTGGACGAGCTAAAGTAAGTCTTTGTTGACCCATATGTTACTCCTTCACAAATCTCCAGAGGTCGAATCGTCCAAGACAAACCCATCTGCGAGCAACTCAATGCTGAAAACACGTCTATTACAAACACCATGTTTATGACGAAGGATGCTCAATCAAAGGCCGTTCGTGACGTAGAGCAATACAAGACCGAACGAAATACTCTGATGAAGCGGAAGGTGGGTATTTACTCGTTGGTAGAGTCACTCCCAAGGGGTTAATGCACCTGGCGTGCAGGAAGCTCTCAACGGAGAAGTCAAGAGCCTCGAAGAAGCCATTACGCGGACGCGTGCCAGAATAGTCCAATCGCCAGAGCGTATCAAGAAAACAATTGCCATCATGTCAACCACGGCTAGGGAGGACAAAAAGACGGTCCTGATGCACGAAACCAATGCGCGAGATCTCCAAACCAAAATCAGTGCGCTTCATAACATTGAAAAGGTTGTGTCGTGATTTTTCACCCAATTTACTTCGCTGATTCCGAAATAAATAGGACGTGCGCGGGTGTATAGAGCAAATTCAGACGATAGCAAGAGAAGTGCAGTCCCTTGATGTGTCTCAAAAGGCTCTTTCCCAGCTTCGGGACCTGCTAGATGAGAAAGCTATTGAAAGAAATGAACTGTGCATGAGGCAGGAGGTGGGCCACACACCAACAAGGTTTATGAACGTGGCTAACAGCTCAGCTCAGCGAGTTAATGACCAACTTGTTAATGCTCAAGCCAAACTTGAAAGAGCCCAGAAGCACGCGGAAGACAGGAAACTGGCGAGCCAACAAACCATTGACCGATTGCAACGGGAATACGATGGCATGGTTCTTGAAAGAAGAGAGAACGACAAGCAAATTGAGGAAGTTCGCGAGGAGGCAAATCAAGTAGAAGCCAAGGTTCAAATCTCTTTGCTTTGCGCGTTGCTCGTAGAATAACGACTGCATTGCTTCCAGATGAACGAACATTTAAAGCAAAGTGAAACAGAGCTCAATGAACTAATTGCTGAATACCATCGATTGCGACATCAAACAGGTGCTTTCCTTTTCTCTCCTTCGCTGAAAGGCGCTCAATTCTCTTTCAGAAGTTTATATGGAAACACTAGCCAATACGTTAAATATGCGAGTTACCTCTGACTGACAACTATTTATCTTGTTATCCCGTACCTTACTATAACATTAAAAGAATTGGGGGCTGCATCCTCCTGTACTCTATTATTCAAAGCAATATCGCAGGGACACCATATACGTGTACACTACACTATACAATGCGCACAGCAAATATTTAGGCCTCATCGACTCTGCAGTCTTCGCAGAACCATTCGCCTTCGGGTGGCTCGGTCAATCCAACACAACCATAATGGAACTTGAAGTGCGGTGTGCAGATAGTCAGGTCAGGTGAAGAACCTTCAATAGGATTTCAGAACGAACCCATTCTTTCTCGCAAGATTCGTTATCACAGGCTATCATCTAGCGTACAATGAGTCCGTATGCACAAACAATGAATAGTCGTACAAGGACTCACTTCTCCGAAAGAGATACGATTACAATAGCAGTACAATTCTTCGCTCGGTTGCGTAGCAGGCAGGGTTATAGTTAATGAGGCCGAGTCTTTTCCTGATTCCTCTTTATCTGGTTTCTGTTTGTCTGCAGGAACCTTCCCTTTCTTTCTAGACCCGCGTTGGGAAGACTTAGCAGCTTCCGGTACCGAAGGTGGGATCTCAGTGGCTACAGGCGGATCATCATCCGAAGAGCTTTGAGCAGGGCGGCCATTCCGATTGGGCAACTGTGGGGCCACCACTTCTGGAAGGCGAATAGAAGTGCCATTGTTACCACGAGATGAGTCTTGCGACAACGACGCCTCTTGCTCCTTGATGGCTTGGTCGAGGAGCTGGATGTGTCGTTCTACCTAGGAGAGCAAGTAAGCGATACAGAAACCGGTCGAGAAAAAACAACGCTTACAGAATCATGGTTTGCCCGAGCGAGATTGACTTTCTCTTGAGAGGCACGTATTAGCTCTTCTGACATCCACGCAAGATAAGAAAGTAGTTCTATAGTCGTTTGCGGCGGGTTTTGCCTGTCTGGCGGCATGGGCAGGGGAATGAATGGCCCCGCAGACGACTGGCCGTCACCACTTCGCAGCCGTGTTAGCGGCGTCGCTAGAGCAAAGTTCGGTGGGCCGGTGGGCTTTCCGTTGCAGGCCGTACCGTCTTTATCACCGACAGCCATCGCCGTGGTCGCTTTCTCACCCGATTCAAAAGACCCATTCGCGATGGCTTGCCGCGTGCTGATGTATTGTACGAGAGCTGGAAGAAGGCGAGCAGTACACGCTGCATGAAGGCTTAATGACCCAGCCGCAGGATTTAAGCAACAAATCCACCTATGGTTTGTTCGTCAAGCTGTCGCATGAGAGATAGCTGTCGATGCAACGTTAACGGAAGTTGTTCAATAGCTGGCAAATTTGAACGCATGAAGAGCGATTTCAGTTAGGGTGCACTTGCCCACCGACCTTCGTAATGAATTTCTCTGATCGCGTCCCAAACCTCCTGTTCCTTCTCGCTCCTTTCCTTCTCATCTACGGCAGCATCTTCTAACGCACCATTGTGTTGAGAAATTTCTTCTTCTTCTGGGAAGGCCTCTTCACGTCTCCGCTTTCGTGGCGACATTGGAGACGAGAAGTTCAGTAAGAGGAATTCTGTCCAGCCTGAGGTTGGGAGTTGAGATCAAATATCGCGGTCGCGTTAGAGTCGCGTTACGCGTTACTTTTCCTGCTGACAACCTCAACCACTGGCAGTAGAGGTTATTTGCAGTTCTGAGTGCTCCACAAATCCGTGAATCTGATTGGCTTGGGGCCTCCTTCAGCCAACGAGATTTGCGCGATTCTAGGAATATTCGAGGTGCAAATAACCTCTAGTCAAGCCTCGACGTCAATCATGCCTTCGAACAGCCCCCACGTGCTGTACCTAATAATATTACTGGCGATATGAAGTTGTGCTCACACCTTGCTCATACACCACTTGAACGACTTCCCCACCAGCCAGGGCGACGATCTTAGCAATGGCTCTTCGAGCTCTCGAGGCTTCTACCGGAGCTCTGAACATCGCCGCGTCGCTTTGTGGCATACCCTTCGTCGGAGCCATCGCCATCGCCGTGGAAGAGATCGTCAAGACCTGTGGCGAGGTCAAAACCCACAAGGTTGAGCTGTTTGGCCGTGACTGGAGAAGCTTTCCTCTTACTCTTGTCCTGCAGCAAAAGTCGAAGCAATTGTCCAACAGATGCATACAGATTCTGAACACCCTCAATGAGCAAACCTCCAAGATGGAAGGATCAAAACTGCAACAAATTGCAGACCAGCTCTTGCCGTGTGTAATCGTTCTGCCTCTGTCCCGAGCCTCGTCGATCTGAATACACGGCGCCAATGCACAGGATTCTCGAAAAAGTCCTAGATAAAACACGTAAATGGTCGAAATACAACTCGGTCGTGACATTTTGTAGGCTATTTCACCCTAATATGTCGAAAACCTGCAATCTTGACGGGCGTCTTGTGCAGTGAAGAATAGCGAGATCAGGGATGGACTAGACCTCTGCGACATAGAATTGAATTCCGCCATGACTCTTTTCCATGTAAGCTTTCGCCCCTTGTCAGATATGCAGTTTGCAGATTGACGCTTCTTATCGTAGATCAAGTGCGTTCCAATGATCCCTAGTTGGCAGTCTGCCAGAGCGATCATCATACTGTCCACAGCTCCAACATCATAATGCATTCGGCTCAATGCGACATGATGCATACCATGAGGAGCAACACTGCCGAACTCAGCGATCTTTTACTGCGCATATTAACCGTTCAATCAGAAACTCGAACTATTATAGAAATGCAGAACTCTGGCCAACCAGTCGCAGAGCAATTCATGCGCGCGGGACAACAAGTATACTTTCTTGCTTTCAGCCCAAAGTTTTTCTTAAAGAAAGCTTTCTACGTGTCGTAGGAGCTGTCCCTTCTTCGTCAGGCAGACGGAACTCGCGGTGTCATGTACACGCCACGAACAGCCTCCCCAACGCCACATGCCACTGATAGCCAAAGATACCTGCAATACCAGCGAGGCCTGATAACTCTCCACCGCGAAACCGGGATACCTCCGACAATCAAAGTCCTCAACGGCGAAGTGACGAAATATGGAGATCTGGCAATTGCTGGTGGTGTGTACAGCGACATATGGGCTGGCAAGTGGCTCGGAGAGGAGAAGGTGAGAAGGATGGCCAGTCTCGTTTCACTCTTCTCAGCTTTTCGAGTTCAGGTTGCACTCAAGGCCTTGAGGAACATCAGAGTGTCCGATCCGAAGGCTAAGAAGGTCAGACAACGCTTGCTCATTCTTGGGAAGACCATTCACCATATTCAGCGTTTCGAAAACGAGATCAACCTCTGGGCCAATCTGAAGCATAGCAATATTCTGCCATTTTATGGGATCGTCACCGATCTGGGTCAGCATATTCATATGGTCAGCAACTGTTTGGTTCTCCGAGAGCCGCGCACGCCATTAACTTTCTATAAGGTATCACCGTGGCAAGAGAATGGGAACGTCCTCGAGTACGACACCTTCGTCTCGATCTGCGCGTAATTTTAATCACCTTTCGAGGTTTGTGAAGACACATCGTGATGCGAACCGTATATCCTTTGTATGTCCATTTCCAAACCCTTGCAAACGAATCGCCAACTTGTGAAAACCTAGATGGCTGGGGCGGCCCAGGGATTAGAATATCTTCATCTACGCAACATCATCCATGGAAATAGTATGTTCCCAACTGCCCATATTTCCCATTATTCATTCAACACCTAAATTCAGTGAAGTGTGTAAGTCTTTGATCAGTGGCCTCGACGGATCATCGTCTTATGGCGCTTCAGGCGAATATACTCGTATCAGCGAAGGTGCGTTTCTTGCCTTACGTTCTCGTCAGCCTTTGCGCCAACCAATTGGACAGGGCGAAGCCCGCATCTGCGATTTTGGAATGTCCAAGGTCATTGAAGAAGTTACGGAGAAGAGCGCGTCTGCGGCCCTGACGGAGGGTGGTAGCGCACGGTGGCTAGCTCCCGAATTGATAGAGGGGAAATCACCATCCAAGGCTGCTGACACATATTCCTTTGCAATGGCTCTTCTGGAACTGTTGACAGGAAAGTATCCTTTCGCAGATTGCAAGAGGGATGCAACAGTCATCCGTAAGATTGTAGTCCTGAAGCAAATGCCAGCCCGGCCTAAGGACAGAGAAGTCTGTTTGTGGCTATCAGATGCATTATGGGATTTGATGGTGTGTTGCTGGCAAAAGAATGCATCTGCACGTCCCTCAATAGGGGAGGTTGCATCATTCATGAAGAATTTCAGTTTACCAGCTTGACTAGACACCATCTCATTCTACTAGATTTCTACCTACTGGAGCATATATCTTTGGACTTCCTTAGATCTGTGTCAATAATGAACATCTGATAAGTTGGTCTGGTCCTTATCACAATCAAAAGCAAAGGCAACAGCATATTTTCAAGCATAGGTACAAGAAAGCAAAAATACAAGCAAAAAAAGCATGGTGGATCATCAAAAAGAAAAAAGAAGTGTTCAATTACCCCATCATAGTCAATCTTGCTTGCAATTGACCACAAGTTCTTGCCCACCACTCCTGTTGTTGATCACCTCACCTTGCCCACCCATTGTTTCCTTGGGATAGACGGTGCTGTACATAGGATAGTGGCTCTGAATGGCACCCTCACCATTAGGTCTGGCAATGGAATAGTGGGGGTGATAGGGCACAGGGGTGATGATGGCAGGTTGATAAAATCCCTCGGGGGAATACCCTCGGGTCTCATCCTCCGAAACGGTGTGTAACTGGCCCTGCATGTGGGGGACTGGAGCCAAGAAATATGGCTGAGCTGAGTACACGGGTGGGCTGTCTCCCTGCTTGGATATGGCGGGTGGGTACTGAGGGTAGAAGCCAGGAGGTGGAGGATAGCCGACGGGGAGGTAACCCCCGGGGATTGGTGGACCGCCTGGAGGCGGAACCGTGTTTGAGACAGGCACGCCCTGTGTGGGCACGTCGGTGTGGTCGACGCTGTTGCCTGCGCGATCTCAAGAAAAATCCGGGACGGTCCGTGAACATCCACGTATGACGAGGGCAGAAAGAAAAGGGAGGCGGAGTGGGGAAACACACCTTTTCCATCGCGCTTCTTGTAGGGACCCCTTTTGATCCCTTTTTTCCGCTCCTTTCTTTGGGAATCGACGCATTCTTCGGAGACGCCGTACTTGACGCATCTGAGACATGGACGAGCGTCGTCGCACTTCTTGCAGGCCTTCTGGCAGTTTGTGCAGGCGTTCTTGACCTGCCTGCGCTTTGAACGGAGAGGCTGCTGAGTGGGGAGGAGGGAGTGTGGGAAGGGGTAGACGTGCACTGGCATTCCAGAGAAAGCGGCAGAATGCAGAGCGTGTGTGGGCATGTGGGAGGGAGGTTCGAGGGGCTCCTCGCCGTCGAGGGCTTTGTCTTCGACGGACGGCATAGTGTGAAGAGCAGGGATGTGGCCGAGCGTTCCTCGGGTCAGCCTGTCTCGCCGCTGACATAATGACGATCTATCTGCCAGACGGCCCTCAGCGGTTCAGCAGACAGCCACCGCGTCGCTGCCCATGCCCATCGCACACACAGACCACACACCCCAGCCAGGTCACAGAGCACAGCGAGCACACCCCTTGCCGCGCCTCACCGCGACCACCATCAGCCAAGCTCCGCCATATCCAACTCCGCGCATATACTGCACAATGTCACACACGCGTCAGTCACACCTCTTTCCCCAACCAGCATGGGCATCCGCCAGGAGGTCACCGACGCGTTCGCCACTCTCGGCCTCACCCCGGATGTCGACCAGCAGACCGCCGCAAAGACGTACAAGAAGCTAGCCCTCAGTCACCATCCAGACCGGAATCACGGCGACCCAACTGCGACCCAGCGCTTTCAGCAGGTGCACTTGACACACTCTCCTACCACCCCCTTCTCACAACCCCATAGATCGGCGCAGCATGGGACATATGCCAGAGACATTACGACAACCCGTTGTGGAGTCATCGTTCAGAGTTCAATCCTGACGAGGATGACATCGTTCTGGAGGAAGATGAACTCTTTGATTTCTACATGTACGCCGCCTCGTGTTGTCCTCCCTTGGTGAAAACAAGTTTTCTCATCGTGGGCATCTATCTAGGTTTATGTTCGCAGAAACTCTATTCGATCGATACTCGAGGGCGAGAGGACGGCGTCAGTCTCTTTCACGTCTTACTCGCCATTAGGCTGACATTTTGGCTCTTGAAAGGATATCGCAATGAGCGCTCTGGACGTGGCGGGCGCGATCTCTCGACATTTTCTGAGGCATTTTCGGGTGGCTTTGCGGATTCCTTAGAAGAACGCCAGGCTGCCAACACGGAGCGACAGCGAAAGGAAAAGGAGGAGTATGAAAAGAGGAAGCGCGAGTTGGGTAGGCATTCCTTCTCCTCTATTCCTATGTTTCGATCTACTGAGCGCCTCTATCAGAGCTCGAGATCGAACAGGAGGAACGCGAGCGCAAAAAGCAGGCTAAGAAGGCAAAGGCAGATGAAGAGCGCCAAGCCACGACCTATGAACGTCTGTTCCAGGTACCTCTTTTCTTGAATCCTGCAACTTCGAAAGCTTACGGCACCACCAGGCTGCACACTCAGGGGACTCTCGTGCTGTGCAAAAGGCCGTACTGGACCATGATCTCGATGTCAACGCGTCGAGAAAACCCGCGAGGCAAACCGGGAAATCGGATGAGGCAGCTCAACATGAGTCGCTGCTGCATGTTGCTGCGAGTCACTGCGACGAAGGGCTTGTCATGTTCCTAATTGAAAAAGGTGATTGATGTGATTCGTCGCGTCCTAAGTAGTCGCTAATTGGTCTTGTATAATTAGGCGCAAGCTCCACGACCTTGAACAAGCAGCTGCTTACTCCGTTCCACGCAGCGATCAAAGCAGGCAATACTCGTGTTGTCCGCTTCATACTGGAGCAACGCGGAAGGCCCTTCGAAACCTATCATCCCTCGAAAGCAACCGCGTCGGGGCGCACTCCACTACAATTAGCGATCGAGAGTCGGGACCCAGCCATGGTCGAACTTCTGATCAAACACGCGACGACACACGACGTTGAAAAATGTTGGAAGCAGCAGTCTATGCCAGCGGAAATTAAGGATATTTTGCGGACTAAGGTAATTTTTTTTGCATCTCTCATTGTTACAATTTGTTAGTATTGACGAATACCTGTTCTTAGAAAGGGTTTGTTCCACCTGGAGAGGCAGCTCAACAGCCCCCTCCACCACCAATTTCGAAGAAGGTCCTGCGTCAACAAGAACAGCTCCGACAGAAGGAAGCTAGAATTGCTGAAGAGCAACAACGAGCTGCACTGAACCGTCAATTGCGAGATGAAAAGGCCGCGAGGCGTGCCATACAAGAACAGGAACAAGCTGCCATCAAGCTTGCACAGGAAGAGGCCCGAAAGGCTGAGCTTGAAGAACGGAGAAGAATTAATTATAAAGAGTTGGAGGAAGCACGTGTACGTGAACTAGAGGAAGCACGCTTGAAGGCTGAGGCTGAGGCTGAAGCACAAGCCGCACGAGCCAAGGCGGAAGCCGCAGCGCGAGAGAAAGCAGAAGCATTGGCACGAGAGAAAGCACGGGCAGAGGCAAGGGCCAAAGCAGAGGCCGCTGCACGAGCCAAGGCAGAGACCACTGCAAAGAAGGCTGAGCTTGTTGCCAGACCAGAACCAGTAGCGAAGAGGCTCCCACAGTCATCTTCACAACGAGGCCCAAATCTAGAAGCAGCATCAGAGCCAGTGAAAACGACCCTCGAAGTCCGTTCTCAGCAGTCGCTTCCTTCAAATGTCGGCACTTCAACAAGCACACCGGTTCGTGTCGGAAAGAGAGTGTTGACCCAGGAAGAGCGCAAGCAACTACGTCGTGACAAACTGCAAGAAAAACGCAAGCTGAAGAAAGCGCAACCCACGCAACAAGTACAGGAGTTTGTGCCCGAGGCCCCACCGTCGACTTCCAGTGCGGCAGTTCCAGAGGACATATCCACAAAACGCAAGTCAGGGATAAAGAAACTGCTATCTGTGGTGAGACTGCAAACTGCCTAAATATGGGTCCATTCTCACACATAGGCAGAAACTAGTCAAGGATCTGGAAGGTATGGATGACCGCCAAAGAACGAAGGTACATATGTCAGGTCACTTTTTTTCGCGTGTTGATTTCTGACGGTTTCTCAAGCACGAAGCGATGATGCGGCGTCGAGCAGAGCAGAGCGCTCGCGACAAAGAACGCCATCGTCGTCTGATGGAAGAGAAGAAGGCCAAAGAAAGGGCAGTAGTCACTGAATACGTGCCGTTGACGCCTGTCTCAACGCATACGTCCCGCAATGAGCCCTCCGCGAGCAGCTCGTAAGTGTTTGGTTCTGCCCAATGGTGCCCAAGTTAAACGGAAAACACCAGTTTGCCGCGCCATTCTGTTGGTGAATTTTCTAGTACCTCTCCACTGCCAACGGAAGCCGAGAACATACAAACCTGTGTGGTTCCTGATGATCTTTTTCGTGACGAACGTCGGGTTCAGTCTGGAGAGACATTTGCGCAAACTGTGCAGCCAATAGAGCCGTTTGTGTTTCCAGAGGCTCCTCCAAGCATCGTACCGCCAGCATCGACTCGTGCGAACTACAAATATTCGCGCAGACGACACAAAGTTGCATCATAAGCAGATAGAGAGCTTTTCTTGATTGTACAATATGTAGATACAGACACATTCACAATGGACGACCTTCGCATCATTGCCGAACCTGCCACCATGGCCAAACAAGGGTCAATACGGACATGAGGTGAATTTGGCCAACAAACCTCTTGCGCGCCAGACATCTCTGCCAGGCGGATTTTCCTCTGGCAGTCCCGCTTCCTAGAACACCCCATCCCTCATCTTTTCTCGCTTTTCTCCTTTGTTCCTCTCTTGGGCTTTTATCTTTTTCCTTCCACGGCCTACCGTGGCTTAATCGAATGTCGACTCCTCCATCACCTCGTATCGCTCACACTGCTCAGATCAGTGTCTCGCAAAGGAAGCGCGATCGACCGACCGCCCTTGAAATTCCAGACGAGGACAAGCAAGCATCATCAGACGGAGAAGTTGGCTACGAGACATATCCTCTTTCTGAGGACCAACGCGGGGAACAGGTATTTTCAGCCCACTCTCTTTCCAACAGGGCTTTATTTAGTCCTTTTCACCAGCAACAGTTCGACCTGAACATTCCAGCAGCCGAAGATGTGTCAGAATCCGAACAAAACGTCTCGCGTTCAGCATCCGCCACCTCATCTCTCGATCCTTATTACTTCGGAATCCAGTCTGAATCCGAGTCGCCAATTCCACCTCTCCCTCCGACTTCCACGTACCTAAGCACGACGCCAGATCATCAGTCGCCTAATGAACCTGTCACCCCCGCGCGTAATCCGGCCATGATCGACAGGCGTGGACTTGTTGGTGTTGGTGAGCTTGCAACCCCGCGTTGGGGGCGAGAAGAGAGAGGGGGCGAGCACGACATCTCGGCGTCCGAGGTCGATGCTGACGGATACGATGTTGTCGTTCCGGAGGATGTGGAAGAAGAAGAAGAGGATCAACCTGACAGCCCTTGGACGATTGAGGCTGTCGATGGTGAGGCATCAGAGAAAGAAGAGGTATGTGCACATCACATGAAATTGTGTTCCTCTAAAAAGCGCCCCTAGCTCGCGAATCTACAGCCCCCGACTCGTACATTGCGCAACCGGCCGTCTATTGCTGACGAAAGTGGAGGAGAAGAAATACTGTATCCACGGAACCTCAACGGCATTGGCGCTGAACGCGCTGGACCTTCTAAAGTCAGGGCTGAGCACGGTTCTTCAACAAAGGAACCGATCGCTGCTCGACCTGTTGAACCAACCGTACATGAGAACCTTCCGTTGTCACCCCCTAGCTCCTTCAACCAGTCTACTCGGAGAGCTCGGAAACGTACCTCTGATGAATTTGAGATGGACCAAACGGGTTCCTTGGTCTCCAAATATTCTGGATCGTCATCATCTGCGAAGGAAAGGGCAAAGGATGATAAATCATCAGCTCGCAAGCATCGTAGCCTAAATATGGGACCTTCCTCAAGAGACAACAAAGTGAAGGAGCGTCGACGAGAAAGTACTGGTTTAACAATCAATAGCAGCCTCAAGTCACCTCCTTCATCCAAATCTTCTGATCGTCACGTTCGCCAAATCTCTGCCAGCTCGACGTCCTCAAACCACCCAGATACCTCTCACTCCCGCCGGGTTCATACCACTGATTTTTCACATCTTCCCCCATCTCCATCGTCATCTTCCATCCAGCAATTTCTTCGAAACACGGCTACTGCCGTATCTCAACCTTCATCATTACATCGTTCATCAAAGGACAATCTCCAGATACACTCATCCCCCAACGTTGCACACTCATTGCTGCGAGGAACACAGGAGGGTTGGTCATCTTTAGACGACGAAGCCACGGCGGAAGCTTTACGCAAGCTAGATGGCCTCTCCGGAAAGGGGGCACGAGCACGAGCAAGTGTTGGTAGCTTCGGACGGCCATCTAGTGCAAGCAGGCCAGGAACACCTGCAGGCAAATCTGGGAGCCAGTGGGAGGGGCTTAGTGCTTCAGATTCGGGCAAATCAAAGCCTAGCAATGCCGGTTCCAACACTTCAATCAAGGAGCATTCTCGTGGTGGAACAGCAGTCACAAACTCCGATGTGGTCGACATTGCAGACACGTCTATAGTTGCGACAAGCAGCGACGATCAACTGGTAAATCCATCGATCCTTGAGAAGACTCCGAAGAAGCCAAATGCAGGCGTGCGCTTGAGCTTCACTCCCAAACGTGGATCCACCTCTTCTACGACATACACAAGCACTCCCAGTTCGCGTGATTCTGCGTCTATGTCTGCAGCGACAAGTGTCACGTCTATGTCCGGTGCTTCCGGTCGACAATCATCGAACAAAGGCCGAAGGAATAGCGCAAGCAGTGATATATCAAGCGTTCATTCCTCTGACGCGGCGTTGAAGGATCGTGTAGCTTCCATTGCTGTTAATGGTGACGTAGCCGACGAAGGCGATGTTCCGCCCGTCCCGCCATTGCCAAAAGATTTGTCGACCTATCGCTCACCTCCATCTACGTCCTCTGGTCTTACTTTCCCGCCCATGCCCCCCGATGACAAAGATAGACCAATGACGAGCGACGGTCAACTCAACCGTACAATTTCTCTCGAGGTGCCCTCATATACGAACTCAGTGGTCTCTCCTCCACCGTCGGCTCGTCGAGAGAGTCTGCTTTTTTCGTCTAATTCGGGTAATGAGAGTGCTCCTGTGATTCTCAAAACGCCCTCGAAGAAGTGGAGTTTTTCAAGCGCCTTGAATCTCAAATTGTCTGGTTCTCCTTCGTCTTCGGGCCAGAAAACTTCTTTTCCTCTCAGTCCGCGATCCATCACCTTTGGGCAGCAACTTCGGAAATCAAGTTCGAAGGATCAACCAATGTCGTCATCGTCGTCGAAGATGCCGTGGTCACCGAACCAACCTGAGGCCATGGCCTCTGCGGGTTCCTTGACTTCTCTGTCTTCCGTAGGGTCTGTCAGAGGCACCGCACAAACTGTGGGCACCGCTAAGACTCCCGACCGCGGGTTAGTTTCGAGTCGACCAGGCACAGGCTCAAGCGCCAGCACTAATCACACAACATCAGCTTTGGCTCCTCAGCCTGGTCCGCTCAGTCCTTCCTCATCTGTACGCCGTAACCAATCGAAACGATTGACCCCATCCTCCATACCCTTTTTCCGCCGGTCATCCTCGCAATCCATGCAACTTCCGCCTCAGAATGGTGCAGCTTCCTCGTCATCACCCACGTTCCCTGGGATGCTCTCTACTCAACCGCGTCAGAAGCAGAACAAGTCTCCTGCACATGATTACAACTCTTTGTCCACTTCTACTCCAGGAACAACGCACAAGAAGCCTTCTGTCCTTAGCTTAGGCTTGCCCTCTCTCCTGAAGTCGAGCTCTAGAAGGAGTCTCCACGCAGATTCGAAAGAGGCAATTAGAGAGGCGCAAAGAGCTAAGGAAGCTGTGCGTGAGGCCGAGAAGGAAAGGCAGAAGCTAGAGAAGGAAAAGCAAAAGAAGGAGGAAAAGGATAGGAGTGAGAGTCGTATTTCTGTTATCATCAACAGGAAGAGGGGCAAGGTATTATCCAGGTGCAACACCTCAAAGCGAGTACTAATCTGCATTTTCAGACATTATCGTCCACTGATCCTAGGAAGCCTAAATCACCAGTCAATCTGCCACCCATGCAGATCTCAGCTCTGGAACCCGTCACGGCCCAGCGTGTGGCGAAGCTTAAATCTTCGTCTAATGCTACCCCTGTCGCTTCGAACTCCAGCCGGGCCTCCGTCTCCTCCTCTCGCTTAACTTCACAGACTATGAGTTCGATGCAGAAGCAGTCCGATACATCTCTTCGTAGCCGCAATCAACTTCCGACCATAGCGGGCTCTCCTTCCGTTGGAACTACAGGGACCAATAGCTCTCAAACTCTTAAGGAATCAAGAGAACCCTCATCGCTGACGAATTCTACATCAGGACTTCCTAAAGAGACTCCGACAAAGATACCCCGCATCTCCAGTCGAACTTCCGCTGTGATCTCGCCTCCTCTGAAGAACTCCGGGTCTGCATTAGCAACGAGACGGGCAAGTGGGCTGGTGACTTCTTCCGCCAATGCTTCCCCAACCAGTTTTTCCACCAACGAGTTTGGAGTGATGGAAAGCGAAGATGGGGCAACTCCTAAAGTTCGACAACCGTCCGTCCGTGGCTCCCCATCAGCTTCTACCTCTCGCGTTCTTCGTCAGTCCTCTACGGCGGGACCATCAAGTGTGACCAGCGTTCCGCGGAAGACCAATCGCGATTCTGTTTCCTTCATTGGCCTGCGGAAGTCTTCGACCAATTCAGTGGCTTCTCTATCCACTTCCTCGACAGCTCCTGTTACTGAACCTTCGTCTCATCATCGATTCTCGGTCCTATCTCCTTCAAAAGGTTTGAAACTTTTGGCTCCCAAAAGCAGCGCTAGGGCGCCAGCGTCTGGTCTCAACCAAAATGCTGGCCAACCATCAGGATCACCTTCGTCATCTCGACAATCTCTCTCGACACCTTCTCCTGTACCAAGTACTGTCGACGAAGAGGAGCTATTAGGCGATGAGGAAATGATGCACTATATTCGCCGTCAACACGCGAAGAAATTGGCTGCTGGCTCTACTCAAGAAGAGCTTGATGAAATGCTCAAATTCCCTGAACCCCTGCCACCCGCCACGCCTTCTTCTCCGGCTAGTAAGTCGTCACCGCGTTGGCTCCTATACTTGATCTCAGAAGTTTTCCAGGTATCTTGAAAGGGCCGCAAGCCCACGTTCTTTCAGAATTTGAGCGCAAGGAGATCTTGGACTATCCCTCCGTCTATTGTGTCGGAGCTAATAGCAAAAAGAAACTTGCGGTTTTGGACAACCCGACTAACAACTATGGCTATGATGATGAGCGAGGGGACTATCTCGTCGTTAATCATGATCACCTTGCCTATCGTTACGAAGTCATTGATAGCCTTGGGAAGGGGTCGTTCGGTCAGGTTCTTCACTGTCGAGATTACGGTTCCGGGGAGTCAGTTGCCATCAAAATAATTCGCAATAAGAAGAGATTCCACCATCAAGCCCTCGTTGAAATTAAGATTTTGGATAGTCTCCGGAAATGGGTATGTGGAGCATTATAGATCTCTTTTGTCTCGTACTCAATTTTTATGCAGGATGCCGATGAGAAGCATCATGTTATTAAGATGACGGAACATTTCTACTTCCGCAATCATCTCTGTATTGCCATGGAACTCCTCAGCATCAACTTGTACGAATTAATCAAGGCGAACGGTTTTGTGGGCTTCACTACTGCTTTAATCCGCCGCTTCACAAGCCAAATGTTGATGTCTCTTTCCTTAATGCGCCACCATCGTATCGTTCACTGCGACCTAAAACCTGAGGCAAGTCTTGTTGAATGCCGCTCCGTTGACAACATTGACCAGTTGCATTCACAGAATGTACTACTGCGTCACCCAGCGAAAAGTGCTATCAAAGTGATCGATTTCGGCAGCAGTTGCTTCGAACATGAGAAAAGTAAGGAAATCTTTCATGCACCTTAATTCTTCATTTATTCCTCCCCAGTCTACACCTACATTCAAAGTCGTTTCTATCGTTCGCCTGAAGTCATTCTTGGAATGAATTACCACATGGCTATCGATATGTGGAGCCTTGGCTGTATCCTGGCGGAATTGTACACAGGGTTCCCAATATTTCCTGGCGAGAACGAACAAGAGCAGTTGTCCTGCATCATGGAAGTGCTAGGAGTTCCGGATAAGGAATTTATCAATCGAAGCTCGAGGAGGAAGCTCTTCTTCGGTGAGGACGCCCTTCCATTCGTGTTGTTCATCCCTAACGTCTGTGATAGATTCCAACGGTGCTCCCCGTACCGTCATAAATTCGAAGGGCAGGCGAAGAAGACCTGGAACCAAGACCCTGGCGCAAGTTCTTCGGTGTAACGACGAGGAATTTGTCGACTTCATTGCAAAATGTCTCGTGTGGGACCCCGAACGTCGCATAAAACCTCAAGCCGCGATGCGACATCCCTTTGTGACTGCTGGGAGAAAGGTGAAAGTACCTGCGACTACCACTAAATCTACACCATCCTCGACTTTGAGCGCCCGGAACAAGCAAGTTATTGATACACCGAAGAAATCTCTTATCAGTGCTCCGACACCGCTTACTGCCCGTAGCTCGAGGACAACTGTGAATGGTGGTCCAACCACCCCAAGTAATTCCCATTCCCAGACAACCGCCTTGGGTTCTTCTACCTCTCGATCGTATCGTTCCTCGCAGGCTCAGAGCATCTCGTTTAGCTCAAGTCGAACCTTGAGCGGTTATGCCGTGAGTTTCCTCTCGTCCTAGCATGGATGGTCACTCACTGTCTTTTGATAGTCCAATTCCAACAAATGACTTTTCCGACGACCTATCATTCTCGCTCGCTCCGACTAAGATATTCCTACTTGTGGCTTTCGCTGCTGTATTTCTTCGCTCTGGTTTCTCACAACGCATTCTGTTACATTCGCATTGGTTTCCTATCTACATATAATTTGCAATGTTCAAAGGACAACTCCCATGGTGGATATATCCCATAATGACTACTGAACTGGAAAGCATCCCGTGTGTAAGCCCTGTTAATCATATTTTGGAATCTCCAGCCTCGTCCAAGCATCTCAACTTGAGAAAAACATCACTTCCTTCACGAGCACGGTCAGCAAGCTCTTGAGAGGAAGATGTCAAACGTACCCCATCCTTCAAGTGAGAAGAAATCCAGCGAACCACCGAAGTAACTGTTCGCAAACAGGCATAGTGAGTACAGCAATTAAACTACAATTCAGCATTATGGTTACCGAGCGTAAAGCCGACTCATTGGGAGTCCATACCCAAGGCCTGCTATTGTGCCAATTCCTACTTGGAGACCTTTGCCAGCAATCTCGCCAAATAGGTTTGCCTCGCCAGAATCATTTTCACCACTGACAGCTGCGCTACCTCCGATATGCAGAGCAGCGTACCGGCCACCACCGTCTTCAGAGCTACCTTCAGCACCCCGTCCAGCCGTGGTAAATGCATAAGAAAATATCCGTGCCATATTTGATGGGAGGACGCCGCCGCCTTGGTCGCGAATGCGGAGAGAAAGATACGTCGATACCTTGCCAGAACTATCCACTGAGCGAGATCGCGGAGAAATCGTGATTGTCACGGGTGGCAAGGATACTGGTGACCAACGCTGCTTATAGTGGTGCTCTACTGTCGCTCGGAAAGAGTTCTTGAGAACTTCGGTTAGGATGTATTCCAGGTGCACAGGGACATAACTATAAGAACGAGATGTCTGAATTGCCAGAGCCAGTCTTAACAGAATAACACCCACGGGAAAGTCGTCTCGGTACATCCGTCAATTAAGATAGCTGGAGTTGCTCCCAAGGTTGCTTCGCACAAGTCAGTGACGAAAGAACCACACATTTTGATCATGGATTTCGGGGAGCAGTTCATGTCGACTATACCTACATACGCAGCAGGCGTATTTGGATAGTTGAGAGCCTGAGAAACGGCGATATGTTGTTCTGCAATGAGTCGCACCGAAATGCGGTTGCGAATTGCACCGTCCAGGAAGTCGCTGATCTGGGTTGGAGACATGTACCGAGAACACTCCTGAAACCTTGCATTTCCAACACATTCGATTCAGTCGGTCCATCGAGGTCGAAAGGCAGAGGACTCACCCTTTCGCCATTGTTGGTACATCATTCGCATGACGCTGGACAAGAGCAGCCAGTTGTTCGACAAACTTGGTGTTCTCTTCAAGATTCGTGACTGGGGTGTGTGTGGCGAGCCATTCAAAGCTCTTCCGATATGCATCCAACGTCTTCACCACATAAGGGTTGGTCCCAACTATGAAGGGGAGGGCTTCTAGTGAACGAACGCGCGTTGCCAGTCTTCGGGGAAGTTCAGAGAGGGCATAAGACACGGAGGCGAGGACTGAATTTTCTGTAACAGGAAACCCAAAGGACAATAGTTGAGTGAGGTTTATAGGTCTGGGCGGAGACGATTCATATCTTGTAAGTAGCTCCGCGACTTTATGAGAGGGCTCCGGCGCCCGTCGGTAAGAGAATAGCCTTCGATGCCTACCCTTTTGCATCAAGGACGGCAGACTCGACACCGAGGTTCGAGAAGCTGGAAGAAACATGGTAAGGCTAGTACGATACACGGTATCGGGCCGCAGGCCACACTCGGCGGCATCAAGGAATAACTGAACCTGATTTGGACTTGGTGCACACCGACCACAGGATCGATGCTTAAGATTCTCACATCCAGCAAGCCGCCACGACGGAAGTGCAAGTCACAGTGCGCAATAGGTGGGTGATAACGGTAGAAAAATATGTACAAAGGGGACGAAAGTTCTAATTGTAAACTTGGTACAGTGGTCTGTATGGGTCAGCGTCAGTCCAACCCGAACATACAGAAAAGACATGGACGTACGTGCTCGAAAACTTGGTACCCTGCCGGACAACCTTTTCAACGGCATCCAAGAAATCACGCTCTGAGGCGACTTTTCTCCGTGCACGGATTGCAAACATGCCAGCCTGTAACAGTGATGAAGATCATCGCCATGTCCCCAAGAGAAGACATACCTCGGTGGCAACGGAACGCAGTTCCGCACCGGTCGTATTCGGGCACAGTCTCGCAATTAGGTCGAAACGAATATCTCTCTCAACACTCATACTAGAAACATAAATGATCAGGCATATCAAGGTCGAGCCATTAGCACCAACCTCCGAGCGTGTATTCGAAGAATATGAGCACGTCCTTCGTTGTCTGGCAGTGAGAATTCCACCCGACGATCAAGGCGACCGGGGCGTAGAAGGGCGGGATCAAGGGTATCAGGTCTGTACAACGGGATGGTAAGTGAAGGAAAAGAACCAGTGAAAGGACTGACCGATTAGTGGCCATAAGGACTTTGATATTTCCTCTCGGATCGAAGCCGTCTAATTGATTGATCAACTCCAACATAGTTCTCTGCACCTCGTTATCTCCTCCAGCACCGTCGTCAAATCGGGCTCCGCCGATAGCATCGACTTCATCGAAGAAAATGATACAGGCCTTCTTACTCCGTGCCATCTCGAAAAGTTCTCGAACCATTCGTGCACCTTCACCAACATACTTTTGAACCAACTCAGAGCCAATGACTCGGATGAAAGTAGCATCTGTTCGATTCGCTACGGCCCGGGCGCACAACGTCTTGCCCGTTCCCGGAGGTCCAAACAGAAGGACACCTTTCGGTGGGTCAATGCCGAGTTTCACAAACCGTTCGGGCTGCATAAATGTGAGCAACAAATTACAGGGACTATTTATTTGTAAACTCACCGAAAGCAATGGTGTTTCCACCACCTCTCTGAGCTTCTCGATTTGCTCTTTACACCCGCCGACATCTGAATATGTGACATCCGGTTTCTCCTCCACCTGCATCATGGTTACGGAAGCATCGATCTTGGGCGGTAGAGGTATTTGAATTTGATACTTGGTACGATCAACACTGCGGAAGGTTAGCTTAAATTTGTAGTCATGAGCCATAACCACTCACCCAACACGCATGCCTTCTTCGATGTCAGTCGCAGCGACACGATCGCCCAGTCCAACAACAAATTTTGCTATTTGCTTGATGTTGATGACATACTTGTCCTGCTCGTCTGCTCCCTTTTGGCCTTGGAGGGCCCCTGCCGCATTCACTGCCTGTGCCGCTTCAGCGAGTTTTGGGTCCTTCGGAATAATCTTCGTGCAACGGGCCACTTGAAGGGGATGTTCCTCCCCCATTCGTTGTCTATCAGCTGCTAGGTCCCACAAATTGGGAGAAGCCAACCCCGTGTCCGATTCCTTAACGCCTAGGGCAACGTAAGGGATCGCACAGGAAACAGGTGACAGGTGAAACAACTAACCCAGTTTCTCATTAATCCGCTTCTGTATGTCCTTGATATCTTGGTCCGCATTCTTCAGTTTGGCAGCATACGGTCCTTGGCCCTATAAACAGAACTTAAAGACGCGTCCAAAGGATTTCAGGCAACATTGCGCACGTAAGTCTTGAGAATCTGAATGTCGCTGTCATCAAGCGCTGTTCGGTACTCAGAAAGCATTCAGCACAACAGGAAATACGACTGACCGACTATTTTCTCGTCAGCCTTATCATCAGCTTTCTTCTCGTCTGCATATAGTGGTTCAGCATGCGTTATTGCGCTCGAGGTGGGACATACATTTCTCCCAGTCACTAAATTAGTTGTCAGGACGTTGTCAGAGGATAATAAATCAAAATCAACTTACGCTTTGGGTGGCATGTTGCAGGAGGATGGCAATGGCGATGAGGATAGAAAGTAAGTCAAGGAATGCCTCCAGGTGACGACACTGGAAGGGGTACGCGTCCTTCACGTGCTACAGGCGGCAATTGCCGGTCGACGATAACAGACACTTCGGATGCGCTGCTCTCAATCGTTACCTACATCCACACCATGGCCGGGGCTTTACAAAACGCGAGGAAAGACCTCCCAAAGATCAGAGATGAGGATCGCGAGAGTAGATTTGGTCAGGTTTTTGGCGTGTCGGGCCCAGTCGTCATCGCTGAGAATATGGTCGGCGCTGCTATGTACGAGCTCGTCCGTGTCGGTCATGATGAACTTGTCGGAGGTCTGTCGGAGCTCGAGATTATGGTTGTACTCTACTCAATTCTCTTACTTCTCAGAGGTGATCCGTATTGAATCAGACAAAGCCACAATCCAAGTCTACGAGGAGACGTCAGGAGTGACAGTCGGTGACCCTGTTCTGCGTACAGGCAAGCCCCTCAGTGTAGAGCTTGGTCCAGGTGTGTTTTGTGCCACAGCAAGTGTGCTTACTCTAACGATCCCGGAAGGACTTATGGGAAACATCGTTGATGGAATCCAACGACCTTTACGGGTTCGCTCGAATTTGCCAGCTCCTACAAATTCTCTCACACATTCTTCCATAGTCGATTCAAGAGCTCTCTAAATCCATTTACATTCCCCGTGGAATTAATACCGATGCGCTGGACCGCTCTATTCAATGGGACTTTACACCCACGACATTTAAAGTGAGACTGCGGTCGACCATGTAGGATGGCCGTTGACTTTGCTTTAGGTTGGCGATCATATAACGGGAGGCGACATTTTCGGACGAGTATACGAGAATTCACTGGTCGACAATCACAAAATCATGCTTTCTCCGCGAGCACTTGGCACAATCATCCACATTGCAGACAAAGGAAGCTATGCTGTCGATGTGCGTCCCCTTCTTACAGGGCATGGATAATGTCTGTGCCTAATTTGCATGCAGGACATCGTCTTGGAGACCGAATTCGACGGAAAGAAGACGAAGCATACAATGATGCAGCTCTGGCCTGTTCGAGCACCGCGTCCCGTGACCGAAAAGCAAACCGCCAACTACCCCTTGCTGACTGGACAACGTATATTGGACGCACTCTTTCCGTATGTGGAAAACATACACCTCTCTCCGCACCGCTAAATCCCCATCGCAGTTGTGTGCAGGGCGGTACAACAGCTATTCCTGGCGCTTTCGGTTGTGGGAAGACCGTCATCTCGCAGGCCCTTTCCAAATTCTCCAACAGTGACATAATCGTTTATGTTGGATGCGGCGAGCGTGGAAATGAGGTATGCACAAGGAAGTATCTACAAGTTGTGGCCCTAGACTGATGCCCTGATAATTTAGATGGCTGAAGTCTTGATGGAGGTGAGTTCTTCAAGTTTCAGTGTCCTCCCGACTCTTATGTCTCTCCCAGTTCCCTGAACTAACCATGGAAGTCGGTGTCCGCCAAGAACCCATCATGAAGCGTACAACGCTGGTTGCCAACACCTCGAATATGCCTGTCGCCGCTCGAGAAGCATCGATTTACACTGGAATCACGTTGTCGGAATATTTCCGTGATCAAGGTTCCAATGTCGCCATGATGGCTGATTCTACTTCTCGTTGGGCAGAAGCCCTCCGTGAAATCTCAGGACGTCTTGCAGAAATGCCTGCTGATTCTGGCTATCCTGCCTACCTTGGAACGAAATTAGCCAGTTTCTACGAGCGTGCAGGGAAGGTGGTCTGCCTCGGCAACCCTCAACGACAAGGCACTGTTTCAATTGTTGGAGCGTGAGTACACCAATAAGCTATCCGACAAGCCGCTGATCTCTCCTCTATAGAGTATCTCCTCCAGGAGGAGATTTCTCGGATCCTGTTACTTCTGCAACGCTAGGTATTGTTCAGGTTTTCTGGGGTCTTGACAAGAAACTCGCCCAACGAAAGCACTTCCCATCGGTCAACTGGTCACTTTCATATTCGAAGTACACCAAGGTTCTAGAGCCCTACTACGAAAGTACCGAACCCGGGTTTGTGGAGCTGCGAACAAAAACGAAGGAAATTTTGCAGAAGGAAGAAGATCTGGCGGAAATCGTCCAACTAGTCGGAAAGAGCGCTCTTGGCGAGAACGATAAGATCACGTTGGAGGTTGCTCGCATGCTCAAAGACGATTTCCTGCAGCAGAACGGCATGAGTGAATACGATCGATACTGCCCATTCTACAAGACCAGTTCAATGCTGCGGAACTTCGTTGGATTCCACGATGCCGCGATAAGGGCAGTTACTCAGAATGACCTCACCTTCGCCAAGATCAAGGACTCAGCGGGAGATATCATGTTTAAGCTTTCTCAGATGAAATTCGAGGTTCGTTTTTGCGACGTCGTCGTTTCCTGGTTAGCGAACTTATGCCAACTATTGCACAGTCTCCTTCTCAAGGGAAGGAACCGATTAAAAAGAAGCTCGACGACCTCTATGCTGAAATTCAAGACAAGTTCCGACAATTGGCAGAGTGAAAGATGAACTTTCTGTCACATGTACTGTACTTGTGTGTTGCAGCTCAATCGGATACTTGCTAAGCCCCTCCAATTAGTTTTGTTCATCTATTCCTGTGATAGTATTATTATTGCATCCCTCTTACTGTCAGATAATCATGCTTCGTGGATGTAGGAATAATAACTGGTAGCAATCTGTCCTCTTTAACAGGATTTCAACAAGTTGCATCATCGATATTCGCCTCCTGCATGCACTTTGCACCTTTCAAGAAAGCAGTTGCGGAAAACGACTACTTCAACCCACGATCTCTGTCGACGTCGACATTGATATCGACCAGGCGACGCACCTATTCCTACGCGCCGTACACTCCGTCCTCGTGACGTCATGGAATGAGCAGCTGGCAATTCCACAACACGACAACGATTCCGGGCGACTCACTTGTCCTCGCAGGAGGTGTCCATTGTGGTCAATAATCGAAGGGCGCGAAACGAGTCTCGACGCAAGTGCACCTCCCACTGCCATTGCACTTCACGGAGCAGTCACAATTCGAATCTGAACACCCAGTGATTCTCCTGCTCTACATTCGCATGCTCATGCTCGGCCCGCTCTGTCGCCAGTCTTCCCCCAATTCAAAGCACCCTTCATTCGATCGCACCCCTTTGACCGCTGCCTCCTCCGACCAGTATATATTGTCACCAGACGTTTTGAGCCTTTCATCAATCGCCCGGTATTCTTATTGTCGTTGTTTTTACTGTAACCATATGACACTTAGGTATTTTCCCTCCATTGTCCCGTAGATCCCGAGTGGGTCCTGGCGGTGTATATTATTATTACTAAGGATTACCCGTGCGTTGCACGGGGGGACGGGGTTCCAAAATAAATAAATGAATAAATGCATTGAAGTATCTATTTCGATCTCGTTATGGAAATGGGAAGTGGACGTATATGGACATGGTCATGCCAGGTATGGAATGCCATGGCTCCGCCGGACCGCCGGACCGGGTCAGGTGCTTCTTCTGTGACCGGTTGACCATTGAATTCTGAAAAGTAACCCAAAGGGCCGAGCAGACTAGGAGGAGATCTTGTCTCAAGTCCCGACATCTAATCACGACAACAAATGGATCCCTTTGATCCTACGTTCCATCCTCATCGCCGATGTGAGTCCGCCTGAACGATCAGCATTTCGAATAACTGACTTTTCCCGTCAACTAGTTAATCCACTGACAGATGAATTTGTCCTTGTCTCCCCTCACAGGACCAAGCGGCCTTGGCTGGGTCAAACGGAAGCTCCTGAAGCTGCAAGGCTTCCTGAATACGACGAGAAGTGTTACCTTTGTCCGGGAAATCCAAGGGCGAGTGGGCAAAGAAACCCTCAGTACACGAAGACCTTCTTATTTGAGAATGACTTTGCGGCACTGTTACCCGCACCCGCACCCCTTGCACCGACTCCTGTGCACCCTCTGATGTCCGTTCAGCCTGTTCACGGGGCTTGCGATGTCCTCGTATTCCACCCAAACCACAATCTTAGCATGTCACAACTGTCCACGAAGGATATCGAAGCAATCATCGAAGAATGGATCCGGATCTATGAAGCCAGAGGTTCTCAAACCGGAATCAGATACGTGCAAATTTTTGAGGTCCGCCTTTCCTCTTCTTTCTGTCAACGTCGGTTTCATCAGGAGGAAAATACATTAGAATAAAGGCACGATGATGGGTTGTTCCAACCCGCATCCACACGGCCAGATCTGGTCACAATCGGCGGTCCCTTCTATACCAGCGAAGGAGCTAAAATCGTTAAAGCAATACGCTCATATAAATCATGAGTCTGCGAGTGCCACCAAGGCTCCAGAAGGTAATTCGCTTCGACGTAGGTTGCATGTGGAGATTGATACCTATGTGATCAGGTCGTCCTTGCCTGCTTTGTGAATATGCGCATGTCGAAGTGAATCAACCCAGAGATGAAGGCCGCGTGGTAGTCTTGAATGATCATTGGGCAGCACTTGTGCCTTGGTGGGCCATCTGGCCATTCGAGATTCTCCGTGAGTGAAACTTGTTCGCTCCCAGTGTTTGGATCAAGACCCGACTTTTGAAAAGTCCTTCCCTACCGCCGACACATTGACTCGATCAGCGATCTGGATGCGCCAGAAAAGCAAGCATTCGCGGACATACTCTCCCGAATAACGCGACGATACGACGATCTATTTTCTTGTTCATTCGCATACTCCATGGGCATACACCAGCGACCTATTCCAAAGAAGCAGGTTGACACAACTAGAGACGATGACGACAATTATGCACACCTACACCTCCACTTTGAACCACCACTCCTTAGAAGCGCGTCGGTTAGGAAGTTTCTGGTTGGGTCAGTACCAATGACCCACTGATATGACTGTCAATGTACTCATCCTATGGATAGATTCGAATTAATGGCTGAACCACAACGGGACCTGACACCGGAACAGGCGGCCATGAAGCTCCGTCAATGCAGCGAAGTCCATTACTTGGAAGGAATCTAAGGAGATACACAGAAAAGGAAGAAATCATAGATAGTCTAACTTTGCACCATAAGTGTGCCAGCTATCAGGGAGGTGACACATTATTTTCCGTCAATCTGTAACCACATAGACCAGTATCTTTTCTCCTCAGGGGTTCCCCGGAACACCCAATTAATTTTCTTAATTTCAGAGAAGCCTTCTGTCAGCTGCGGCTCTTCGTAGTTGTCCCGAAAGCCGGTTAACGCCCCGTATGGCACCAAGGTCCTTGCAGGCTGATCGAAGAGGGTTAGATGATATCGTCGAAAGTCATAAAAGACTTACCTCGTTCGCAGCCACAGTCGGGGGTAAATTATAACTTCTGTACAGGTCATTATGCCAGGCAAGTTCGAGCGGTCCATCAAAGATGAAACACCTCGGGAAGAAGATAAGTTTGCCACGAGTGAAAATAGTAGGAAGAACTCAAAATACCTCACTGGCGTCATCAACTTTCTGCATATTTCGAGATAAGGGCTTCGGGTAAGAGCATTCCTATTCGTATTGTCTGACATCATGCTGAATTAACACCAAGTTTAGAGGGGACGCAAATGTGATACCAATGACACAGCTCTTGCCAGCCTTTAAGGCTACTTCAAGTGCTCTGACGCACTTTTCCTTTGTTTTCAAAGTGTCCTGATTGACATGCTCGTACCCCAACGGCTGAAAGTGTTGGCGGTAGAAATATGATTTTCCCAGACAGGGATAACCAACAAAGACGATGACCTCTTGCACAGGAGGGTCGGGCAGAATGGGTGAAGATGTTGGAATAACTAATGGTACTAGACTCGGCGAGTGAGTGTTCATGACGCCAAAATACACTGAGATTAGAGACGGCTCACAGTCAGGTAATGAGGACACCCGAAAACCTGGCAAGGAATAATTCTCGTGGGGAGGAAGTTTAAGGAAATATTCCTAAAACCCGTGAGCTCCGTCTCCGGCTTTGCTGAGGGTAAAGCATACTTCTGGCGTATAAAACTTTACACCGACATTCTCTGCCCATTTGCGATCTGTGCTGGAGAAATCTGCCTTGCCCTTCCCATATTGCCGTCCAGCAGCATCGCCAACGAAGAATGAGGAAGATTTATCTAGTTAAAGTGGCATCAGCTCGGTCGACGTGTGCGACGAAGATCAGCAATTCACCAATCTCCACATTTTCTTCTTTAAATACCCGCTCAATTTCATACCACATCCCAGGCATTGGTTTTCTGAACCTGTCTTTCTGGATGGCGGCCAATATTCGAAAAGGTACTGTATTCAACTGGGAAAACCAATGTGCATTTAGGGGGTTGTTGTCCAGATTGGTGAAGGGAACCCACTGCTTGACCTATGAGGGGAATCTTTTCCTTCCATGTTTTAAGGGCACCGGGCTTGATACCTTGATTCGAAACAAGCAATATCGCGTAACTGAACGGAAGTGAGTACTACTGGGATGTAGAGTTAACTGTGAAGGTAGTCTCACCCTGATTCATGTAACTCCTTCAGTTTATCTGGCACGCACGATCGCCACCATTCGAAGCTGGGCTTGCCGTTAGCACTCTTGGTGCCGAACTCTGACTTGATGACTGTTCCGTCTAAATCGAGTACAGCAACTTTAGTAGATGCCCGCGGTTGAAGGTTGATTCCATGAAGACAGGATCGAGCGGGACCTAGCGATTCAAGCCATTTGAATTCGGCTTTCTTCTCTTGAGGTTTCGAGAAAAATGGGTGAACTTCAAGTAACGTTAAATGTTGTAAAGAAAGCTCGGCTGGACTCACTTTTCGAGACCTTCTGAGGTGCTTCCGTGTGGTCATCAGAGTGGGTTACTTGTGATAGAGGGCGCTTCTTGGAGGGTCCTGGTGTCGGCTCCGGGGCATGAGACATGAATGGACTCAAGACCGTCTTTGCGGCCAGAAGCGGGGTATTAGGGTGCGTGCACAAGCTTGCGCGTCGCGTGCTGAGTGCGAGCCGGAGTATCAGGATGAGGTGTAATAAATGAAGACAAATTGAGGCACCGAGTCGCCGACAGCTGTCAGTAGTACAGGGTGTCTTGCTTACCCGCGCCGGCGAGCTCGGTGACGGGTGACGGGTGACGAAAGCATCACATGACTCATATCGCTTGGCATTTCTTCCTACCTGCAACTTCGATTGAATTGATTCCGAATGGTACTTAAACCCCCTGCTTCACCTTTACTGTGACCTGTTTATTCATCAAGACCACGAGCTGCGGTATTGATCATGGCTCCCAGTAAACGCCGCTCCAATCGCCAGAACCAAAAAACCCCTCCTTCGGGGCAGTCACCCTCCATCCGCTCGAACTCTCCTGAGACGAGGGGCTCCAGTTTGCCCCACGGAAACGAAGAAAGCTGTCCGGCATGTACTCCGGCGACAAAGGAGTTGATGAGCACCTCTCGGAAGGAGAACTGGATAGAATGTGACAACTGTAATACCTGGTTCCACTGGCGATGCGCGGGTAACGGAGAGGACGTGGAGAATATTGCAAAATGGTGAGAACGTCCCTCCAACCCTCAAGCGAGGTTCAATTTTTTTCACCTCCGCTTTCTTCTGAGCAGGTACTGCAATTCATGCACGATGGCTGATCCTACACGTATCATGACTCTCAAGGCTCCTGCTCGCAAGTCCGCCAGGAAGCGAACTCAACGAGACTACGCTAATCTCGATTCTGGACTTGGCTCTGACCCAAATCGTTGGCTGCGCATGCTTGAAAACAAGGAATACAAGGACCCTTTCAGAAGACTGAAGGGCACGGAGCTTGATTCATGGCTAGAGGAAGACGACAGTGCTATGAAAGAACCTATTGTCGTCGAAGAACCTGATGGTTTGGGAATGCAAATGCCTCCAGAAGGCCTCACTGTCGAGCACGTTGCAGAGTATATTGGGGAGGACACACCCGTGGAAGTCATTGGTAATTGACTGCGTTCTTTTGGATCTACTGCTTTGTTCATTATTTTTCTTAGATGTCGCGTCTCAGTCAACGGCGCCGGGTTGGAATCTTGGCAAATGGGCGGACTACGTTGAGCTCGATCCATCCAAGCGTGAAAAGATCTACAATGTCATTTCTCTGGAGATCTCGGGGTCCGAACTGGGGAACATGATCCTCCCTCCAAAAATTGTCCGGGATTTGGATTGGGTAGAGAACTTCTGGCCGACTACAAAGAAGTCGAAGCAGAACGTATATCCCAAGGTGCAGCTGTACTGCCTCATGGGTGTAGCCAAGGCATGGACGGTGCGCTGTCTGCTCTGAGATTGTGTATATTTCTTAACACTGCGGTCGGTCAGGACTGGCATATTGATTTCGCTGGTTCGTCCGTTTACTATCATATTCACCACGGCGCCAAGGTACGTACACGGGACTGACTCTTAGTTCTGCTTCCCCTGATCTTTGCTCAATGCAGGTATTCTACTTCATTCGGCCAACCCCGGCCAACCTCGCTGCGTACGAGAAATGGTCCGGGAGTGAATTACAATACCAAACTTGGTTGGGAGACATGTGCGATGAGGTGTTTAAGGTTGAGCTGTCGGCGGGAAACACTATGATTATCCCAACGGGGTGGATTCATGCGGTCGTGAGTCTCCTCTGTATGTATCAACGCTCAAGCTCAATGTTATCAGTACACGCCAGTTGATACGCTTGTCTTTGGAGGCAATTTCCTCCATTCATACGAAGTTGCAACACGTATGTTCAAGGCATTCTCGTGATTCAGGCGACTGATCTTTTCCTTCAGAATTGCGCGTTCGGGAGATCGAAATTGCAACCCAGGTGCCCAAGAAATTTACATTTCCTATGTTTACAAAGTGCGTTTTCCTTTCCCTTCAATCCATCAAGCTGATGGAAGGACTAGACTTTGCTGGTATGTTGGAGACAAATATCTGCGCGACTTTAAATCTGGGTCAGGATTGTCATTATCACAACGCGTTTTAAATGGGGTCTTGGCTTTATCAGAGTTCCTTGTTTCCGAGGCGCGGATATTAGAAATTGGGTCAGAACAAGCCAAAAAGGAGGCCAAAGAGCAAATACCGAGCGATCGTGTCAAGGATGCACCATCAGTTGCACGAGAACTTCGATGGAGAGTGAAGCAGGCTCTGGGATACGATAGCGAAGATGAAGGACCTGGACCGAGTGGGCGGTCAAGAGGGTCAACTGCCGCGGTAGCTGGCTCAAAGCGTAGGCGTGTCGATGGCCACGAGGAAACCCCACATTTCAAGAACTTCAAACCGAAACCATGGGACGCTATGGCAGTTGCGAAGGAAGACGAGAAGGAAGATGTTGTTAAAGTGTCTCAACCAGGAGACGGCGAGCAGTGGACGCAACGTTGGACAGGGGAGAGTGTGGTGCCTATGGCAGACGGACCGGATGCAACGGTGAAGACTCGACGAGAGGTCATTGTAAAGGTGCGGCGGACAATGCGAGGGATTGAGCGGCAACGGATAGAACGGACAGTGGAAGATTGGACATGGAACGGGAAATAAGGGTCATTAGTATTCTAGTAGATTGGATATCAATAGGGTGAGAAACAATGTCAATGCAACTTGACTACACACCTGTCTGTCGCCCCTCTGTTCGCCGAACACAATGTCCTCTGTGAATCCCACTGGCACAGACATTCGTCCCTCCAACCGCCGACATGCAATGCAGCCAGACGCCTACCTAAACCCCCCTGTCGATGAGTACCGCGAGGACGAGCCGCTCCAGCCCCCACCCCCTTGTCGGTCTTTCTGTCTCTTGTTCCTATCAGAGTCTCTCACTTTGCATATTTTCTAGCGTTGTACGCCCACGGTAATCATTCCGTTCCTTCTTTCCCACAGCAGCAACAGCCTCCTCAGTATGCGGACTACCCAACACCACCCCCAGTCCCTCACCCCTACGATCCCACTGCAAGTCTTGATTCGTTTTCTTCCTTGCACATCCACGATGGCCCTGCAAGGAACGGCAGCCTTTCATCACATACATCTGACCCGATACCCCGTGCACCGTCCACTATGTCTCTAAGATCGATGCAAAGCGTGCATAGAGGAGGGGCTCCACCACCAGTACCTAGACATGCAAACACTCTTCCACCACCTCGAGCACCTATGCAATACGCGCCTCCCTCCGTCCATGGCGACTACGGCCCTCATCCATCCCATTATCCAAATAATGGAGTCGATCCAAATCGCGGAGGGTACAATGACTATGATTATCGCACATATGATGAACAACAGCAGAATGGCGGTTACCTTTCCCCAGAAAGTATTGGTAGCATGTCCCCTCATCAACATCAACATCCACACCCACATCAACAACAGTACCAAGCGCATGGCTGGCCACCGCAACAACACCATCCGCCGCCACCTTTGCCAGGAGGAGGACATAATCCTCTACACGCTGCAGCTTCTGACGTGCTAGGCATGGGTCCTCCTCCAGGAGCAGGCGGCCCACCGATGTCGCGATCTTTAGGTCCAGGTGGTCCGCCCATGCCTTCCGATCGCAGTGTGTATGCTGCTTCTGTGTCATCAGGCCATTCCAGCCACTCAGGGCAGATGAATTACGGCCCCGTTGACCCTTACGCCTCACAGAAAGATTTTGATCTCCGTCCTGCGTATCAACGTGCAGGCACGTCCGCGTCGTTAGCTCCTTCTTCTGTCAAGAGCAAAGCGGTCGACCTCAATGCGCCACCTTATACGAAAGAGTACATCGATCAATACAGACAACGAATCAAAGCAGACCCCGATCCCGAAGCCCACTTTTTGTATGCAAAATACCTCATCGACGCGGCAAAACACATCAGGACTCAGTTTACCGATCAACGTTCCGCAAAGAAATACAGTGAAGTCTTGATTGGTGAATCACTGAAGGTCATTCGTCGGCTTGCTACTCAAGGCGATGCTTACGACGAAGCCCAATTTTTCCTTGCCAACTGTTATGGAACCGGAGCGCTAGGGCTTCAGGTAGACCACGAACGCGCCTATCACTTATACCTACAAGCTGCGAAGCAAAATCACGCTGCGGCTTCGTACCGCGTGGCGGTGTGCAACGAGATCGGTGCTGGTACAAAGAAGGAACCTTTACGCGCAGCCGCATTCTACCGCAAAGCTGCTTCTCTCGGGGACACTCCTGGCATGTACAAGCTTGGCATGGTCCTTCTACACGGCGCCCTTGGAGAACAGAAAAACCCTCGTGAAGCTATTAGCTGGCTCAAACGCGCAGCCGAGCAAGCAGACGAAGACAATCCACACGCACTCCATGAACTTGCTCTTCTATACGAAAACCAGGCTGGTGCCCTGGTGCCTTACGACCCAGCCTACGCGAAGAGCCTTCTGACACAAGCAGCTCAGCTGGGGTATACGCCCTCACAGTACAAGCTAGGGCAATGCTTCGAATACGGCTCGTTGACTTGCCCAATCGATCCAAAGAGGTCAATAGCGTGGTATACGAAGGCTGCAGAGAAGGGGGATGCTGAAGCGGAGCTGGCACTCAGTGGTTGGTATCTGACAGGTAGTGAAGGCGTTTTGAAGCAGAGCGACTCAGAGGCCTACCTGTGGGCTCGTCGTGCTGCCAACAAGGGGCTGAGCAAGGCAGAATACGCCGTAGGTTATTATGCCGAAGTCGGTATTGGTATCAAACAGGATATCGAATTTGCCAAACGGTGGTACATGCGAGCTGCTGGTATGTAATTCGATAACCTCAAACACTCTCCTGTTTGCTGACAATGTTTTCTCGCAGCTCAAGGTAACAAGAGAGCCATGAATCGATTGACTGAGATGAAGAGGATGGGTTCCGCTAAGCGCGCAAACATGGCACGGCCTACGCGACAGCAAGCCAAAGATGAAGAATGTGTTATTAGCTAGTTGAGTCAAGTTCCTGGAATTGACTTGACGCAGTTTCTTGTTTTGCTTTCTGGTGGCCTCTCTTATCCATGATAGTCCATTACATCTCTAACTGTTTGGTCGAGGCACACGCAATGCACGGTATTTATTTATTTGGTACACTCCAATACAACTTTGTTGTTCAAGGAATGAAGATTATTGGCGATATTTGCTACAGGCTACAGCATCCCAACTAGTCATTTTTGTTTCTCACTCAACTCAGCGACGCCAGGAAGGGTCTGTCGAAGAGAGGCGTAAGCGTGAATTGTTAACATACGGAAAACCGGAGTCCATACCTTTCCTTCCAGTAGCTCGAGGCTCGCACCACCACCAGTACTGACATGACTAAGGCTGTTTTCCTCGCCGTATTGAGCTACCACGGTGGCCGTATCACCACCACCGACGATGACGGTGGCACCCTTCTTGACAGCCTCGATAGAGGCATCCAAAAGAGATTTCGATCCTTGTGCAAATGCAGGGAATTCGAAGACACCAGGTGGACTAAACCCAGATGAGCCACCATATGCATGGTTGGTCTAGCACTCACCCGTTCCAGAGAATAGTCCTAGCTTCCAAAACCGTCTCCTTGAAAAGCTCACGACTCTTGGGACCCGCGTCCAAACCCATCCACCCCTCGGGAATACCGTCTAGGTCAGTGGCCGTGCCGGTCTAGACTGTAATCAACACCGGAATATAAAAGACTGTTTACATTGCTTACATTGGCGTTCTTGTCGAACTTATCAGCGGTAACATAGTCTGCAGGGAAGACTAATTTAACGTTGTTCTTCTTTGCTTTTTCGACGAGTTCTGCAACTTTGTGGGAACCGGCTTCGTCGAAGAGAGAATTGCCGATCTACGTAATGACGTCATCAGATATCGGATTTTGATATATGAGCTCATCACATACGGCAACTTGATCAAGAGTCTTCTTGAAGGTGAAGGCCATTCCGCCACAGATAATGAGAGAGTTGACCTTGGTTGCACAGTCAATAGATATTCAACGAGACTACTTGCAAGAAGGATACTTTGTCAAGCAAGTTATCGATCAATTGGATCTTGTCTGAAACCTTTGCACCGCCGAGGATGGCGAGGAAAGGTCGCTCGGGGTTCTCTAGGGCCTTTGCGAAGTACTCGAGCTCCTTCTTCATGAGAAAACCTGCGGCCCTTTGAGGCAACTTCACGCCAACCATGCTTGAATGTGCGCGATGGGCAGTGCCGAAGGCGTCATTGACATAGACATCGCCGAGCTTGGTGAGCCCCTCACGAAATTCAGTGACCTTAGCTGGATCAGCTTTGGTTTTCGTCCCGTCCTTGTTCTTGACTGAACCCTCTTCTTCGATATGGAAGCGCAGGTTCTCGAGCAGGATGATGGAGCCTTCTGGAGCAGTGTCCACGGATTTTTCGACATCAGGGCCAACAGAATCGTTCAAGAAATTGACCTTCTTGTCGAGCTGCTTCTCTAGCTCTCCTGCTATGGGTTTCAACGAGTATTTTTCGATGACCTTTCCGTCAGGACGGCCGAGGTGCGACATCAGAATGACGGCGCGTGCTCCTGCAGAGAGATTTAGTACAGTCACCGCGCAATAATATACGACGCTTGCCGTTATCCAGGGCATACTTGACGGTTGGAAGAGCGGCTACGATCCTCTACGTTGGACGATGAGGAAACACTCGGGTGAAACAGGAGATCTGCTTGGAGGACATACAGCGGGGTTTGTTATCTTTCCGTCTTGAATGGGGACATTGAAGTCGACACGGATTAGGACGCGCTTTCCCTTGAGGTCGAGATCGCTTATAGAGAGCTTGTTAGAAAGAGACATGGTAGGACAAGGAACGATAATGGGACCGGGAATCGATATTTGTAGTCCATAGATATTCCTTTTCTGGATCAAGATCAAAAGTCTCGACCCCAAGCATCGAACGTGGGTTGCCCCCGCCTATGGTCCATTCAGGCTTTACTTAGCGCATTACACACCCAGCACCCGCCGTTCTACGTCTGGCCCCCGGCCTAGCGCCTTGTAAGTCCTTCACTCTTCACCACATGCCTCCGAACCTACTAGCAAGAAGTGACTTTCTGGTTAGGTTTACATCACATCCCCGCAGAACATGCCCGACGAGCCGTCCTCTAACGCCCTCGGGCTAGAGTTCTCGCAGCAAATTGTCGAGGGCAAGGAGCTTGAGGTTCCAGAGGCCATCCCAACGTCTCCTACATCTCCATCGGAGGGCCTGAAGAAGAAGGATGTCAAAGAAAAACCGTATGTCAATCCCGACCGTGTCAAGACGGGCGGTGCTCAAAGGGTACGACCGTCTTCCATGGACGAACTTCTATCTGACAGTATTGTAGGATAAACTCAGTGAAGAGGCCCTGGCTGAAAAAATGGCCCGCATCCGGGAACAGAATGAAAAAATCAGGCAACGACGACTGGTGAGCTTCCATTAACTTGTCCTGCATGATCCAAACCTCATGCCACCCCACAGGATGTTCAAGCTGACGAAGAAGCTTTTCGAAAAACACAGGAGCAAGACCGCGAGAAACAGGCGCAGAACCGCAAGATCCAAGCAGACATCGATCGTGCTAGAGATCAAAACGCCAGACGCAAGATGGACAAGGCCCAGTATCGAGATTGGGACTCAGGAAAACCGTCTGTGAACAAGAAATCAGGTCCTGGAGCGCAGGAATTAACAGGTGTGAAGGACTCGAACAACGCGCCAGCCGGAACAGTAGATTGGGGGAATGCACCTTTAGATCAACCTGCTGGAGAGCCAAAAGAAGAAACTACGACGTCGAACGACTGGGGCCCAACAACTTCCGAGACCACAGCGCAGGACTGGGGTGTTGCTTCCGCGTCCTCTGATACACAAGAAACTAAGGACTGGTCAGGAGCTCCTATAACTGCCCAAGATTGGGGTCTACCCTCATCGACTGGTGATGCCTCCACTGCAGATTGGTCTGGTGCACCAATCGCTACACAGGATTGGGGTTCAGTGGATTCCTCTACGATTCCCGGTGGCGACGCGGATCCGACAAACAATGCTACCACATCTGAACGAGGAAGGGGAAGGGGAAGGGGAAGAGGTGAAGGTCTGGGCAGAGGAGACGGCACTCGAGGTAGGGGAGATAGTATTCGAGGGAGAGGGGGCGGTGCTCGATGGAGAGGGGATGGCGCTCGTGGTCGGGGCGCTGAACGTGGACGAGGAAGAGGAGACAGTGCTCGTGGAAGAGGAGACGGCGAACGAGGAAGGGGTTCTGGCAATGGAAGTGCCCGCGGTGCTCCTGCTTCAACATAATATTTCATGCATTTTGACATCGATATACCCTTGACCCATCGTACATACGTATGACACACCATCTAAAGTGAGGTTCAAGCCAAATTTAAGCGTTGTATTGTTGTTCAACCATAAGTGTACGGCACTATGAACCTGGGCAACTATGCGGCATACTTTCCGAAAGTGGGGACAGGAAGCCGTGATACTTTCTTTCTGGCGATTGGAAATGACACGGAGAAGATGTTGTTTTCCTTCCCTGCAGGCTTCTTGAACGTGTTCTGCTTTGGCAATGTTGGAGTCCCTTTCCCCTGACTTGAACGATTCGCTGCATAGTGCTTTGAGATATAGCGTTGCCAGGAGCCATACGCTTTGCGAGATTTGCTTCCTTGTTGGGAGCTCATGCCGTCAGATAAACGGGTAGTACCAGGATCATGCGCCTCAGGCTGAACCTGACTTTGGTAGTCTAGTAGCACCTGGGAGTTTCCTGTGGGAAGCGAGATGTCGATAATACAAGAAGCCAAGGGTATCTGCTCCGACATAGAGGCGGTTGTTGGCGAATCTTGTGAACCTGCGGGGGGCTGGAAATTTGCTTTCTTCATTCCATTGTCATCTCCACTCAATCCATTCTGCCCAAAAGCAGTCTAGTCGCGGTTGTCAGCTCGAACGAGCAAATATAGTTTTGACATACCTCAAACATTATATTGATATCTCCAAATGATTCGACATTTAAACTCATCCTGCTGCTCGACTGCACCCTAGGAATCATAGAGGATTTTTGAGTGCTAGAAGCAGACGGAGAGGCATTCAACCGAAGAGGGTAGGATCGACGCTTATTCTTCGATGAGAGAATACTCGAGTCCTCTAGAATTCCGAAATGCAAGTTCATTTCCACTTTCAAGGACTCGCTTGCAAGAGGCATGAGACGAGATGTGGCAGAACTGTGGGAAGAGGAGGATATAAGAGAGGACGGGTTACTAGGAAGCGCAACCATTCTCGCCGCCGCAGATTGGAAGGCATCTTGCGAAGAAGATGCATAAATTGCGGCGTCCTTTTCAGATTGGTTTCTGTTGACGAGGATTCCGCGACGCGCAATCAGGGCGTTTACTGCAGCCTGGCGGTCGACTGGGAGGACATGACGGATAGATGATATCGCAGAACTTGACGGAGTTATGATATCTTGCGCTTCTTGGAGATTGGAAGCCACGTTCTTCCAGAATTTGGTTACTTTTCTTTGTTCCCGAAGTTCCTTCCGCGTGGCAAGCGTCATACGAAGAGCAGCTGAATACTCGTCAGCAGTACAGTGCTTCCTCGGAATATCCATCGATGCTTGCGACCCAAACGCACGGTTGATCTTCACCGTTGCGAACCCTGGAATGGATGAAACTTGAGGTGCCAATGGTTCGCTGGGGTGACTTGACCCTTGGGCTGTAGGTTCCTTCAAGTCCTGCACGAGTTGGACATAGCGAGAGAGCGCTCCACGTAGCTCCTGCATTTCCCTTGCATCTTGGGCGATTTTAAGCTCCAGCACCTTGGTTGTCTCCCGTTCCGCCACGAGTTCTTGTTGACAGTTGTGCAGAAAGCCATAGACCAGGGAAAGCTCACGAGACATAGATTTCAGAGAAGAGTCCAGACTATTCAATTGAGGCAATTTCGCATTTGGAAGGCTGTTAATTGAACTTCTTCCATCGGGACGTCTGAAATTCCAAATGCTGACTGTGTGGTCTTGCTCAGCCGAGAGGTCGGTGACAGCAGTTAGGGGGACGCTTGGGTTGGGCCCAATAAGATCGAAAAGCGGAGGGATAGAGACGCCTTTGGATTCATTGGTTGACAAAGAAGTGCTTTTCGAATGGATAGAAGCAAATGCCAGGGGAGGGCCAACAGACCCGGGAACGAATGTGGCAGATTTAGTTCGACGGTGAAGGTTGAAGGCCTTGAAGAAGCGCATGTCAAACGGCGAGCGTAATCGAAAAGAAGGACTGAAGAGCCTCCATTTTTTAATCCTGGGCCCGCTCTGCGCCAGCCATACCCTGTGGCTGACTGATAAAGAAAGACGTGCGAGGAGGCAATCATGTCACTGGGACAGAAATGGCAACTCGTCCGCGATCACCATACTCACGATACAATCCCCGGGCCCATACGCCTACTTCTACTTTAGCAGGCTGCAGTGAATTATCACCATGCTCGCTGTCGCATCATCGTTTTTCGGCAGGACCAACATCAGCCAGTCCTACAATACTGGTTCCAACTCGCAAGGCCTTGGAAGCCGGCCTGCAACTCCGGGTTCTACAAGCACGTCCCTGTCTGCCCCAGTAGCAGCAACACCTCCTTTCCACATAGGCCTTTGGAAAATTCAGTCAGCATGGCACAAAGTTACCAACAAACGCGTCTCTATATGGACGTTCGATAAGCGAGGGCCGGACATGGAACGGTTGGGTCCACAAGGAAAGGAGAGGGCAATAGAAGTCATGAAGGCAGAGGTGCGTTATTGTATTTGTATGTCCTTGTTCTGAATTGACTCGCCCGTATCAGGCGTCAGCTCTGGGACGACTACGCCATCCATCTATCCTGGGTAAAGCGTCAACATGCTCTCCTCGTTCGCGAAGCTTACAATGTCCTGCAAGAAATGGTCGAACCTATAGAGGAGTCCAGAACTGAAGTTGTATTTGCATCGGAGCCCGTTCTATCCTCCCTGGAGCTCGCAATACCGGATTCTGGTCGGAGGACATCCCTCGTTGAACTCGACGAAATTGAGGTTTTTGTTATTGCACCCTGCAACGGAGCGTAAACTTAAATTTCTTCAGATTCAAAAAGGAATACTTCAGATTTGCAAAGGGCTTTCCTTCCTCCACAACTCCGCCAAAATCATCCACTCCAACCTATGTCCAGAAAGTATTGTGATCAATGGTGCTGTCAGTCGAGTTCCGGAATACAACACGCTCGCGCACACTGATTCGTCTTTCATCGAAGGGAGATTGGAAGATATCTGGGCTCGGACTAACGATTCCGCTTCAGACGCCCGGTGGTGGGCTTTCTCGATGGGAATTCCCGACCTTCGATGGGAGAGTGCCCAGCTATATTCAGCGATCATTCGATTACATGGGTATGTGTTGCGGCTATTAAGTCTGTGCTTTTCTAAATTGAAAACTAGCTCCCGAATATGCACTTGATGAACAACTTGTGACGGCCTCTGATATGTATTCATTGGGCTGCGTTGTGTATGCTGTTCACTCTAAGGGTAGCCCTCCATTCAAAAATCACGGCAGCCTTGGAGGTCTGCGAGAAAATGCCTCCAAACCTGTACCAGGATTGGAAAGGCTTGACCACGATCTGCAATGTAAGTTCAGCGGCCTTTCTATCTCCTACAATCTGGGAAATCTTCTGAATTCTCTAGCTTTATTGCGTTTACTCATAACGAGGCACTACGGCTCACGACCCACACCTGAGACGCTGCCAACCCATCCATTCTTTTCTTCTCTGCCTATTTCCACGTTGAACTTTCTGGATCGATCGAATTTTACGGCGAAGACGCGAGAAGAGAAGATTTCCTTCATGAAGGGACTTACAGGTGTTCTTGATAGATTCTCTGATGGATTGCAAACGCGGAAGATTTTGCCTTCTCTGCTGGAAGAGGTGAGTGGGCTTACCCTTGTAAACTTAACAAAACGCCAAGTCTGCCTCAGATGAAAGATATCCACCTGCTGCCCTACATCTTGCCCAACGTCTTTGCGATATCCCAATCACTATCAGCGTCTCAATTTGCGACCACAGTCCTGCCCAGTCTAAAACCGTTATTTGCAATTCGAGAACCGCCGCAGAACATGTTAACTCTCTTAGACAACCTTACAATGTTGCAGGACAAGACTGATAAAAATGTCTTTCGAGAACGTACGTTCCTCATCCGATGTAGATGATGCCACCTGACCCGACTGTTCTCCCAGACGTATTACCCCTTGTTTACAATGCACTCGAATCAGAGCACACGATTGTTGGTCTGCTGCCTGTCTTTAAGCAGCATCTGTTTGACCGAAACATTAGGTACAAGAACGAGCTCTCAAAATCGTGCCTGGTCTTTGCGAAACCATCGACTTCGCTGAAGTGCAAGGTGTTCTTTTCCCTCGCGTTGCAGTAGGTTATACAGTTCGATCCTTGTGGAAACAGTTAACCTCCCACCTTCAAGATCGTTTTCACCAAGACGCGGATCCTGTCAGTCAAAGTGGCTACCCTCGAAACATTCCTTTCCATGGTCAAAACCTTAGACCAAGTTGGTTTTCATCTGTTTTTTTTAACTCACTTCCTCGTTGACGTTCTTCCTTCGCAGTCGAGTTTGACCCAAAAGCTTGTCCCGTTACTTGCCAAAATCCGTACGAAAGAGCCGGCTGTTATGGTGAATATCTACGTCGCTTCTGCATTGCCTTCTTTTTCTAATTTGTTCAAGATGGCAACTCTGTCTGTGCATGAAGCAATGGGATTCAAAGTTGATCGAGAAGCCGTCGCCACCTTGGTTCTACCCCAATTGTGGGCAATGTCCATGGGCCCTTGTGAGTCATTCTCCAAGAATTTGGCTGTCTATTCCTGATGCATGAAGACCAGTGCTCAGCGTCGGCCAGTTCCAACGTTTTATGGCGGTGATCAAGAAACTGGGCGAGAGAGTCGAAAAGGAACACAACCAATTCCTGCGAGATTCTCAGCGTCTTGAGGATCGTTCTGGACTGTCCACCAATGGAGCAAGCACAACCAACGGGGCAGCTTCAAGTCTTGACTTTGAAAGTCTCGTCGGAAGATCAGGTAATGGTACTGCTGTGAAAGCTGATAAAACGACAGAGGATGACATTAGTTGGGATGACGATGTTTGGGGTAGCATACTTAGCACGAAAGCTGTAAGTGTGTGCATTCGAGAGAGGATGTACCCTTGACACTTGACACATCTTGCAGGTTTCTCCACAACCAGCATCACCTGTCATTTCATCGCATCCTGCTATCTCATCTGCCGCACAATCCGCTTCAACTTCCGTTGCTGGTCGAGCGGCTTCGTTCCAGCCACGGCCATTCAAACTTAATTCTACAACAAGCGTAGCGGGTACATCGACGTTATCCATTGGCAAACAGCAAGAAAGGCGGACTGCTTCTTTCTCGCAGCCTAGCACAAACCCATCACATTCGTTCGCACCGAGCGCCTTTCCGCCCCCTCCTGGGTCGCAGACACGTACGGTACCTACAATCACGCCACCTATTCTCCCGAAACCGCACGGAACTCCCTATAATCCCGCAAATCATAGCATAGGCTCCCTGACAACTAACACTATTACCGGTGCTAGCATGTTGACCTCTACCCCTATGAAACCAACTGTGCCCCAACAGTCCGGTCCCCCTTCATTTATGTCTGTGCCCAGTACTCTGCCCGCCCGATTGCCAATGCCAATGGGTGGGTTGCTGCAGCCTTCCAAGCCACGGCAACCGCCAGAGGCTGGGTCAACACATGTACTATCAAAGAACGACTGGGGAGATTTCGATCCACTATCTTAAGATGTTGCCTCTTTCTGAGCACCCTTAGCAGTTACACGATATTATTTACTAATTATTCAATGCTACGACAGTTTTGCATGATATTCTTTGTTTTCATGCAACACTATTTTCTCCAAGAAGTCCATTCAGGATTATCACCGCGCCGGGTTTAGAGGAGATGAGATTCGAATCCTTGCACAACGTGCTATGAACACCTAGGGCATTCATGATCAACGGTCGGCGTTGAGCAAGACTGTATAACTCAGGAGAATGTCATACATGATGCGCAGCCCTCGGTGCATTGACACTTAGCAACAACGTCGCGAGTACGGGTTAAAATCTTGACCGCTGCAAGTCGTGTTAGTTACTTCCAACTTTCAAGGGTTGACCGAGGACTTGCCATGGTCGAAGGCTCTTGCCACGACGCCCCCGGTCCTGCCTGCTGCATCATAAAAAACCAGCCTAGCGGCGTCCTTTATACCCTATTGTTCTTTCTAGAATAGCTGGCATACCTCGGTGGCCTTTTCTTGGACTCAGAGATCGCGTCTTCTTCTTTTGCTACCCTACAATCCGTTTTAACGTCTTCCGAAAGTGCGAACTGGTTTAGAAACGCATGCTCCGCTGCATGTATCGCAGCCGCTCTGTCAATTGTTTCTTCCTTGAGCTGCTCTGAGATTACTGGAGGCAGGTCAATCCAGAATCCGGCTGTTTGTCGTTCCCATGGAGGTGTCATCAATTCGACGGCGTCGAGGATGGTCCCCGCCCTTAGGACCAGACACCCATCAGCCATTGAGCGTAGTGAAGGGGCGACGTTAATCACCTAAGTTTGTAGAAACCTGGCATGTCTGAGTTTTCGCGTTAGTATAGTGAAGGTGGTCACATACCAAAGACCTTAACGGAGACATTTACGCCTACAGAGGAGATGTAATCAGAAGCACAACTGGAGAGTGGAGGTACTAACGGCCATACTCCGCAGGGTAATTATTGATGGAACTAACGCGATACGTTTGCAATGGCTCAATAAGCCTGGAACCGGTGCATCAGCAGACAAAATGATGTTAAAGACATTCTTACGTGACGTCTCTGAATACCCGGTCAAAAAGAGTTCAAGGTCTGGAGGCAAATGAGCGTACCTCGGCGATGTGATATAGTTAACATCGGCTCGCTGGACCTTGGCCACTTTGGACTCATGGCTCACTTCCTTGACCTGCAAGGATGTGACCTCAGTTAAGATTGACAACGGCCAGCGTTTGCTTACGATGAAAGATTCGCCTTGGCGCATGAACTGAGAAGGATGGGACGTCAGGCCCAAAAAGCTGTCGAGAGGAATCACTCTCACTACTCCCCCCTCGTACAACTCGAACAAGGCGCGAGAGAATTCGACTTCTTCTAGCATATATGTGTCCTGCTCGCGGTGCCTCACTTCCACGACCATGTATGTATCTTCCTGAGCACCCCCTGGACTTTCTGGTCATTATTGTCACATCCTGTATACAGATGCAACTTACGTATCGACACGTGCCTGGAAGGGAAAGGCAAATACTTGGGGTGCGTATGGTACCTAATGTGGTCAAATACTCGACTAGAGTCGAAGCGAAAAAGCCTCACCAGCCTTCCATGTCCTTTTGGAGTCTTCTCTCGCATATACCCAACATCGAGGTTCCGAACCATTTCTCGTCAGCGTCCGTCAAAGGAATCTCGTAGCCGGCGCATTGGAGGTGCGCTAGATAGAATGGTCCCCATCGTAGACCGTGCGAACGATAGAATGAGCCTACCTTCCAGTATAAGTTCATTGTCCGTGTCAACAATTAGGTCATCTATAGAGGCGTCGAACAATTCAGACGGATTTTCAATGTAGTGTTGGTCGACGGGAAACGGATCGGCGACCATGATTGCCATGGAATCCCGAGATCGCCTTCCTGCTCTTCCTGCTTGTTGTTTCTCGAGAAATATCAGGATTTTAAAGGGGAGAAAACAGCGTGGCACTCACAAAGTTCGACACAGAGAGTGGAAACCCAAGCATTATCACTGCATCCAAGGCACCGATGTCGATACCGAGTTCCAAGGCATTTGTCGCAATGATGCCTAACAGCTGGCCCGAAAAGGCTTCGTGTTCAATTTTTCGACGTTCCTATTCAGTAAAAAATTAAGAGAGAATAGTCGAGAGAAAAGAGAAGTCTTGCACCTCTCTAGTGTAACCTGTGCCCAAACTCATGTCAGAAGCAAAATGAAACTCGAGACAAATGACCTTACCTCCCCTGTAGGCTCTAACTCTACTCAAGATATCCAGCCGACCTTCGTTACTTAAATCGGCCTTGATAGCTTTCATGGCCTGTTCTCTGCAAGCTTACTCAGAAGCGCTGAATATTGGTGTTAAAATCCTACCAATTCGCAGACTTTACGGATCTATGCGCTGGAATTTTAGGAAGGTTAATATGACTAAGGAAGGAAGTGATCACCTTGCAGAAAAGAATGACCCGTATGCCTTTCTTCATCAAAAATCTCATCAAATGAGACGCCTCCGAAATAGCTGATTTCCTTCCGAGTACGGGCTCCATCGCGTCAATGAAAGGTGGGTTCCAGATAAGGTATTCTTTGCCGCCTGAAGGGGCACCATCGTTGGAGACGACCTCAATCTTCTCAAGCTCTAAGGCAAACATCTTCGACATGTAGTCCTGCGGGTTTGCCAAGGTTGCACTGCATGAGACATATCGAATGCGATTATCTGGATAAAATATATTTATCGTCAGTTTCTGGGACGTTCTAACTAATGTGGACGACATACTACCAACAGCGGCGCAAACTCGGCGAAACCGTCGTAGAATTTGGGCAACATGGCTGGTCCAGATGTCCTCAGAATACAAGCTGTGCCCGTAGTTTCATCTGGCTCACCTCCCCAGTAGTCCGGTATAGTAGTGCAATTCGTCGACGGCCAGTATCTAAATGGGACCAACTAGATCAAAAAAGACACATAAAAGATACAAGCGGTAACTGGACCTTCAATTTCTTCAGGAAACTAAGGATTAAGTGAGAAATTGTTAAGACGTCAGATCAGCCAATGCGGAGTGGGCCAACCTTCGCCATTTTTCTTCGTTCGGGAGAATGGACGCATGTATGGTGTCCTGGGTCAAGTATTGGACAATATCAAAGGCACGTACAGCGTGTCGACATACGAAATTTGTAAGAACTATGGAGGCCGTGTTTCTGATATCTGGTAAAGTGGTTGCGTTTAGGCTTGTTGTTTTCGACAGGCAGGTAAGATTGCCGTACCGGTTCTAATCTCCTTTGCTGTGTCACCGTCATAGGTCGCCACCTTCGAGGAATTTCATACTTATGTAGGAATCACAGATGGAAGGCAACCCACCGTGAGATTTTCGAGCCCACGACACATCTGCAAGAGGTGCTCTAGTGATGCTTTCTGGTCTTGCGCCAGCGCCTGCGCAGAGACCAGGATAAATTAAACCAAGTGATAGATAATAAAAAAAGAGACCTTGGTCGGGAAGACAAGCATGGCTGTAGCATTATGGTCGTCCTCAAGGAACGACAAGATGGGAATCTACTCGTGAGGATCGTCTAATGAGCAGTTATGCTCATCTAATCAATACAGACCGACCTGATAAATGATACTCTTTCCTGACGCAGTGCTTGTTGAAACGACGACGTGTTTTCCATTCTTGAGGGCTTCTATGGCTGCCGCTTGGTGCAAGTACAGGGCATCTATATTCTTTGACCTTGCAACGGCGTCCCAAATTTTCTGTGATACCGGAAAAGCAAGAGATCCTGCAAGATAATGAGTCAACTTCACGGGGCATGGACAAAGGAATACTTGCTAGTCTGAGCAGCTTTTGCCTCGACGGTGCGGCGGTAAACAATTTGGTCTGTGCACCATATCTGACGCATCATTTCGGAAATGACTTCGCTCACGAGAGGGCGCTCGCTGGACTGAGGAACCAAGCTCGCCTCCTTGTCCTGATTGATATCCTGAAGCCCATCATTCACTGGCACGTAGGTTTGACCGGCTGTAATCAGGAGGGATGTTGGGTCGTCGCCCGGCGGGGTCGCATTAAGGAGTCTACAAATAGTCAGGATACGGATTTTTTGCAACAAGAAGATACTTGCTCATTTACTGCCTCCTCAAATCGGTTATTTCGGGCAGCAATCAACTTCTTGATCGCCGCAGGGGACGCGGAGGGGGGTGGCGGGGAGAATGATCTAAATTACAGCCCAGTCAGCCAGTCAATATTATCAGAGTGACATTGTTGATGATACTTCACTTGGAGGTGTTGTCGGACTTCCTTCTCGCCGTGCTGGCAACAAATTCCAGGACTAGGACCGATCCCTTCTGAGAGCCTGTCTCGTCAGAAAGGGGACTGTCGGAGTAGATCGATGACTGAGCGGAAATTTTGTTAGATAGTTCCTGCGGTTCTAGTGCAGACGCTGGAACGTATGAAAATTTGACGAGATCAGGCAAGAGGGCTCTTATGTATCGTTAGTTCAAGAAACAAGGTATGGCACTGTAACTAACTTGATTTCGGCGACATTTGACATTTCGAGTGGCCTAAGTGTTTTGTCACATTAAGATTCTTGTTGTCAAATTGGTGGGGAATCACTGTTTCAAGAGACCCTCAACAGAGGACCTGACGGCAGAAAAACTTGTGGGCAGGTTCCTCTTGGACGAAACAAATGCGAGAACTGTGTTAAGGGCCTTGAATAGGAGTCACACGAGTTGTGTATGATAAATAGCGATAGCAACACACTTTGAAAACCTTCATATGTTGAAACTATGTAGGCAAGCGAGGACGTAGCCAAAGATGCAATGGACGGCTTGCCTTGAACAGCTTGACAAAGGAAAATATATACTCAAAGATGTGATAGAAGAGGGGTATTTTGACAACATACCGAGTGGAAGTGGTCTGGCCATGAAGCGGTATTAGTGGTTGATGAGACCTGGGGTGCCTGCAGTGGTTTCGTTTTCTGGCGTTGCCTTTTCTGAGGGAACTCCTCGCTTTTAGGGTTGTTTGCATGACTTGAGGAGGCCGAAGGGCTATCCTTCCTTTTCACCATTTGTAACGGCTGCCTCCAAGATACTGATGGACACTGGAAGGACACACACTGGAAGGACACAACTTCGCGATTGGTTCGTGATTGGGTCCGGTGGCCAAGAATGGATGTACAAATGGGGTAATCGATCACACCCAGTCTTGGCGAATCTTTCCAGCTCGCTCTCTCGCTTCCTGTCACCTACCAATGCCCGTATCACATTGAAATTAGCCTCTCTATTCAGAAGGAAACTTCCGACCCAATCGATGACGGTGATTCTGGTGTCACCGCCCCATCCTCAATTCATTATCATGATGTCACCGTCTTATCACTTCTGGACATCAATTCCGCAGTAAACTCAGCCAATACTCTCTTGAACACCTACACCCACGTTCAGCAATGAGGATTGAGCTCCTTGTCTTCCTACTTTCTGGCCCCCTCCGCGTTTTCTCTGCTACTTGCTTGGGACGCTTTGGCGGTCCTAATGTGAAAGTCACAAATCAGGGTGCAGCTGAGTCACCTCCGTACGTCGATATAGGGATCGATTCCGCCTTTCCAGGGAAACACCCCCATCACCCTCCTGAGAAAGAACCCACTGGGACGGTGTACGAAGTGCTCTCCAGCGACCCCAAGTGAGACAGCCGTGGGTTGATCATGAGTGGCCCATCTGCTGACTTCTTTCCTCGCGCATGTCCCTAGGTTCTCTAAGTTGACCAAAGCTCTCGACTTTGTGGACGAAGTGGCCGCTCTCCTCAATGACACCTCCGCCAGGTATGTGTTTATATAGTACTTCGCATTCCATTGTTTACTCATTCCAAACTCTCTTACTTAACATAAGGTTAACCTTCTTTGCAACCCCTGACCACGCTCTGCGTCCCCCCAAGCGCGATGGCGACGACCGTGACATATACAGCGATGCATTCAAACATGATCTGGACCAGAGCTTGTTCGAGCTCATCAATCTGTCGCAAGCAATTGATTTGCTCGACCAATTTAAACAAGATGGCGCCCTGGAGGACGATGGTGACAAACGTAAAAGAATTTTGAAGTTAATCCTCCGTTCAATTCTGGAGTATCACATCGTGCCGAAAGATGCCTACGACGGCCCGACGCTGGGCCACAACACAACTTACGCAACAAATCTCACCATCCCCCACGTTTCAGATGGCGAGCCGTTACGCTTAAGGGTTTCTCAAAAGTTCTTTCCCCCTGTGACTGCAATCAATTTCTTTTCCAAGATCGTCCAGCCTAGCACCAAAGCAACGAATGGTATGACCTTCTCACTGTGTTCGCCTGTATCACCAATTAACCGGTGAAAAGGGATTATCCATGTCGTCGACCATCCCCTTCTTCCTCCCCCACCGGTATTCCAAGAGCTCTATTTGATCCCCCATTTTTTCTCTACTTTGGTAAAATTTTATCAACATCCACCATAACTGTCTAACAATGTGTTTGTTTCCCAGACCTCCGCGTTGCAACGCTTAGAGCTCACCGAAACACTTGACCTTCGCTTCGTACACGGAAAGGGGCTCCAGGGTGCTTCATTGGTCACGGTCTTCGCCCCTACCAACCGGGCATTCGACAAACTGCCCCAGAAGTTAAAGATCTTCTTGTTTTCCACCTTTGGCGCGAGGATTTTGAAGAAAATATTGCAATATCATATCGTCCCCGACGTGGCTGTATATTGTGGTAGGCTGTTCCAACAAGTATTCAACAATAATCTGATTTGCAATCCTTTTCAGACTACTTACACCGTAAATCTGCATTGGAACCCGAGTATGAGCAGGTTCTTCAAGTCCAAAACACGGAGCCTGATCAGCCAATTCCTTGGTACTTGAGGTATGCTGGTGCAATAACTGTGAATGCACTGCCGTTGAACTTCCTTTTCGCAAGGTTTGAGGACTACAGGCGTGACCGGCGCCCGGCGGAACCTCTCTCCTCTGTCAATGTCACCCTTGAAACACTGTTTACAAACCACACTCTTCAAGCACACATAGAGAGGACCAACGTCACGTTGCCCATCCCTGGTCCTAGGAAGCCCTCCAGGATCGAAACCAAAGTCTTTGTGAACCACCAGTTGGTGGCCGTACCAGACATTGTGGGCTTAAACGGTGCCATCCATGTCGTTGATGCATTGCTTGATCCACGTGGCCCAAAACATGGGTGGCACGGGGTTGACCACGACGAAGAGAACGGGTACGATGAGGACATCCACGTGCAGCATGACGAAACCTGGGGCGACTGGGAAGAGTGGTTGCTCCAATGGGCAGACGAGAACTAAAGGAATATAAAAGTCCCGGGTTTTCTCTTCGTCTCCGCTACCTTCGTCCTTTTCTCGCCTTTTACATATGCACCTTTCCCTCCTACTCTCAGACGTATATGTGTATCGCAATGTATGTACTTGTATTTACTCCGAAATTATTCGACAAATCATTCTGGCGGTGCCTCTATGACCTTTCTTGCAGCGAGACGCCGATGGCTACGCGTTTTCAAATGAATATCCCATTCTGTGCCTTCTTCTACCATGACTGGGCGGTCTTCTTGCATGGTGCACATTGGACATACACGCTTCCTCCTGGCATTCAAAATGGATGTGGGGCTAGAACCTTTATGAGATACAAGAGTGAAGAGTGATGGCAAATGGTACGAGCCTAACGTTCTTCTTGGTCACAGTCAACATCTTGTATGCTGCTTCTGACAACGTTTTGGGATCTGGCATATTGCTCTCTGCAATAAATCCTGCAAAACATTGCTCAATCTCTGTCAGCAGTCTGGAGGTCAGTTGAGCTTACCTTCCGTCACGTCGAAGGCGGGGTTCTGCACATTCCGTACCCAGTCTTCTCCCAACGCTACCGAAAGCAACCAATCAGTCGCTAGTGTGGAAGAACGGCTAGACATACTGGTAGCGTCCAAGAGATAGAAAGGAACCACCACTCCGTCAACATTTGCCCACTCGGCAGCTGGAATCAATTTGTTCCGAATCCAAGAGATTTGCCGCTTCGCGTATTGTCGAGTCGATATTTTCATACGTTCTGTCGCCTCTCTAAATGCTGCATCGGACGGATCTTCAAGGTATTTACAGAACTCCTTGTAGCCTGGCATATGGTCAGCAGAGCAAGCCACGAAACGAAAGTCCTACCGATAGATTGATATATCCCAATAGTGTAATCGATGATTTTGCTTGATGCTCCGGAAGTTGAAGTTATGAGCAAACCATTAGCGGCCAGGTCTCGAAGAGATTTTACTTCGTCGAGAAGCCCTTGCTGCACAGTGTCGGAATAGAACCATGCCATTGTCTAGTTGCATCGCACCGATATCATGTTGTCCACTCGAGCATCAAGCCGCAGCCCCAGGACTGACGGCTCCGCATAAAGCCAAAACGACAGTGTCCGAAACCTAGGTGTCTCAGCCTTCATGTAGTCGGACCGGGCCCCGTGCATACCTCGGTTGGCTCTCTTGGATAGCAGACGACTGTTCAAAAACGACATCACTTGGTCGCTTACGAGTTTCCTTGAGTATTTCAAGACTCCGGAGAACTTTTCGCGTGTCTTTCCAGTGCCACCTCTGGGACATAACAGGGTCAAGGATTGCCAATAGGGCATGAAGCTGAAAGGCATCATCTGGGTTCATCTTGGCTGAAGGCGGATCCTCTGGTAGGTTCTGCAGTAGCGATGACAGTTCCGGTGGGAGGGTCGCAAAAGCTTTGACAAGAGGCTCTGGCCACGTAATTTCCGTACCTGATGAAGAGGATTCGACGATTTCCTTTGGGACAAGGCGATTGGGAAATATTAGGTGTTGGATCCAGTAAGACGTCCCTCCAACAACTATTGGGAGTTGATGACTGTTGTGCAGTTCATCTATCTGAGAACCTGGTCGACACTTGAGTAAATGGCAGGGCAATGGTCATACGCACCAGGTTCAGAGTATCTTGCACCCATTCACCCACCACATACTGCTCACCAGGTTGCTTGAAACCCATCATCATGTGTGCGACTCCATGTCTCTCGGATTCGGGAACCTTATTTGTGATAATATCGAGCCCTTCGTACACTTGCATAGCGTCTGCATTGATGACTTTAGCTCCTCGCCAGCCAAATTTCTGGCTCATCCGATTTATATGAAGAGCCAATTCGACCGCCAATTTCGACTTGCCAACGCCAGTTGTGCCACATATTGTGATAATAGGGCGAAGGGAGGCCGCCATGAGAAATGTGAGCGAAGAGGAAGTGAAGTAGTAAATGCTCGGGCTCGCGGCCCGGTGAACAAATGCTATTACACCCGATTCGTAACCTGAGCTTCAACCTTCTATATACCTTCTACATCGTCGCACGACTCTAGTCGCCTACGGTACTTCCTCCTCCTTTTTTCTTTTTTTTTCTTCATGTTTCCAAAACTCCGCATCGCGCGTGTTACACTGGCGAACCTAAAGCCAGCTCCAGGATCTCAGCAACATGTATGAACCTACCCAGATTCCTCACGCAGCGCAACTGACAGCAGGCAATTTGTAGCAAAAACGAGTCGGCAGAGGTCAAGGATCTGGCTACGGAAGAACTGCAGGACGTGGCGCAAATGGACAGAAGTCTCGCTCCGGACCTGGCATACGTCCAGGATTTGAAGGTGGTCAAACGCCAATCACTAAATTGTTCCCAAAACGCGGATTCGTGAACCAGTGAGTTGCTCTGTCGGAATGCTCGAATTTGGTTAAGTGGTATCATTAAGCAATGAAAAAACTTGGGCACCCGTCAACCTGGATAGGATTCAGCACTGGATCGATCAAGGGCGGCTTACATCGTCTCCGGAAAGTCCCATCACTGCCCGCGACCTTGTCTTGAGCGGCTGTGTGCACAACGCCCACGACGGTATCAAGATCTTGGGAAACGTATTTCCTCCCAGATTTTCTTCAAGTATTGAAATAACAGTTGTCTTTTTCAGGGCGCTGAGCATTTCAAATCACCAATTCATATCGTCATTTCTCGAGCTAGCAAGAGTGCAATTGATGCCATAGAGAAGCATGGTGGAAAGGTAGTTTGCAAATATTATAACGCCCTTGCTCTCCGCGACTGCGTCGAAGGCCGCGTGGACAGGGTAGCGGCCGCCCCAACGCGACGAGAAGACATTGGTGAGTTGCTCTTTCGAGTGTTATAATTGAAGCTCACCCTCTCGGAAGTCTGGTACATGAATCCTCGAAACCGCGGCTATATATCACAAGCTACGCTGGAGTCTTTGAAAGAAGTGCCTTTCGTGGAGGAGCGATGGAAACTGCTCGCAAAGGAGTTGGGTAGCTGGAAGGAGCAAAAGTACATTGTGGAGTCCATGAAGTCTACATAAGGCATACTCTTCTGTCATAGCTCATAGCTACATATCGACGTCTGTGTGCTTCTGGGGCTTGCCAGGCGAAGAAGAGCGGGAAAGAGATCGTGAAGGGCTGCGAGAAACATATCTTGACTCCGCGTCGGATGGTGTCCGGCTCCGATTTCGTCCACGACTTTCTGAACGAGCCATGCTTGAGGTCCGGGTTTGGCGCCGACTCCTGCTGCGACTTAGGCTTCTTGATCTGCTCCAGCTGCCTATGCTTCGGTCATTCTCACTTTCGACGTCGCTCTCTCCTTCCATAGCAGCTAGCAGGCGACTTTTTCGTAGTCCCAACTCCCCATTCTCTTCCAAGGTTTGTCTCTTTGGTAACCTGGGGAGAATAAGATCACAGACCCTCTCTTCAGTCAACAAACTGTAGACAAATTTGTCCATGAACACCAACGAATAGCCGGCTGAAAAGAAAAAAAAATGAGCACGGAGGTCCTGGTACAGGGCAAAGAAAGAAAGAACTCGCTCATGTTCCTTTGTCGGAGTTTACGATAGTCCTTCAGCAGGGGCTCAAGGAGTTCGTAGATGTCAACAGGTCGGAAAGTCATGCGAATGTAGAGGGCTGCCAAGGCCCGAAGATACCTGCAATTGGAATGAAGGTAGTCGCTAAACATAAAATGTAAGAACACACTTGAATTCTTCTGCCCGCAGATATTCTACAAGGATTTCCTTCTCAGGTTGGATTTGGAGGAGCTTGAGTAAGAGGCAGAGGTACTCTGTTGGGCGTTGATTCCCATATACGCCTCCAATAAAGCGTACTTCAGTGGCTTTATCGATGAGCGATTCGGCTGCAAAGCTTCTGTAAGTGCGAAGAAACGGCATGAAGTTGTGAATGACACTGCCTGTGAGTGCGAAGCAATGTTCCTTCCAGTATGTTGATTCGTATATCCGATTCCGAATCACTGTTTCGACTAGGGACTAGGCAAGTCAGAGAGAATAATCCGAAATAGTGGAGAGACTTCACCTGTGGGTTCTGCCCATGGATGGCCTGCGCGCCAGCGATGGTGGTATTAGCCATGGGTGGTGGAGAGAGAATCCACTCTTTTTAGAGGGGGGTGGTTGGGGCTGAAAAACAGCGTGCTAGATGGATCCTCGGTTCTGCAACAGGCTCTTCTTAGTAGAATAGCAAATGTGCAAAGATTGCTCGTGGGGGGATAGCACAGGAAAGCGGAGGGGTGCAGTGTGTCATAGTCGAAATGACATTGGGTCGCTATCAGGTCTTAGTGCCTGACCTTGATTTGTTCGCTTGTTCCAATACTCTCTTCTCGGTCGCCGTCGTTCTAAAGCTTCCTCGCACCCTTCCGTCGAGAGGATGGCCACGACGGCGAGTCTGCCCGCATACCTACTGCCAGGCGTGGCGGTTCACCAGCCACCCCATCTTGAGGGTGACGCCAGTCTTGCTACAGAGATTCTCCCAGGTCCTCCCTCCGCTGCGTCTGTTCAGCAAATGACTCTCAAGCGCGATCCTAAAAAACCCTCTATGGCGTATTCTTATCTTCCAACATCTGATCCTGGGTCGACGTATTCTGGACTTATGCATGGCACATTAATTGGGCAGGACCATGAAGGGCCTCGCACCAAGCGATCCAGAGTGGACAGAGGGTGCGCTTTTTCTTGACATTTCCGTGTAAACTTCCGCTCATCGTGCATTACTCCCCTCGACCTTACGACATTTCCTAAATCTTCTTCATCCGCGGTGCTCCTAATGTCGGTCAGAGCTGCCACCGGGAGGGCTCAACGAGCTTCCGCTCGTAATCAAAGCGGCATGACTGCTGCTAGTGTGGATCCTTTGATACCGCTGGATCCTGCAACGACCTCAACATCGCAGCTTATTGCTGTTGATTCGGACCCGGGAACCATCACCTTGGAAGAAGAAACCGGGTTTATGTCAAGGTCAGACTCATCCCTCAACTTACTGGATCCTTCTTCTTCGACGTCAAACGGGAGGGTAAAACGGGGGGATAAGGTGAAAGGAAAGGACGTTGAGACCCCTCCGCTTCGCGTGAAGGAGGAGCCCAAGTCTTTCTCTCTCAACACGCCTGAACCCCCTAGTAACTTGGTGCGCCGACCTCTGCCATTTCCTGCCTCTTTTGCTCATCCCTGGCTGCCAGCTCAACAACGAGGACCACTGTTCAGCTTGCCGTTCATTCGGCTCATTAGTCTACTGCGACGGCTGCCCTCGAGCGTTCCACCTTTGGTGCCTCGACCCTCCCTTAGAGGGTGTCGATGATGCCCGATGGTTTTGTCCCACGTGTCTGGCTCGCAAGGTGATTACGCATCGATTTTGGGTTGATACGTGACAATGACTTTCGTTCAGCATCCTCCTCAAAAACCCCCACCATCACTGCTCTCTGCTCTTATTCGCCGGCTACAGACAACAAACCCTGTGGAGTACCAGCTACCCGAAGAAATACGGATATTCTTCAAAGATGGTATGCAAGAAGCCTATAAACACCATGCATCACTAACTGCCGACTAGTTGCTACTGGTCCAAAGGGAGCCTACGTTGATAGTTCAGAACTAAAGCCACCCCGCATAAAGTATGTTCTGCGTGTTGGGCAAGGTCCCGTGCTGATAAAATCTATCCGTTCAGTCGGCATGGCCTTGTTGAAGACCGGGATCCTTATCGGCTACGGGATAGGAACGGAGGGCCGGTTCTGTGCTTTCAATGTGGATTGTCGGCCCTCCCCAGTAACTTACCCGCGACGGCCCCTGCTGCAAAACGTGCCCGAAAATCCACCAAATCCTCTTCTCCTGATGCGTGGAAAAGTATTGTTTCATGTGACTACTGTATCTTGCACTGGCATCTCGACTGTCTTGATCCACCTTTGTCTGCATTGCCCTCCATCAACAAGAAATGGATGTGTCCAAATCATGCTGAAAAGGTTATTGTAGGTGTTGCGTGTTCTTTTCTGTGTGACCCAAGTGGCCAACCTGACTGTCAGGCACCGAAACGTCGCGTTCCACGGCAACACGCTCCTCCCATCGAGATCACTAAGCCACGCCAATTCAATAATGGGAACATCGACATCATCCATCCTGAATACGTGCCTAGTGTCCCCAGCTCCACTGTGCCGGTAGACGAGGTCTTAATCAACGGACGTCGTTATCGTGTCCCGGAAAGGGCGATCATCCTCGATTTCTGGCATAAACTCAATAAGTGGGATGAGCATATCCCCAGGCATGTGCCATTCTAATGCACTCCCTCCGTTTACTGACTAAGCACAGAGACGAGGACGATACGTCCGGGGTGTCTTCTCCCTTGACAGAGCTCAGTTCTTTGGACGGCTCTGTAGACTTCACGGTGCAATCGTCTACTCGGCATTCCAATGGGGAACTGGATGAGCTTTCCGCGGCACAAGTGAATGGCTTTCTGGAGGTTGTATTGTGCACGGCTGACGACATTCTCCAGTTATTGTGCGATCTTTCTGCGCGACAATCGGAGGCTTCTCACGGTCGGGGCAAGCTGAGGAAAACTTCCGACCGTGGTGTTCAGACGGATTGCGACCTTCATAACCCACCGTCAGTGGCGAAGAATAAAGTTGGGCGTCCTCGGAAAGTAGGCTTTGCCACATGTCTCGCTAATCCAATCTGATCACCCCGTAGCATCCCTTGCCCGTCGAACCTACAGTCAATGGTGTCTCCAGACCCGCAGTGAATCGAGCAAGCGAGTCCGCAAACACTTCTTCGAGTGTCACAGTTTCTGCCGTCAGACGGAGACGAGCCTCTCAGCACGTCATTCATGAAACTAGCAACCGGGAACTGCGATCTCGGAGTAGACAGCACAACGACACACCTGTCACAAGCATCTCTTCTCGTGTATGGGTCTGTTTCGCCCAGCATTATGTCACTGACCTTCGCTTCGACAGAGTTCCCTTAAGCGATGCGAGGAACCCAGCAAAGATAACTCTCCTACTATCGCTCTTGTATCCCCCTCAACTGTCACTGCCCAATCAAAAGGCAAGATAGTGAACGTCAAGGTTTGCTGTGTTCGGAAACCTGCTATACGCCAAGCCTTACATATAATTTCGCAGTTGGAGGAAGTTGATGGCCCTTCGCTCATTAGTTCGTGGTCATCTCAAACTCCGACAGTCTCCTCTAGCGGATTGACAAAGGTCTCATTACTATACCCTTCTCAGGTTGACAATACTAAACTCTTGCTAGGTTTCTCGCACTGTTCGAGCCTCTCAAGCAGCACAGAAAGTAAGCAGCAATTCCATCAAGGAAACCAAAGAGAAAAGGGGGAGAAAACGGAAAAGCAGAGACGACGAGGTCCCGTGCACAGACGGAGAGAACGGTTCTGAAAGCATGCGAGAATTTGGGAAAACGCCGAAAGAGGAGAAAGGCGGTAAAATTGAGAAACCCGAAAGAGAAGCGAAGAAATCTGTCAGAACACCAGCGAGACAGACGCAGTTGAATACTGTCAGTCATGCGACGCCTCCACCATCCACTATCACTCTCACCTCTCCTTCGTTATCGATCACGCCTTCTCTCAAGATTCGCCTTCCACGTCTCAGCAACCTCACCGCAAGCAACACATCTTTCTCGTCGACTCCCCATCCAGACACACCCATTCGACGTTAATTCTTTTTGGGAAGCTCTGCAATTTGACTTGGCGAGCCCTGGATCCAGACACTCTGCATGCCATCCTTTATTTATGATTAACTTTCAGTAATTCGAGAATAGATACAATCAGAATATACTTGACGGACTGCGTCAAGCTTTCAGTTTCACTAATCAGGACCTCAAATCAATGAAATCGTCCTTGACTTCACGCTGGAGCAAAGCAACAGCGTTCGGTCCTGAATTTCGTTCGAACCTGAACCGAACTCGATGTTCGTCCAAGGTCCGACGAAAGTGCTGAACTGGACTTGCGGTCCAGTTCTCGGTTCAACGTTCAGGCCCCGCTGAACCTGCAAGCCAAAACGGGTAATTAATAAAAGGCCCTTTTCGAGCAAAAATACGCGGAGTTTGGTGTGGATTTTGCAAGGGAGTCGTTGGGGAAAATAACTGGCCACCTTCCTGGCTACTTTAGGGTACGTAGCTTCTGTATCGGGGTGTTGGAGGGGGGCATATGCCGATAGAGGTCCGATCCTAAGATGTCCTTTTTGGACGCTTCTGTCAGTCCATTTCTGGTCCACTTTCGTACGCACTTGGATCAGGTGGCACAAAATTTGCCCTCTTCTGTGCACACTTTGAATCGATGCTAAACTGGGTGTGTGGGAATTTTTTAAGGTGCATGCGGATGGAGGTCCGATCCTAGGTTCGGTCCAAGCCGCCGTTCTTCTGCCGGTCCTTGTTTGCTGCGCAAATAGCTCCGTTTTTAGTAATATTTTCGGGCTCCGCAGGACCTTCGAATAGTGTTGCCGGGAGCTGAGGTGAACTCCGAGTCGAGTTGAACTTGGCTCGGAGCGCCTTCTAAATCGGGCGCCTCGAGGCAACAGAGGTGCAGCTCAGCTCAAGCTGGCTCCGAGCTGACGTTGATGGCAAGTCTCAAAGCGTCACACAGCGACAGTGCTTTCCCACAGCTAGCCTTCCTCCTTCCACCACCTTCGACAACCCGTCTGCACCATTCTCCCTGTTTTCCGCTCATTTCTCGCCTCCTGAGCGCGGCCCCCACCCATCAGCAACCCTGCTAAAGACTACTTCCAAGCCTCCTGCAGGCCACCCTCCTCTCTCGTGGTTACATGGTATTAGCCCCAGCTCAGTCAAATCCTCATGCCTCAAGCTACGAAATCCCGTTTGGCGATGCTTAGACATGTCAGTTTGGTGTCGTTGACATGTCAGGCCTGTCAAAATTTCTTGGGTCAGGAGGGGATATAACTGCAAGGGGCCAAGGAGGAACAGGTATAAAAGGCGGGCAGAGAAATGGAACATAGGTCATGCCATAGTATGTTGACCATCTGTGGTGTCCGTAAAGGCCCATACAGATTTATCTGTTCTACTTGTCCTCACTTGCAATAATCATATCATCCTGCTTTTACCCACTCGTATCCTGACCTACTCCTGGCCTCATATGTGCCTTCCCCTGCACTCCAGCACCTCCTGCTCAGCTTCCTATCAGTTTCTTGGATGCTGCCTGGGCCCAAGTGAGCGCTTTTGAATGTTGGGAGTCTGGACGAGCTTGTGTGTGATCCATCCCTGCAGCAAGTCCTTCCAGCAAGAACAGGTCTTCAAGTGCTGCTGATGAACTATTCGGCAGCATGAAGACCTCGACGATCAAAGGATGTTGAGATGGCGATTCAGGTCTAGGAACAGGAGGGTGTTATCAACAAGGGCCATACAACTATGAAGGATTTTGGTCTCCTCCGCTTCTAACAGGCATGTCGACAAATTTTTGAAATGCCATTAGATTCTGACATCCATTTTTAGGCTGAGTGGCAGGGTGATTGTGCACTCTTTTGGAGGATCACGTACCATGTCCTGCCTGCCCAAGCTTCAGCTGTTCCATGCAAGAGGATCTTTTCATTGAGCAAGAAGACCGACACCATGTGACATTCGAATTTGTGATGGAAGAGCTTCAAATTCTGAAGCACTTACTGAAACAAACAGGAGATACATTGACGGTTCTTAGGAGGGTTGGGGAACGGAGGAATGTGATGATGATGATGAGGAGGGTAATAACTAATCTAACTTAAGGGATCTAGCGCACTTCTATCCTACATTAAATTGTGTATACTTTTTGCTGTACCGTTCTAATTGCTACAAGGGCACAATATGCCATCATTGTTTGTCCTTTTCACCGAGGAGGGGGTTCCCAATCAGGAAATCTTTTGATTGCTGGTTACGAGGTGACTCGAGCTGAGTTGGAGCTCCCATCAGCTCGAGTTCGTCTGAGTTTGAAATGTTTCCACCTCAAGTTTACTCAACCTCAGCTCCTGGCAACACTACCTTTGAAGAAGGGGCTTGCACCAAGGTACAATATTCTGGTAGGACCTTTGACGATTTATGGCACTGTCAACTATTGCCCATTTACTCTGAAATTTCATGAGTGTAATCTTGCTATGCTCTTCTGTTGTATTGCTAATTTACACGAATTTAAAGCCTTACCATAGTTGCTCATTGTCGTTGCTCATTATCAGTTCAATCAAACGAAGACCCTTACTTTTATCTTCCAACTATAGGGTTATTCTGCTGTGACTTGTGTTTAGTCTCTAGAATTTGGCTTACAGAATGCGGAAATCGCGGTTTTTTACCCAAGAAACATGCAGGAAACGCAAAGATGGCATCCCTAACTCCAACCTGACCTGCCTCTGGTCCCTCCAGGATCTCATTACTACCACAGGCACCATCCAAACATCAGAACAGGTCCCACCACACACCAACTGCCCTGGAAACTCCACAGAGAGGAAAGGATCTGCCATCCCAATGTCTCTGCGGTATCAAAACACGATTGCCTGATGACTTGTCCCTCAATGTCATCTCTGCTCACCTGGTCTCAGGTCTCAAGCTGGTGTACACCCCAGAAGACTAGCAAATACACCCAATACGATGCCTTCCCCACGGCTGTGACAATATTCTCTGTGTGGGCACAGGATATGGTAAGAGCCTCGTTGTCGATGCTCTCTCCCTTCTCAGTGGGCAGGGAAGGCTCTGAAGGCTCTCGAACACGACAAGGTATGCAAATAATGAACTTTGTCCTTGTCTGTTAACTCAAGAAGGTGCTCGCAGGTCTTTCCAGCCATTGAGAAAGGATAGATGCAATTATGATCAAAGACACATCTCAGACGGCCAGCCTCTGGAAACGTGTTTGAACAAGTGTGTCAGTCAGATACCTCTCTCCTGAAATGGCCCTTTCTTTGAGCTTTCAAACCCTCTGGAAATCCTCCTGGTTTCGATTGCGATTGATGGCTGCGGTTGAACATGAGCAGGGAAAAGAGGAGGCAGACATGTTTTTCAGGGGTTTCCAACTTCATCTCTTGGCCTATTTTTTGTCCCAACAGTAGGAGTCGTACAGTATCTCATCTGCAGGCATTGATGTAGTGCTCATGGTTGGGACATTTTTTTTGTCTCGCTTTTTGCTGGTGTATACTAGTAGAGGACAGGTGTGACGTATGTATGACCATAGTCACCTCCAAGCTCGCCACCTTCTATGTCGGTGCCAGAAGCTCTTAGGCATGAAATTTAAGAGTTATTCATGGTCCTTGCATATTCAGAACAGGGTATGACACAAAAAAACAAAAGAAAGTGACATTTGAAGGCCCCAGAATGCAAAGGTGTTCCGATTGTGTGACATCACTTGCCAATGCTATATCTTTTCATCTGTATAAACTAAATTTACAAAGAAAGCGCTGTTATGTATTCTATTATACACTATAATAATGTACAAATTTTGGTGGCCAACAAAGTGTTTGATAGGCCTTGAGGGAGGGTCAAACGTCCCCTCTGTTTTTGTGACTTTGTCCCAAGCCCCTTCTGCAAAGGTGCTGCAAGCAGCGGAGCATGTGGGGCATGCTCCAAACCTAGTCTAATCCCAGCTTCCAAGTCGTCGATTTTGGCCATCATATTCCCAGGATATGTTGCCAAATGCTGCCACCATCAGTGTTTTCCTGCAGGCTGCCTAGACTCGTGACCAGTCGTGTTCGCAAGGTCACATGCGCTGACATAAGATGACTTAATGAAATAGGAAGGAAGTAATGTGAGCTTGCGAACAGACTGGAATAACTGGTCACAATTTTGGCTGGAAGCGTGACAGCCTGCTAAACATGAGTTTGGACTTAGTCTTTTTTTTTGTGTTCATGTGTTCACACAGACCATCAAATCTGTGATCCTGCTCTGCCCCTCCACAAATAACATTCTGTACACCAGGTATCTACTTCATGCAATGCTCCTGGACCTCTCCCTCTTTTAGAACCTCCAGCAGCTGGCAAACCTTGAATCTAAGGAGCCTAAATTGAGCCAGACAGCACCTGGGACGACTGACTCATGAAGGGAACCGACATCTGAGGACTCTGGGAATAGCCTTCAATTATGAAAAGTGGCTGCGCTCCTGTCAGATTGTTTGTGGGGTGGCTTTAACAACTTCCTCTGCTTCTTCATTACCACAGCTCCTTGCTCTCCCTTATTGACAACTGGCCTCTTTGTTGCTGCTTTCACCTGTATCAGCTGTAAAAAACATAGAAATCCTAGGTAGTTTCCTAACTCTAAGTCTATGTCTGGGAGGGCAATATCCTATCTTCCACTTTGGGAAGAGGGCATATAACAAGATTTTTAATAATGATTTATTTGTAGGAAAAAAGTATCTGGGTTCGTAGAGCACTCTTTCATGACCCTGAATCAAGTTGTTTGATGGCATCAGCTGCTCTGGTTGGCAAGAAAAATGTGAATTACTGAAAAAATGGCTTGTGTTTTGCAAATTTTGGGATTGTTTGGCTTATATTTTGTTGTTGATGGAGCCAAATAGATTGTGCTGATGGTGGCAGGGTCACCTAAGGTAGAGGCCATCAGGAACCAGCTAGCTTATATAATTGTATTATATAAGCACCAAGGGTGGCAAAATCTCGCTCTCGAAAATTTTCAAAAATTTTGACCCTCGGAATACAAGTCAGAGTACAGTAGAATATTTACTTGGACCCCCCAAACCTCTTTAAGAACTCCTCCTTAAGTTTAGCAACAACAGACGCAGGAAGTGTGCGATGGCCGTGATATTTCCTGTTTGCCCATGCTGCCTCGGGGCCTGTAAGTCCCTGGAAGTACGCATTGATAAATCGAGCAGCGCGATTGGCATATCTAATCAGCGCGTTAGATCCATTTATTGATGGAAGTGAAAATAAACACTCACTGTTTGATTGAAACATCAGGAACATCGTCGAGGCAGGCAAGTACATTCCTCTCCATCTCCTTTATATCAGTTGTCTTGGGGCTATTCTGATACCGAAGCTTTGCTGCCCCCCAATACTGCTCAATGAAATTGAGTTCACAGTGATATTTTGGGTAGAAGTCACAAATGTGACCACGGGAAGTGATTAATTCTTCAAGGCGAGACTTCTGATTTATGAAATCGGGCTGTGTGAATAGAAGCCGTCGACAGCAGCAGTCCGTCTTCCCAGGCTCACACTTGAACCCCTCACACTGCGCGTTGAGCCCCCACTGTGGCCACAGACTGCGCTCCCGGATAATATTCTCCATCCCTTTAAACCAGCCCAGCATGGTGGGGTGATCATCTGGGTAATAGAAGTCTTGGATAGTGCTGTGCTCACCGAAGCAGGTGGTCCTCATCTTTGGGCCATCTTTGTGATGTGTCCATGTTGCATGGGGATTTTTGGGCATTTTCCGAGCAGAGAGGGCATCCATTGCCCACTTTTGGTGACTCGGTGCATTGTCAAACAGGAAAAGACCAGTTGCAAAGCCATTGGTGAGTCCCTCAAAAATGTCAATAGCATGATCCACTTGACTGATCAGATCGTCATTGTCGAAGTAACCATCCCGATTCTTCCCCGCTCTGAAGAGGATACGTGCCTCGCTTTTTTCACTCGATGGTCAGCCTTGAGTGGTGGATAATCATTTGAATGTTACTCACTCATCTCCGTCTTTTAGCCGCCCCCAATCAGGTGTTAAGAATTCGGACACCATGATCAATGGCCCCTCTCCTTTTCTCTCTGTTGTCGCCTTTTCTTGGAAGTGGGTCCACTTTGTCTTGTGTCTGTCATTTTCGTAGAACGTTGATTCATTGTGTGTGACCAGGATCAAGTGGAAGCGGCTGATTTGAGGGACAGGGAAGCCAGCTGGTTTAGAGAGTACGTTGCCATCGTTGTCATAAATAATGAAATGCTTCTCATATTCCTGCCAGCGTGACACGAATGCTTTCCAATAAGCAACCACATCCTCCCTTTCATGGCCATCAATGTACATGCCATTCCGTTTGCGGGTATATCGCCAGTTCAGCTTCTTCAACCAGTGTCGAGCTGTTCGAACGGTGATTCCTCGTGCCTTCACCCCAAGCTGCTCCTGGACATCCTTTGTGGCAATGTAGTCAACAATGTCCTGTGCCCAGATGTAGCCATCTTTTGCCTTTCCTGTCAAGTGTAGCTGGATATCCTGGGCGAAGTCTTCATCATCGAGGATTGAGGAGTTGTAGGAGCCATATCGGTGAAGGGGCAGTTTCCCAGATTTCAAAAACTGACAGATCCACTTTTGTAGGTTGCATGCGTGATTGGGTCCTCATCCTGCAGCTTTCGCCGCAATCAGGGAAGCCTCCTGCCACGTATATGAGAGCTGTGAATCGAGATAAAGATTCAATGTCGCAACCATCCCTGTAATTCGGCTTCGGAAGAATACATCAAGCTTCTTGTCTTTGCTCTTGATGGTGAGTTTTGCGAGTGTACGACGCAGCATAGGAAAGTCCTTGTAGCATAATCCATTCAACAGGACATCAGTCCTTGTCTCAGGGCTGTCATCTGAAGGGCGACATCCATTCCGCAACTGCTTCAGGAGCTCTTTGACTTCCTCCTTTGCAGATCTCGCTCGTGTGTCACTCTGGGTGCCTGTAGTGTCATGCAATGGCCCTGGGTTCATCTAGTCTTGTTGGTTAGTCCTCGATTAAGCTTTTGACGTGCATCTGGACTGACTTCATTGCTCAATTCATCTCTTTCAGGGAAGAGCCGGCCCATGCTTGCCTCAACATCTTTGGTGGGTGGGTCTTCAGGTGATGAGTCTGAGTCTGAACCAGATTCATCCTTGGAGACCGTCTTTTTGGCTACTGTGAACCAGGAATTAATAAATTGTTGTCCAGCTGCTGCTAACTTCTTCCGATTGAAGGCATGGAGCCGCTGGCTTCGTTTCGAGTTCCCAGTGTAGTGCTTTGGGCAGTTGGGCTTATCAGCTGCTGCTTCACATTCAGCCTTTACAGTAAGAGCTTGAGCTTCACAGAGAACAGCTGCGAACTGATGAACGTCGCTCTCATTCTTCAGCCCCTCTAGTTCTTCCTCACCAACCTCCACCTCCTCCTCATCCTCTGGGGTCCCAGTCCGAGTCTAAATCCAAGTCTTCATCCAGAAAGAAGAAGCCTTCTTTGAGGAGTGGCTGCCTGTTGCTGGTAGGGATGTAATCTTCATCTTCTGACTCACTCACATCTTCTACAGTGGGTTTATAGGACCTTCTAGGGTGGTTGAGGTTCCCAAGACGTGCAGTAGTTGCTTTGGAGTGTCGGCCCATGTCTGTCTGAATGTGCAGAGAATGGTTATTTCGTTGCCATTTTGTGGCAGTTTGTGGCCTTTCCTCCTCCCCCTAAGTCACGTGTATGCATTATGTAAGCGGCAAAATCCACTGCGTCGCATTTTCAAAAAGAATATTGCCTTTACAAAAATGGGTTTTATTGCATTTACTACACTTTTCATGGTCAAATTTTTGGACCCTTATTTCTTGGCCCCTAAGCAAAAATTCAAATTATTTTTTCCAGGGATCTCTTCTTTGGAATGTATTTTACAAGTCTTAGCACTATGATGGGGAATTAATTCAGTGTTGAGGCTGCAATTCGAGGCGACATTGCAAAGGTTTTTGGATTACATAAGCTAGCTGGTTCCTGATGGCCTCTACCTTAGGCCCAGGATTTCAATTTCAACTATTTCTTCCCAAAAAGGAAAGTTCCCATGGTCATATGACCAGCCAATTTCACATTTCTGGCCCTAGTGTCTGTCTAGACATAGCAGAAGAGGACTTGAGCAAATTTTTGCAAAGTCCAACTTGTTATCCATGACTTTGATGTTGATGGCATCAGCAAACTTGATGGCTTTATTGCTCTTTATCAATGCCAAGTCTGGGCCTGGAAATCATGTATTTATTAATTGTTTCTATTTGAGGCCATAATATCAAAGTTTCAGAGGCTGACCCTGAAGGAAAAGGTAAATAAAAAGTCACATGATCTGCCATCAGTCTCAGCATCAGTCACATTTCACATGTTGAGCACTCAGTAACCCCTCCATGGTAATAGAAGAGCCTTTCCAAAATGGAAGGTAGGATATTGCCCTCCCAGATGTAGACTTTGTTGGTGCAGTGGTGGTCAGAAGGTAAGAGAGGATTAATATTCTGGGGCTCCTACAGAGCTCTTATATACTGTACAATTATGTATCTACAATATTCTAGCACTATCTACTAATTTCCTATTTGTCTGAGGCTATGCTAAGTGAGTCAAAATATTACTAATCAATAATTCTGGTAAGTCTGAGTAAATGCTGGTTTGGCTAACTCCAACAGACTTAGAGTTAGGAAACTACCAAGGATTCTAAAAAATTCTAGCTTACATGGCTGACACTGCTCTTGCGTCTCTCAGGTCTTATCTCACCGTTCTGGACAACTACAACGGACTCCAACGAGCAGCCGCCGACCACAGACATGGTAGTGGAGGAACAGTTGATGCAGGAACCAGAGAGCATATGGATGATGGGGACCCACTGGATAGAGCTTCCACCCCTAGCTCTATCGAGTCCAGGACCTGAAAATGATCTCGGTCCCCTGATTCAGAGGATGGGGATTTCGGACGACGTGATGGACATAGATGAATCGATCCCAATGTCTTCCCATGGAGCATCCAGGAGGAACTCAGTCCTTTGGCCCTCTTGCCCAAACTCTGTCAGATCCTCGTTGCTCTTGAGAATTTCTCTCGAGACCCCAAGCTGACCAAGTCCTCCCTGCTCAACTCTGCATGATGCCCTCAGTTCCCCAATGGAGAGTGGACCAATCTCCTGGCAGGACACATCATCAACTTGGACCATGTTTTATCCAGAGTTTACTCCATCAACTCCGACAGTTGCAAGCAGAAGTGGTTGGGATCATTGGAGGTCATTGTTGGTGGCAGCAATCCCTTGCGAACCGTCTGCACCCACTCCAACTGGGTCATTGCCTGGGACATGTTTGTCCAAGCCGCCCTCTATGTTTTCCCTCACCAATCCAATGAACTTACTGCCTATGGAAAGTTCATCCGCCAACTCTTCACTTCCATACCCGTCAAGCGTCACTTCCGAGTCATCCAGTTCAACCGCACTGCGTCCCAATGAGACCTCCTTCTCTCAGACTACCACCAGTTCACTGATCTCAATGTACTCTGGATTCAGAATGCTGGAGGAGGTGTGGTTGGATCAGATGATCATAACCACAAGGGAGGAGGGGGAGTTCCCCGAAACAGAGGTAGATGGGAGGCCTGTCACTGGTGGAATGAAGGTCAATGCCCCAACAGCACCGCAGTCTGCAACTACATGCACATCTGCTCAAAATGCAGGAGTACAGGGCACATTGTCAGCAGCTGTACTGTCTCTGCAGGTCACAAATAAATGCCAATCCCATCTCCCAATTTGGTCAGCATGCCCGTCCTTTGCCTGTGCCTTCATATGGAACAATAACGATGGACCACATTTGACCCTCACCATATCATCTCTGTTCATGCCTGCCCTACCACCTGTCCCTGACAACGAACTGGTGAACGAGCCAGCGCTCAACACCATTGCCTGTAACCCTGATCTATTCCAGGTCGTTACACCCATCTCAGTCTCCAACCTCTGCAACTTACTGGTCAATCATCCAAACAATCTTTTCATTGACTCCATCTGTCATGGCCTCCTTCATGGGTTCTGGCCCTGGGCAGACACATCCTGTTTCAATCTGCCCTTCATACTTGATGTGAAGGACACCGTCTCTGACCCAGTTCACCTCTATTTTGTGTATGAGCAACGTGACATTGAAGTGTCCCTCGGCTGCTTCTTGCAACCTTTCCTACACCTCCTACCTGGAATGCTGGCCATCCCCTTTAACGTTGCCACCAAGCCACACTCCGACAAGCTTTGCCTTTGCTTCAACTACAGTGCCCAGCCCTTCTTGTGCAATGAGATGATCCCCAAGGAACTTGTCTTGGTATCTCTTGACAACCTACAGGACCTAGGCCATGCCTTGCAAGAGGTGCACATCGCTGGTGGATCCTCCACATGCCTCATGGTCTGGAAATCTGACATCAAATGTGCCTATCAAAACATCCCCATGCATCCCCTGTGGCAAATCAAACAATTGGCGGCACTTACCACATCGACCGCAACAACAATTTTGGTGGTCGAGCCTCCAGGGTTTATGGGGCACCTTCTTTGCCCTTGTCTTGTGGATCACTACATATGTCAAGGGTCTTGCTGACATATTTGGTTATGTTGATGACATGTTCTCCTGGGAGGTCAAAGGGAACTTGACATGGTACGAACCCTACCAAAAGTACTTCCCTACCAAGCAGGCACACTTCCTGACCCTTCTTGATCTCTCACCATCATTGGTTTTGACATCAATCCCAGTGCCATGACAATCACGATGCCAAACGATGCCCTCTGTGACCTCATCTCTGCTATCCACCTTTTCGCAGTCATGGGCTGCCGACCCAAGCTGTCTGACTACCAACGACTGGCCAGCTGGATCAACTGGGCCTTCAATGTCTTCCCCCTCCTTTGGCCAGGCCTCAGCATGCAAAGATGTCAGGCAAGGAGCACCCTTGGAGGGAGATCTACGTCAACAAACAGTTATGCCATGAACTCCTCTGGCTCGCTAATCACCTCAAAAGTGCGCCACCAATCTTCATGCTCAACTCCATTGACTGGCCCCTCAACACTGCAGATTATATCCTGTTCACCAATTCCTGCCTCTATGGCATGGCTTTCTGGTCCCCAGCACACAACATTGGTTTCCAATGTGCAATTGACACCTCAGAGCACCCTATCTTTTATTGGGAAGCCTACACTGTTGTGTCAGCTTTCTCTTGGATTGTCTATTTCTGCTGTCTGGCCCCCAGGTAGGTTGTGATATATTGTGATAACACGAACACCGTCAACATGTTCGACACCCTCCGCACCACACCCTGCTACAATTCTTTCCTCATTACCACCATCAACCTCATCATGCATTTTGGCACTCAGCATTGCCCATATCCCTGGCGAGATCAATGCTATGGCCAATGCCTTGTCTTGTTTTGATAATGCACACGCTTACTTCCTTCAGCCCCATCTCATTCTCTAGCCATTTCAACCCCCTCGTCTTTTGCTGGGGGCAGACTTTTTATGAACCTACCGCCCTCTTCCAGGCAGCCTACAGGGGCTGCCTGGTCCCATGACCATCTTGTCCACAAACAGGCAGTTGCACTTGGCTTTGCCCTGGAGCCCTCCTCAATCTCTTCCTATTCATCTGCCCTCCACACTTCTATAAGCCAGGTAAATGTATCAAACACTGTATTTAAGCAGGGTATACTCACATGTCAGGACTGTGATTAAACAGTCCACCCACGGAGAGGCTGTTGCCATGTGTGCTGGGGCTCAGTGCTGTGGATGGGGCCTGTCAACATGAGCAAACAACACAGGAAACAATGCCTGAGCATTGTTCCTCATCGTTTTTGGTGCTCCTGCCACCATTTTTGATGGGGAAAAGGTGCCAACGACGAGGAAATATATTTCCTCATTGTTGTGCACCATTTCCCCCATCGTCGGGGGGCAGGAATGGGTGGATTGGGGAGGGGCAGTTTGGATGATGCTCGGTATTTTTTGCTGTCATCTATTTTTAGATCAAACATTTTTGTGCACACCAAAATTTGCAAAAAAAAAATTATATTAAATTGTAAAAAATTATATACATGGTACAGGCGGCTAGTAAAGCCATCTATTAAGAAATAGAAATAAAACGAGCAGGAAATTGCCACCTCCACCCCTGCTCCTGCCTCTGCTGCCTCTGCTGCCCCTCAGTGGGCGTCTCCACCTCCTCTTTGCCGCCTCCTCCCTCCTGCGCTCGTTGGGGCCCTCTCTGCCCCTGCCGTGTTTGTTGGGGCGGGTTAGGGCTCCTCTGCCCCCTCCACCTCCTTCCATGCTTGTTGGGGTCGGTTGGGGACCCCTCCGCCCCTTCCGTGCTCTCCATCCGTGCCCATCCGCGCCTCCTCTGTTTGTTTGGGGCCCTTTGTCACTTGTTGGGCCCTTTCAGGTGCTCGTTTGCCCTCTCCGGGGAGCTCTTTTGCGCCCTCTGCTGGCAATTCAGCCTCTCCGCTGGTGGTTCACTGGTCAGAGGGTCGGAGGGTCCCCTTGAGGGGGCGAGGGGGCGAGTGGTGGGGGGCGAGATGGGCAACATGGCAACATGGTGGGGCAGAGGGCAAGGGCAAGGGAAGCACTTCTATAAGCTAGGTACATATATCAAACCCTATGTTTAGCCAGTGTGACCTCACATGTCCAGACCATGTTTGAGCAGTCAGGCTCTCCAAGGCTGCTGGGGTGAGTTTGCCGGAGATGCTGGGGCTATAAGGATTTGTTTGGGGGCGGGAGGGGGTAAATAAATGACCAAACAACCCTCCCAGGGTGGGGCAGGGGTAGGGTAGGCCTGCAGGGGGTGGGAGGGGTGGAGAAAGCATGGGAAATCCATCTGAAACAGGCAGGGATGGTGGGGGATGCATGATAGGGGCTAGTGGGATGGCAGGGTGGGTTCTGGGTGTGGCGGGGGCCTAAAAATGGGTTGGGCAGGGCTAGATATGCATGCTAATAATTGTCATGGCCCCCACGGGGTGCGGGATGGGCTGGGGGAGCCAAAAACACAAAAAATCCAGAGTCTTTTGCATTTTTAATACAAAACAATTGAATATCAAATCAAAAACTTAATATTTTGGTGTGAGACTTTGCAGACCTTTGTATCTATAGTGGGGGGTGCTTCATGAATATTTTGAGTATTTATTATGAATTATGGGGTGCCCCACACAGCCAGGAATAGTGTGTGCGGCAGGGTTTGATGCGCTTTGCCAAATTTGGCAATATTGTGATGCCTGCATATCCGTGCATAATTCTGGCTTGCCCTCGCATTATTTCACCTAGCTTTGGCTGAGCGAAATGTTGGGTACATTGACACCTTCCTGTAGACCCTTTGATCGTGTGAAACAGGTGAGAACTCGTTGAGATATGGCAAACATGATTTTGGCTACTACAATGCATGGTGCACCCATGCATCCTTGGACGTGTTTAGGCCCATTTAAGTTGGTCAAAAATCATGGAATACATGTCTGAGAGTAATAGTACTATTGATAATGCCAGGGGGTGTCTGGGTGTAGTAGATCTGAGGGGGGGTATAGGTACACCAGGAGACCCACTCCGGATACCCCACTAAACGTACCTCTGAAAGTCTGAAAGTTGGTACATGGATAGTACATATTTATTCATGAATTTAACATGTTTTATCATAATTTTATATTGCCTGGAAGTTGGGTTATTGACCAATTTCACACGAGCTAAGATATTCTATTGACATCCAGGATGGGAGATATTGGCCCATGTAAAATCATTATAAATGACGATAAATGTATAGAAACAGAAAAAGGTACTTGCGAGGGCAAGGGGATGATTCTGTGTAAAGTTATTAAGGGGAGAAGGAGGAGGTAACCCCCCACATCAGTATCTATCTATATACTTACCAAATCCACATATTGCACTCATTCAATGGTGCTTTCGGGTCAGGATAATGTCCCTTAACATATTTCAGTAGTGACTGATGAGGCTCCAATGCCTGGGTGAAATGGTATTAGAGAAAGAGCTGAAAATGCACAAAAAACATGAAAATAATTAAAATGGGTACCTCAGACTTGGTCAAAAATTACCAAACTTTGTATATGAGGACCTATTAACATTCTGAAGGGACTGCAAAAAACCGGATGAGATTGTGAGGAGTAGGTGCAAAGATATGCAAAATGAATTCCAAAAGCACCACTTGCATCACAAAGTTGTTACAGGATGTTCATGCTCTTACAGTCATTCTGATACCCTTTTGCATATCTTTGCACCTACTCCTCACAATCTCATCCGGTTTTTTGCAGTCCCTTCAGAATGTTAATAGGTCCTCATATACAAAGTTTGGTAATTTTTGACCAAGTCTGAGGTACCCATTTTAATTATTTTCATGTTTTTTGTGCATTTTCAGCTCTTTCTCTAATACCATTTCACCCAGGCATTGGAGCCTCATCAGTCACTACTGAAATATGTTAAGGGACATTATCCTGACCCGAAAGCACCATTGAATGAGTGCAATATGTGGATTTGGTAAGTATATAGATAGATACTGATGTGGGGGGTTACCTCCTCCTTCTCCCCTTAATAACTTTACACAGAATCATCCCCTTGCCCTCGCAAGTACCTTTTTCTGTTTCTATACATTTATCGTCATTTATAATGATTTTACATGGGCCAATATCTCCCATCCTGGATGTCAATAGAATATCTTAGCTCGTGTGAAATTGGTCAATAACCCAACTTCCAGGCAATATAAAATTATGATAAAACATGTTAAATTCATGAATAAATATGTACTATCCATGTACCAACTTTCAGACTTTCAGAGGTACATTTAGTGGGGTATCCGGAGTGGGTCTCCTGGTGTACCTATACACCCAGACACCCCCTGGCATTATCAATAGTACTATTACTCTCAGACATGTATTCCATGATTTTTGACCAACTTAAATGGGCCTAAACACGTCCAAGGATGCATGGGTGCACCATGCATTGTAGTAGCCAAAATCATGTTTGCCATATCTCAACGAGTTCTCACCTGTTTCACACGATCAAAGGGTCTACAGGAAGGTGTCAATGTACCCAACATTTTGCTCAGCCAAAGCTAGGTGAAATAATGTGAGGGCAAGCCAGAATTATGCACGGATATGCAGGCATCACAATATTGCCAAATTTGGCAAAGCGCATCAAACCCTGCCGCACACACTATTCCTGGCTGTGTGGGGCACCCCATAATTCATAATAAATACTCAAAATATTCATGAAGCACCCCCCACTATAGATACAAAGGTCTGCAAAGTTTCACACCAAAATATTAAGTTTTTGATTTGATATTCAATTGTTTTGTATTAAAAATGCAAAAGACTCTGGATTTTTTGTGTTTTTGGCTCCCCCAGCCCATCCCACATCCCATGGGGGCCATGACAATTATTA